AGCATCACATAAACAATTTCCTGCATCTAATCCTTTTTTGGAGATGTGCCCATACAATTCTCTGTTCAGTGTTCTCTGGATTTTTTTTTTTTGCTTTCCCTGAATCCTCCCATTTTTTTTTTCCTTTTGTTTTTTTTTTTTCTTTAATTTTGTAATATTCACTTCTTTTTAAGATTATCTTACAACTTATCCGTAATGGAAGATTCAAGAAAGAATGGCACGATATCGGATGGTATGTTGATCTTAGTATTTTTCTTTTTGGTTGAACTATTTGAATTTGTTTCCCCCATATACTAACAATATGATTATTCCCAGCTACTCTAAAGCAAACGAGATAAGAAAACGATCCAACATTGCCGGAAGGCTAAACAAATTGGAATTGACATTTAGAAATGATAGAGATATGTTTTATAGAAACCTGTTGCATGAATTACAGAACAAACTAGCCACTTTACAACAAGGGACAAATGAAGATTTTATGACCAAGAAAATTGGTTTGGAAGAAGTTCGAGATTATGAACTTACAAAACTAAGATTATGGGAAGAATATCAAGTCAAACGAATAGAGAGTGAGTACCGTGAGGATTTGGATCGGGCAAAGGAACAGCATGACAAGATGATAAAATTGATCAAGGAAAAATTGTACGACAAACTACAACAACAAATAAAACATTTGAAAGAAGATAAATTTTTGGTAAATTTGGTGAATGGAAGAAGTTGGAACAATCCCGAGGACCCTTCTAGTCAAGCTTTCAATGCTGTTGCACTTGCAGAATTAGGTACAAATGATAGAAGATCCCTAAGAAAACGTGAACTAACTGGACGATTTACTGTGGGTGAAGCAGCCGAATTGTCTGATGGAGGAGGTGGTGGCACTGGTGCAGGATCAGGAGATAACATTTCGTCATATAACAACGGTGGATACTCTTCAGCGGGAAAAAGAAGAAGAGTTTATGCTACACGATACAGTTCGAATGATGAGTTGAGCTCAGGAACAACAAGTGGAATGGCAATAAACAATAACAACAATCAAAATGGGCATCGTACAAATGGAGGAACCACTAGTGGATACGAGTCAAATTTGAGTGATAAAGATTATGATACATTGAACACTTTGATTATGCAGAATGAAGATGGAGGCGTTTCATTGAGTCTAGTTACCAAGAATGGCACCACTTCAAACAAGGTGCAAACAAGAAATAGTCATAAACATTTTGTGGGTCCACAAGGATTGAAACCTGAAGAATTAAATGAGGACTTGTCATTACTAAGGAATGCTATTGTCAAAAAAGATTAAAGGATTAAGTATTGTATTATTTCTATATGTATTTTTGTAAGTATAATTTGAATTTTTTTTTTAATTCTCAGTACAAATGGAACATAGATTATGAATTTTTTATTTTTTTTTTTTTTTTCGTTTGATCTTGACACAAATTTTGGATGAAAATCATCCCAAAGATCTTTCTTTTTGGTATACTCTTGAAATAGTTCCACTTGAATCCCTTGAACGTATGTATTCATTGCATAGAGTATTCCGAAAATGTCTATCAAGACCAAGACTAGTATTTCTAATTATTGTTAGTATTTTTTGTTTCATAGTATTGAAATATCAACATCATATTATTCCAAATCCAGACCCATACTGGATAAATTATAAACCAAAGAAACCAGATCATTCCTCTAATAAGATTAGTCAACAATTGATATCATCAAAAATAGATTCCCCTTTCCAATATGGATGTACTATCCCAGATACTACAGCGCCAAGAGCAAATGCTGCATTGGTAGTTCTATGTCGAAATTCTGAACTCGAGGGAGTGATCAAATCCATGAACTCCATGGAACGACATTTCAACCAATGGTTCAATTATCCCTGGGTTTTCTTAAATGAGCAAGAATTCACCGATGAATTTAAAACTACAGTGCAAATGCACACTAAAAGCAAGATTGAATTTGGCAAAATTGGACTGGAGCATTGGGAATTTCCTGATAGTATCGATCCAGTGGTCCTAAAAGAAAGTATTGAAAGGCAAGGGGATAAGGGAATTATGTATGGGAATGTACCATCATATCACAAAATGTGTCGATTCTATTCTGGGTTTTTCTTTAAACATGAACTTGTGGCAAAGAGAGATTGGTATTGGAGAGTTGAACCTGATGTTGAATTTTATTGTGATTTGACCTATGATCCATTTGTTGCAATGGAAAAGAGTGGAAAGAAATATGGATTTAATGTTATAATGGGGGAAATTTTTTATTCAATACCTGGACTATTTAGAGAAGTCAAGGCATATATTAAGAAGAATAACATCCAGGTAAAAAATTCATGGAGCTTGTTCACGTTTAATTCACAATGGACTAAAGGAGACCATAAAGATCTATATGATGGTATACCAGATGAAGATGAGATTGAACAAGAAGTTATGAGAAACATGAAATTGAAACAATTTTTGAATAAGAAGGGCAAAAAAGATCATGATTTAGAAGATCTAGACCCTGAGTTAGTGTCCAAACTATTCAGTAAATCAAGTGAATTGCCTAGGTTGCATGAAGATAGGATGGATAGAGAAGATTATAATCTCTGTCATTTCTGGACGAACTTTGAAATTGCCAGAACAGATTTATTCACTTCAGAAGAGTATCAAAACTTCTTTAACTATCTAGATGCAACAGGAGGGTTTTACAAAGAAAGATGGGGTGATGCACCGGTACATTCATTGGCAGTAGCTATGTTACTTGACATGAACGAGATTCACTACTTTAGAGATATTGGTTATAGACATACAGAACTTGTTCATTGTCCTAGCAATGCACCTGAGAAACAATTGATATATGAAGGAGTTTATGTTGATACAGAATTTCCTGATAAACCTCAGATTAATGGTGTTGGTTGCCGATGCAGATGTCCGGATATGTGGTATGTTGATCGCGAAGACTCAAGCGACTATTGTTTTCGAAAATGGGTAGAGCACACGGACGACAATTATAAGGCATTTGAAGTGGTTGACGTTGACCAATTAGAAAAGAAAATATGGGAAGAACTAAATGATAATATTAAAAACCAGAAATAAAACTTAAATATATTTTTCATTACTAATATACACTAAATTGTTCTTTTATACTAAAAATACAGATGAATCGAAAAATTTAAAAAGTTGGGAAGTGAAACCAAACTAGATTTAACCACCGAAACCATACAAGGTTCTACCTTGTCTCTTCAAAGCGTAAACAACATCCAAAGAAGTAACGGTCTTTCTTTTAGCGTGTTCGGTATAAGTAACAGCATCTCTGATGACGTTTTCCAAGAATTGTTTCAAGACAACTCTGACTTCTTCGTAAATCAAAGCAGAAATACGTTTAACACCACCTCTTCTAGCCAATCTTCTAATAGCTGGTTTGGTAATACCTTGAATGTTATCTCTCAAAATCTTTCTGTGACGTTTGGCACCACCTTTTCCTAAACCTTTACCACCTTTTCCTCTACCAGTTCCAGACATTGTTATATATGATTATTAATTAAAGTTATGAATAATTAAATTAAAAAGGAAAAAAAAAAGAATTATGAATGAAAAAAATTATAAACCCAGGGATACGTGGGATTATTTATAGTGGATTGGAACCGATGATTCTGATGGGTTTTTCTGTTGTTTCTTGCAAAACGTGATCTTTGTGAGTTTATTTTGGCAGTCGCGTGGGTGGTACACAAAAACGGGTACCCAAAGATAAAACGAGAGAGAGAGAGAAAGAGAAAAAGTGAGTATTGCAAACGAGAGACTGCAAGGAAGATAAAAGGGATAAGTATGCGCAAATCTGAGACCGCGAATAGTTAAAATTGCATCTTTTCTTTACAACAAAAGAATGCAAAAAATTACAATAGCTGGTGTCTTTTGTGAAGAACACGGGTAGGGATACTTGGAGTGTTGTAGTGACGAACCATTATGAATAAGAGAAACTGATTTCATCTACATTGAGTGATGGTTATTATGAATGAGAGACGCTTTAATGGCTGGTCTAGAAAGAATGTCGTTGTTTAGAAAGAACAATATTAGAATCGCTGTGTTTCTTGTGTGGGGGGATTAAAAGAGAAGAGAGGAAAATCATGTTTCTTTTGTAGGCGTCAGAAGAATGACAAAATTCGCGCGAAGTATCTTTTGTATGAAACAAAAGACTCGCATGAATAGTTCTTGTCCTTCGTGTTCTCGTCTCTCCTCTCCTCTCTCTTTCTCTTTCTCTCTTCTCTTGTCTCTTTTCTTTTCTCGCGCAGGTCGCGACGTTACACAAGAAACTGCAAAACATCTCAAAGTTTGTAATCTTTCCTTATTGCCTTGAGAGCAGTTTTCTTTTTTTTTTTCTAAAAATATTTAAACACAAGAATATTTCCTTTTCAAAGTTTTATTTTTATTTTTATTTTTTTGTTTTTTATATATATATCATATTTAATTATCATATACAACAATGGCTAGAACTAAACAAACAGCTAGAAAATCCACTGGTGGTAAAGCCCCAAGAAAACAATTAGCTTCTAAAGCTGCTAGAAAATCCGCCCCATCTACCGGTGGTGTCAAGAAACCACACAGATATAAGCCAGGTACCGTTGCCTTGAGAGAAATTAGAAGATTCCAAAAATCCACTGAATTGTTAATTAGAAAATTACCATTCCAAAGATTGGTTAGAGAAATTGCTCAAGATTTCAAAACTGATTTGAGATTCCAATCTTCTGCCATTGGTGCTTTACAAGAAGCCGTTGAAGCTTACTTGGTTGGTTTATTTGAAGATACTAACTTGTGTGCCATCCACGCCAAGAGAGTTACCATCCAAAAGAAAGATATGCAATTAGCTAGAAGATTGAGAGGTGAAAGATCATAAGTTTATCTCTCTATTAATTAGCAGGTTTCAATTTAACATTCTATTTAATTTCCTTGATGGAATTTGTATATTATTTTAACAGTGTATATTAGTTTTCAAAAAGTGCTTTAATATAAATCAAAAAGTATTCTGTATAATTATAAATGTGTGTTTATCGTAGTTGTTGTTTTTGTGTAATTTCTAATCATTTGGTAGTGTCGAATCAATTTCATATTCCAAATTTAAATTGCTACTTTCGAAGATTTTGTTGAAACTAAATTTCATTGGAAGAATAAAAGGAATTAACAAACCAATTGAGAATAATAATGTCATTACCAAGTAAGTCAACTGTTAATCAAACCTTAGATCTGTTATCTATTTCACCAATTCCAGCTGCTATCTTAGGTGGATCACTTTTACTCAAAGGTTTGGCAGGTAATCCAATTCCTGTCACCTCCCCAGTACAAGGTTCATCTGGCTCATTCTTATTCCGTAATAAATTGGATGTTCTTAAACCTACCCGTGCTTCTTGTTTCACATTTGGTGGTGCATCTCTTTTGGGTGCTTGGATGATGTTTGATGGTGAGCCAATCAATGCCAGTGGGTTTAATTTTGCATGGCTGACTTTATACCTTATTGTCAATGGGAAAGCATCACTTCTGAGTATATTCAGAGGTAAGGTTGCACCACTTGCAATTAGTGGTTTAGCTGTATTCAATGCTGGTTTATACGGTAGAGAATTCTTATGGAGCAAAAATAGCCCGTTCAAAGGATAATCACCCAAGTAGTATAATTATTTATAATTTTATTTAAACGTATCGTTTCGAAATACAACCGAATAAAACCAAAAAAAAAAAAAAACAACCGTAACAGATACAAAAATCTAAGTTAATCCCATTTCAATGGTAATAAGCAATTCTCTTGACAATATTTCAAAATCTCTGTGTCATCATAAAGCTCAATAAACTGTTGATCCATGGGACGCTCTTTTGGAGCAGCAAATTTCCTATACTCATCACAAATAAGAGTGAATGACCAATTCTGTAATCTTCTAATTACACCAACGAGACACCCTGTTCTATGTTTGCCCCTATTACAGTGTATCAAGATTGGTTGGTTTTCGGGATTTAGCACAATCTTCACAGCTTCTGTGATTAAATCCGATGATATCTTAACAAATGGTTCCTTATTACCAGACATCCCTAATTGAAATAGTTTTATATTCTCATTTTTAATAAATTCTTGTTGCAAATGTGGGTAATCTTCTGGAATAAGACATAGTATTGATTTCAATTTTAGCTTTTTAAGAAAAGTGAAATTATTTGGTTGTGGAAATGACGATCTATAAATTTGATTGATAACAGGAGCAAAATTTTCTGGAGGTGTTAACGGTTGTAGTTCTCTGTTATTTGAATCATGTTCATATTCCTGTTGTAATTTATCTTGTAATTTCATGTCTAACTTATCATCAATATCTTCTTCATATTTCTCTCCTTCCTCTTCAGTCGTAGTATTCGTACCATTGGTCGTATTAATCTCTTCTAACTTTAATTGATCCAACTTAGATCGTATCACTTTATTGTCGTATTGAATATTTGGTGGTGTCGGATACTGTGGAGTTATATCGTTCAGTAATTGAATCCCATCCGGTATTGGCAATGATAATTCTAAAGACGGTATTGGATCTTTCTTTTGCGGCATCTCCTCATCCATTGGAAAAGGATTATCCATAAAGTCTGACATTATTTGTTATAAGTTTTTTTTTCTTTATATATATAATTTGATAAATTCAGATGATCTATTATAATGTAGATAATCTCCAAAGAAAAGTAAAAAAAGTTAATAGATAAAAGGTTAACGTGGTTATCTACCAATAAATGCTTGAGTTAAAGGAAAATTGGGATGCTGATACAATGATAATAATTTCGGAGTATTAGTATGTGATTGTTTGTGCTAAAATGTATAGGATTTGTGTGTTATATACTTTTGTTCATGTTGTTACTTCTTCCAATCCAAATCATTGACGGTTGCTCAATTTCCATTTCTTCAACAAGAAATCAGTGGGAAACTCAATACAACTGAGAAGAAAAAAACAAGGTCGTGTGTTGGAAAACAAACCATCTCGGAATTTTCTTTTTTTTTTTTGTTAAGGATTATATATATTTTTTTTGTTAACATTTGAAATGATGCAAAACAGGATAGAAGTCAATCAACTACAGATATGGCTAAACAAGTGAAGAGAAAGTCAAGTGGGATTACCAAACCAGATGGAAACAGGAAACGTGGTAGATCTGAAATGAGAACAGTTACAAGAACTGCTGCCAGAAAACCACGAGATGAGGAACAAGATGATGATAGTTCTGATCACCTGGAAGAGGAGGCTGTCCATCAAAGCAATGGTGATGATTATGAAGACACAGACGGCGAAAATGATGAAGACGAAGATTCAGGGAAAGCTTATTCTGCTCTTTTAACTTTGTTGAAAACAGATAACAAGGAAAAGAAAGAAAAACCAGAATCATTCAGTATTGAGGAAAAGGACCAACCATCAGAAGATGAAAATGAAGTTGCAGGTGTGGTTCTGGATAATGAAAATGAAGATGAAAATGAAGAAGATCAACAAATATCAGACAATGAAGAAGAAGAAGAAGTTAAAGGACTTGCAAGTGATCCTTTTGAAGTACATTTTAACTTACCATCTGATGACTACTTAAACAAAGAAGAGAAGCTTGTTTTAAAAGATCATGAAAAATGGCCAATTGTTGATAAGAAGACCTATGCTGATTTGGCACTTACATCAATGTTACAATTACCACCAGGAGAACAAATTGAACCACCTTTATTGAAATCTACCAAGCTCAAGGACTATGCCATTAAAAAACGTGTTTTAGATTCATATGAAAAAGCATATGGATTAGATTTAACTGAAACTGATTCACTCATTGCCAACTCAATACTTAATTACAGAGATGTCAACTATCAATACAAGACATTCACCAACAAGAATTATCGTAGAATCTACGTCATGCATGCATTAAACCATATTTATAAAACCAGAGATAGAATATTGAAAAACACCACCAAATTGCACGTACACAAGGAGTCAAGTAATGATGAAGATCTAGAATTTAGAGATCAAGGTTTTACACGTCCAAAAGTTTTAATTATGTTACCTACTAGAAATTCCTGTTATGAAGTAGTGGAACAATTAATTAAATTATCTGGTACTGATCAACAAGAAAATAAAAAGAAGTTTAATGATCAATTCTATGCTAAAGCAGCACCACCAAACAATAAACCAGAAGATTTTAAAGATGCATTCAAAGGAAACAATAGCGATTTCTTCTGTATTGGGTTGAAAATGACTCGTAAATCACTTAAATTATACTCGTCTTTCTACTCATCAGATATCATATTAGCTTCTCCAATTGGGTTGTCAATGATTTTAGAAAATCCTGATAAGAAGAAAAGACAATATGATTTCCTTTCCTCAATTGAAGTTTTGATTGTTGATAAAAGTAATCAAATTGAAATGCAAAACTGGGATCATGTAAATACAGTTATGAATTATATCAACAAGGTTCCTAAAGAATTCCATGATGCAGATTTCAGTCGTATCAGAATGTGGTCAATTAATGATCAAGCTAGATTATTACGTCAAACTTTGGTATTTTGTGAATATTTGACTCCAAGTATAAATAATTTAGTATCTAGTAAATCATTCAATTTATCCGGTAAAGTTAAATTCAAACCAATTATAAATTCAGAAAAGAGTATGATGAATTCCATTGGTCTTAAAATCAAACAAATTTTCCAAAGGTTTGAAAGTGGTTCTCCAGTACAAGATCCAGATGCTAGGTTTAAGTTTTTCATAAACACCATTTTACCTTCTTTACTAAAGACTTCTTCCTATGAAGATGGGATTATGATTTTCATTCCTTCATATTTTGATTACTTACGTGTTAAGAATTATTTGAAAACTTCCACAAAGTTTGACTTTGGATCTATTGATGAATATACTTCACAATCCAAATTAACTAGAACTAGACAAGGTTTTGCAAGTGGTAAGATAAAATTGATTTTATATACTGAGAGATTGCATTATTTTAGAAGATACGAAATAAGTGGTGTTAAAACCTTAATCATGTATGGATTACCTTCAAATCCTTTGTTTTATAAAGAATTGATTAGATTTATTGGTAAATCGGTTTTCAAAGAAGAATGTGAATTGGATTTAGCTTTGGTTAAGATATTATTTTCCAAGTGGGATGCTGTTAATCTCGAGAAAATAGTTGGTAATGAAAGAGCTCCAATTTTATGTAATTCCATGAATGAATTATATGAATTTAGATAGGAAAAAAAAAGTAATAAAATATAGATAATAATAAAAATGTGTATTAAATATAACCCTTACCCTAAGAACTCAAAGTATTAAAAGCCATAATAAAACATCCAATGGCAACATATGGACTTAATCTTTCTCCAATTCTAGCAAATTTCCAAAATACACTTAATACACCTGATTTTCGATTATCTAAAAATGCTGGGATTGTGGAATGGATATAAGTACATGTACAAATCAATAAAAGGATCACCTGTAGTAAAGATTGAAAGTTAAATAAAGCAGACTATAGGGAAGGGTTTCAGTTAGTATAACATGTTTTTCATTGTGTGTAAGATCTAGTTTGTACATACCATTATGGATATTGAATATAGGTTGATTATTGGCGATGTTGTGTCAACTGTTTATGTTTTTTTTTTTTTTTTTTTTGCTGTTGCTTGTTCGTTTTAATGTTAGGGATTGATTTTTTTTTGCTCAAATGCGAGCAGCTTGCACTACTAAGTGTTCTGACAAACAGTTGTGTGGAGATATTCATTTAGTATGAGTGAATCTTGAGACCAGTAAATGATAATGCTATAATCTCAATAGAACTCTAATTCATGCTCTAAATTATCTAAATCTATATTAATCAAATTTCTCTGAATAAAATTATTTAGAATATAGAACTACACAATAAAGCATAACTGGTGCGTTTTACCACGTCGTGTATTTAACTCAACTTCTTCATATAATATAAAACATGTTCCAATTGACCAAAACCTTCCGTGATCATATTATCTGTGTTAAAATCTACTTTCTGGAAAATAATTGACTCTATTTTCCAAGTTATCACCAGTATCCTCAGTCTTCACTGCAATTTATATGTGAGCCTTTTTCCACCATTACTTGCTTTGTTCACACGCCCATAAACTTTACGGCGGACAGTTTTCTTTTTACCGTCTGGAGTCACTGTAATGAAGTGAATCGTCTCCACATTCTTAATGTTAATAACAACATTACAAACAGAAGAATATTTGTCAATAGTTGATTTCTTATTATTAGCCATTGTGATTTGTTTTTAAAAGAATAGATTGGGTAGAAAGAGATTTATCTATGGGTGTTTTATTTCCCAGGTATATCCAGAAAAAAAATGGGTTTTTATATTTTCTTATCTTAATAAATTCTTCAATCCCCTCAAATGAATTTCAGCTACAATGGTTTTCTACCGGTCGATCAATTTTATATATTCGATACGAAGCACTCTATCTAGCAGTGCTCTTTTCCTATGCAGTAACTTTATTCTTAATTAGGTAAGAATTTGTAATCACTAAGTTACCCATGTTGAATAGAATATCATAACCAGATAACCTTTCTTGAACTATATGAGTGGTCTATCTTATTTTTCAACCCCTAATTCAAAATTGTTGGCAATTGGTTGTTAACTCCTTCCCCATATGAATATTTGTAAAACAATAGAATGCGCCCCTCAAACTCCGAAACAAATAATTTATACTTTTTTTAATTTTACAACAACTATAACTTATGTGTTATACGGGATATTTCTATATACAGATAGACAACACTCTTATATTCTAATTCTTGCACATCATGTTGTCTACTCTTTGTGGGACATCAAATTTACCAGCAATCAATTCATAGAATTGTAATTTACTAGAATTTGGTTTAGGTTTACCATTGAAGAAAGTTTCAAATTCATCAGTATTATTCAACACCCAGGAGTCATACATCTTCCCCTTTACACCACCAAACACACCTAATAAATCAGCCCATTTCCATTTTCCATTAATATCATTATATGATCTAGTTGGACCTCTTATTTTACGTTCAATTGAATATCCATCGTTGTTAACCAAGAATATTTGTGGCATATTTGGTAAAATATCCTTATATCTTACATAACTTGATAATTCTTGTGCAGTCATTTGTGCTGCACCATCACCTTGTACAACAATGATTCTTCTGGTAGAACCTAAATCATTGACAGCAACAGTTGCTCCAAATGCAGCAGGAACAGCATAACCAATTGATCCATAGAATGGAGAAGTTAACAATTGCGTTTTTGATGGGAATTTCAAATCTGGGAGCGCAAATACAAATGACATGGTTTCTAAGATGACTAAATCATTTGGCTGAAGGGAGTTGTTGAAATAATCAATGAGTTTACCTTGGGGAATATAGTTGGATGGTAAATCAGACATATTGCATTGGGATTGTGGTATAAATTGATAAATGTCAGATGGCAATGCTGATACTTTGGATGGGTTTAATTTGAAGGTTAAAAATTCAAGTAATTCTCCCAATGTGAATAATCTTTCACCATCATTTTGTTTGATGTGGTAGATTTGATGATTGATCTTTATATAGTCTGGATGAACAACAACAGAAGCCTTGGCATTCTTGAAATTAGTAGTTTGACCACCACTATTCATTTCATTGTCAAACAATCCCAACACCAAAATGAAATCAGATGATTCAAATTCTTGCTTGACATAAACATCAGAAGAGCCTCTACCATTATAAACTCCGACAAAGTTGCTTTGAGTCTCATCCAAATTTCGAGAAAGATTTGATGAAAACAATCTAACAGTTTTTGGTACTTTATTGATGAACTTATCAAGTTCTTTTTGATAACCAAATCTTGAAGTCAAACAGTCGGAAAATATAGATGGTTTTGATGATTGGTAGAATTTTTCAAGAATGTTGTCGGTAACATCTTCCAAAACTTCAACTGCCAAGGCCAGCTTGGTATACTTTGTGTCAGCAGTAAATGGGTTCAAGAACAATTGATTTGTATCTACTTTAATATCTGGAACATCACATGGTATAAACAAATACCCTGGTCTAGATTCTTGGATAATTTTCTTTAAAATCCTGTCAATCTTTATCAAATTTTGAGTAACATCAAAATCCAATGTTTCTTGGATAACAGAAATTTTTTCCACCATTGATTTATAAACATCATGATCAGGAGACTTTAACGAGTCGATGTTAGGAACCAAATGATGAATGTTGAAAACACCTGTATCTGCCTTCAATCTATCTTTGATTGAAGTGGTACCAACAATGTGCAATACCGGAGAATATTCTGCAAATGCACCAGCAATACCATTAATAGCAGACAATTCACCAACACCATAAGTTGAAATAAAGACACTTAATCCACCAATAGCTCTGGAATAACCGTCAGCAGCATACGCACCATTCAATTCATTACAAGGATTGATCAATTTGATTTGTTTGTTGGTGATAATTGGAGAGTAGACATGTTCTAACAAATCGACATTAAAGTCACCAGGAATACCAAATATTGTTTTAAGTTTTGGGTTTGCTTGAGATATTCTATAGAATATAAATTCACCAAGAGCTATCTGATTTGATAATTCAACTGGAGAAACGTTAGTTGGAGGAGTGAGCGATTGTTGTATTGGAGCCATGGTTTTAATTGATTAGTTAATAGAATGTATATTTTGAGAACAGATTTGAGTAAATCTCTTGAGTTATTTATATTTGATTTTTTTTTGTCCCCATGTTTACAAGGAAAGAGGAGAATAATTGGTGGGCTAATCATAATTGCATGTCGTGGTAATTTCTCTGTCTGTATTTTATTTTTGCAGCCCAGTGTTTTCTTGGATTTGTTTTGATTTTTCTCGGTAATTGAAGGAACTTGTAAAACAGAATATAAGGTTAAAAGCAAAAAATATACAGAAGAGAGAAAGAAGAAAAAAATCTATGATCATTCAAGCCTATTGCATTTTCTTTTTATTGTTGTTGTCAATAATCCATTGCCTTAAGTGGCATTAAAAATAGGGGGTAGTAAGAGGAAGTGGAAGAGGAGGAGAAGAAGAAGAAGAAGAAGAAGCAATATCAAATGTGGCAGTTTCGTCAACCATTATCGTTTCCATGGCTATTGATGGATAGTTGATTACGGTAATTATTTTAAGGTTAGTTTGTTTTTTTATGATTTTCTTCATGTTTCCTACGATTTCCTGTACATTCCGACAAAATCCTTTCCCTGTAGTGATGTTGTATATAGAAGAAGATAGAAAAGGAAAGTACAGCTAATCTGAAAATTTCCGCAATCGTATTTCTAATTTTTAACAGAATACGCGTGTATAGTCATCAACACGAAAAATATGAATGATACAATGCTTGATCAAGTATCATTCAATCAGGAACCTCTAGTGAACAGACATGAAAGAAAAAAGAAAAGACAACTGTCGGAAACCCTATTCCTTTACTTTGCTATATTTATCGATCTCTCTTTTAGTGAAAAATCGTAGACATGGTGGGTAAATACACATGGCACATACTGTCAATTGTCATATGTTGTGAAACTTAAAAAAAGACAAACTCCGACATATACCGAGTGTATTACAATAAGCCACAATTAAAATCATAATAAGAATACATAGTAAATTAGAAATTATAATAAAAAGGGGTATATATATATACATCTATATAATAATGTAAAGGCGAAACTCGGTATTGAATTAAGCCCATCCTAATAATTGTTCAAAGAAATCAATTCTATTTTCATGTTTACCAATGGCATCAACAACTTCAGCTCTAACATCATCCACCATTGCTGGATGACCACAAGTAACAAAAGCAATTGAACTTGGAGCTTCTTCGATTTCATAATTGATAATTGATTTAAGATCAGGTCTTCCTCCAAGAATACGTATTGGATCTAATTGATAATCAACCGCTTCTTGAATTTGATCCATACTCCATTTTGGTTCATAATGTTTTAAATCATATGATTGTAATGTTTTGGAATCCCCTTCTCCCATTGAATAACAACTCTTTAAATCAAATTTAGGGGACATAACTTGCGGTACCAATTCTTCAATTGCAACAGTACTTTTTGGTTTAGTAATGTAAATGGTGGTTTCAATATTTGTTTTCTTGAGTTTCTCCAATTCATCAAAGAACCAGTTTAAGGAACGATATTCTCTAATAACCCAATAAAGTTTTAATTTCTTGACTGATTTTGTAGATGTGTATCGTTTAGCCAAATCAGTTACTTCAGAAAACATTCCTGGAATACCGTTACCACCAGCAATATACACAACAGTATCTGATTTTCTAGCATCACTAGTTTCACCATATGGACCTTCAACAGCAACTCTGATTTTCATGGTTCTATTAGGAACGTTAACAAGTTTTTTATATAATGTTTGGGTAATACCATTCTTAACTTTACAATAAAGGTTAATTTTGTTATCTTCATTTAAACCAATCGTAAATGGATGATTTTGCCAGAAGGTAACACCAGTTAAAAAATGAATAAATACATGGCCACCAGGTGCTGGTTTCCAGTCTCCTGGTCTTGGAATAGTGATCTTCAAAGTTTCATCAGACATTAAATTGACAGTAGCTTCTGGGAAACCAAAATGAAGTAAACGAATAATTCTAATAAGTCTATCAAAAACCCAAAATGCAACTGATGCATAAACATACCACATGTAACCCAAATCAACAACGTGTTCCCAAGTACCAATGACATAAAATACACCCATTATGATATGAGTCAATACAAAAACTTCATAAAATCTTCTTCTTAGATACAACATTCCTTGGAATAACATTAGAGCAGCAAGAACAGTAGCAGCAGTACCCCAAATCATAAAAGGCAATTTCATAACTGGAGCATAAGCAGGACCTAAAGCAATGGTGAAACATACCGCATGAATGATGACAAATGCAAACATCATACGAGCAATGTGACGGTGAAAAGTAATAAATACAGAATAATTCCATCTGGTTAAGAATTGAAGGATATTATTTCTACCGGCGAATAAAATAACCAATGGTAACATCATGGTTGAACAAGTTCCGGTTCTGTTAGCAACATATCTTAATCTTGCGTAGTAGTTGGAAAAGATAACTTCATCTCCTTGAGCAAAATAAGTGTTGATAGATAATGTGATAATACAAACAATAGTGAAACCAGTCAAAATAACTGATTCAAATCTTGATGGCATATAGAATTCAGCAAATCTATAATATTTATAATTTTGACATTTCTTTCGTCCAATAGTAGCTGGTAATAATATATGTTTTCTTAGCCAGTTGGAAACAGGACCATTTAAATCTGTCATTAAACCTGGAAACATGTAACGACTCCAATTTGAAATCGCACCAATGAGTAATACCAATGCCCAAAAACCTAAGATACCAGCACCATAATAGAATGTATTATCCCAATTGACTAAAAATTGATCAATTGATGATTCCAAAGATAAAGTGTAATTACTAGTATCAACTTTATCATATTTATTAACAATATGTGTATAATTGGAACGGGTTTCATTTAATGCAGATGCGTTATAATAACCATGGGTAGTATAGTTATTGTAAGCTTCATAAATATCATCCATTTCCACAGTAGTGTCACCATATTCATTACAGAAATCAACAAAGAATTGAACTGCTTCAGTAGAATTCTCCTGATAGTAAGCAAAACAACCAACAAATGAAGAAATTGCATCTTTATTAGAACAAATACAACCATAATCTTCAGAAGTATCCGAACGACAATAACCCACATCATCATGCACATTTAATTTACATGCAAATATAGCTTTTGCTAACGGAATACTATTTTTTGGTAAAACTTTCTCTTGTGCCACCACTAACAGTAGTAGAATAAACAAAGAAGATATGATTCTGAAACCGTACATGGTAATAATAGTGATAATTTATCTTGCAGACGATAAAGGGTTTGAAACAATTCAAAAAAAATAATTAGACAAAAGTATATCTAAGACATCAACTCTCAACAATAGATAATTCAAGAAAGAGACCAAAGCTAGTTGTATTTATAGTATCTGGTTTTTCGGTTTCAGAAATACCTGTTGTATTAGATAATTCATAATTTTTGTTGCTTTCATTTTCGAGTACATACAATAATTTGTGTGGTATTTAGGTGGCATTTGATATTTTTGCAGCATAGTGACACAAAAAGTAAATTAAGCGAAAAAAAAAAAAAAATAAGTGAAAATTGAAAACGGGATCCACAAAAAGTACGTGGGGCGGTATAAATTCTGGTAATGAGGCAATGTAACCTGCTCTATATTTAGTGGTTTGTGTTGATATATCATCACAGAATGTGATGATGTGAATAGAGTAGTATTTCTTGGCAATGAATGTTTCTAATAATAATAATAATAAATATAATAGAGTACCATTCACTATTCTATCCTACTCAAAAAGAAAAAGGAAAACAACAACCAACCGTGTTCTTTTTATAAATGAATACGAAATATTTTTTTTTTGCAGATTTCTTGCTTTTTACTTTGGGTCTAGTTGGGGTACCAGTTGTTGTATTACTGTTATCATTCGTGTACTAAGATTAGGATTCCCCTCCTTTTTTTTTGTTTTTATAATTCGACAAATGAATTATATTTGGAATCTATTTACCAATACGACTAATCATATAGAGTACGATATAATCATGTTTCATCCCTCTTTTCTTCAATATAACTAGGGGAAAAACGGTGATAGCAAAAGTGACTCTACACAAGACATACATGTCTTTGTGAAGGCAGGGATTTACATTCCGTTCATAACAATGATGTATCTCCATGTGGCTGTTTATTTTAACGCGTTTCAATGGAGAATCTATAATTATTTAATTTTCTGTTTCAATATCTAAACCTAAATAAAATTTATAAACAAGAAAAGCATATAAACAAGCTTTTGTTGAGCGTGTAATTAGACTTGGGATAAAGTGATTCCATTTTGCGTGATTTGGGGGCTTTTATTCTATTCAACAGATCCTTTTTTTTTTTTTGAAGATAAACGTTCGATATTATGTTGGTATTAAGTTCGGCGGTAGCACCTAAATACAAACCGAAATATAATAAAAAGTAACCGGGCTCATACATGCCGATCTAAAACACAACACAAAATAATACTTCTGTAGGGTCTGTTCTTTTTTTTTTATTTAACATGTCCTTCATTAGTTTTGTTACGTGAACGGCAGACCCTTGTTTTACCACAATAAGTAACAAAATGAACTAATGCCCATTACCTATGAAATAATATAAATGGGATATGAAATTGGTTTAAAGATTTTAGTAAACCAAAAACATTCTCCCCGAAAAGGGATAACTATTATCTGTTTTGGGTTATTTAGTTTCACTTTAAAGCCTGGTTATAAATAAACCAATTTTTTTATAAAAAAAAGATTTCAATTGGGAATGGAAGAAATGGTTAAAACTTGATTGTTTAAACATATTGACAGAAGTAAACTTCAACCAAAAACAAACAAACAAAAAAATCGTACCATAATGATCCAGTTGTCTAAATGAGCAGATGATTTACCTTGAAGTAGACTAATAATTGCGAGATTTTGGCTTATACTATGATCTTCTATGTAAATCTTAGTTTGTCTCTAATGGTAACTAATGAAAGATTGATTGGCAATGACAGTTTAAAGAAAGAAAGAAAAAAAAAATTGCGAAAATCACTATTGGTAGTTAGATGCGTTTCAAATCTCATCCCAAAAACACATTCAAGTGTCAAATTATTTGTACCCATGAAATGAAATTACGAACTTTTTAAATTTTTTGTGAGCAATAACAGCGTTGCAATTAATTAATTCCTAGTATGAATGTTTACTCACCTTCTAATTAGACACTGCAGTTTTGTACAATTGGTACAAACAGGAAAGAAGAAAGAACAATGAAGCCAATAAAAAAAAATCAATTCTTCGTTGAAACGTAATTAATTTAAAAGTTGGCTGATGAGAGAAATTCCCTATAGAAACTGCGTTCTTTTTGCCAGTTGATAAATATGGTAGCGACTTGGTTGTAGTTTCTATTCTCATGGATACGAGGCTTCGATTATTGTCTTGGAAACAAAAACGTTAACAAGTATAAACGAAGCTGAAAACTACATGAAAAGATGAATTTCAAGGATAGATTTTTGTGAGATCAGTTCATTATTTTTTTTTCAACATTTAGTATGGAATATGTTCCCTGTGACATCCAATCGGATAATTAAATTACTGTATTACTTCAATGAATGGTTGCATACCGTTGTAATTATTCACTCCTATTTAAGCATGAACAATTGGGGTCCGTTACAGCCAATGAACTCAATTTATAACAGCTGCTCAAAACAGAATTTATTAGACACACAATGTAATATTCTATGTAATTTATATTGTTTATACTATGTGAAACCTCAGCTCCTTTATTGACCACTAAGCAATCCCATAATTGAAAAGGTGTTCCCCACTTTTCAACTAACTAAAGGTCGCGCAAACGATCCCAAATGCGTGTCGTGTCTGTATCAGATTTATGACCATTGGTTAATGACATCACGAGGAGCACTTTAAAATTCATTAAGGTCATACCCTACTGATGATATTAGAGCAACACGTTAGGGATCAAACGCTTGTATTGGAAAATCCAATTATGACCTTACTTGCTGGTTTGTTACATAACGTGAGATTAGCTTTTGAATTTACTGAATATTTAGCAAGAATTTCTAAGTAAGATTTCAATTACAACTACACCTCAAGAATGGGATACGACGAGATCTCCAATCTCCGCCATGTGTGAACAACAACATGGCGTATACTCCACCGTAGCTGCTTAACGACGTAGTACAAAAACCTCTCTGATCACTTAACGGTATAGGTGACAATTAATTATCAATCTGTATGCAGTCAGAGGGAGATTCCACCTGCTTCGATTGCATGAATTCCCCAGGGCAATATGGAGAGTTGAATTTGACCTCAACGCGTCGTATTTATCAGGGCTAATGATTCCTTTGAAATAAAATATTACCATCAAAAACAAAAAAAAGGATCAATTCGGAACTAAATTAAATTAATCAAATTTCATAACCTATATACGCATTTAATTTTAGACCACGACCCAGAATACCATGGCTACTCAAAGTGAATTCATGGAACTTCAATTCTAGACTTGCCAATAGAAGTAATTTATGCTTATTCTTTTAACTACATCACCATTAACCATGAAAACAAAAAAAAAAAAAAAAAGAAAAGAAACCAATTGGGATCACGCATTTTAACTTTTGTACTCCATTTCATTTTTATTCTTCTTCTTCTCTCTTTTTATTACTATCCGAAATATTATCTTCTTTGTACCCGTGATGGTACTCAATACACAATTCATCTTGCGCGAATTAACTGACAGTCTTTTTGAGATATCGGAACTTGAAGTACACGGGTAGCTGCAAATTAATCGGTACACACATACGCTGAGTTCGGAATTAATGGAAAGTTAATTTTCTTGTTCTTTTTTTATCCTTTAAATATCTTAGCTACCACTACAACTTATTGTAAGGAAGTAAAGTTCTGAATAGAGTATGGCTCCTGTTATGTAAGCCCTAAAACATTATAACAGACAATGCAAGTGAATAAAGGATTGAGAGCAACTGAAGATATATCTATAGACCACAGCCCACACTAATCGCCGTGATACGACAATTATAGTCGTTTGTCGGGTATAAAAAAAAAGAAAAGGAAAGAAAACGGGACTGAAGCATTTTTTTTTCTTCTGCTTGTTCTTGTTCTTCTTGTCTAATAGACTAGTTGCTTTTCCGATACGACAAATGAATAACTATAATTAGTAATAATCTCTTATCCCACCATACGTGTTACTCTCCAGATAATTATAAGTGGGTACGTGTGAATCTCTTGACTCATTTCATGACTTAATATTTTTTTTTTTTCTTCTTCTTCTTGTTGTTGCTCTTCCTTTTTTGCTCTATTTATTTCATACGATTTTCCCTTTGTCTTTCCTTATTGCCTTTTTTTATTTTTTCACCCACCTGATATCATTTTCAAGTTTTTTTTTATTTTGAAACAGTTGTTAAACAAACTTGAAGCCGTCAACAGTATATTTAAAATAGTTAAATGTACTGAAAAAGATCCGTGAAGAGAAACAACCCAATCATCAACTTTCGTCCTCCCCCACATAGATAGATGAATTTTTTAAACGATCACACACTAATAAATTTCCACTAGATGAGAATATTGTCCCACATAAGAGTATATTTACCTAAACACAAACATCATATTTATGACTCCACCAAAGAGGCCCACCCTTCAACCACATCGTCAAATAGTTCTTCATCTGGCTGTACCTCCATAATATTTCCTGACGGAGTTTCTGCAGAAGAATATGGGTTACCCCCAATAACCAAACTAGAAGATGTTGATACTTTACAAAGATTTGAAGTGATCAGATATTTAAACGGATATGGTATAGAATACGATTCAAGCATTCCTGAAGAAAGTTTAAGGAAACTTTTAAAAGACACAATTGCATTAGACAAACAATTTAGTCTAAAGTGTATATAATAGAAATCGATTTCCTCCCAGCATTAACATAAACTTCTATTAGCACTCCTGCCCACAACCACCCCCACATATAAAATTGCATATCCACACCAATCACCGTCTTATTCATACCAATGCTTTTATTTTCATACTTACATACTCAGATAACCTTAATTTATTAATGAATGCATATTATAATGACATATTCCAAGAACTATACAAGAATAATGAAAAAATAAAAAATACATTTACGATATATTTGTAGATCAATAATTACACTAAACGGCTCTTATATTTGTAGATCCCTGTTTCATCTTGTTGAATTGTAGAATTTCAGGTCTTGTATTTCAAACATGAAACTGGAAGTAATTAATTTCAAACCAATTTTTGTTGTCTCTTCTCACTTCTCACTTCTCTTCGTGGTATCAAATCAAACTGTGTCTCATTAAGTTTATCTGAATTCCAATTTACAACCAGACGAGCACTAAGGGAAAATTTTTCTTCTCCATTGTGTGAGTTAAAAAACAAATAAAAAAAAAAAATAGGAACACTCGTCAGTACAGTAAAATTAATCACAGGTTCATTCTTTTTTTATAGATCCACTGTTCTTTTAAACTTTTTCTATATTCATTTCGATCTAGGTAGTAAGAGTATCTTCTTTTCCAATTGGAGATTTTTATTCATATATCATCACCAGTTCATATCCCATCTATAATATAATTATTTATTCCCTGCTGTGGTTCTCATAATTTTTTTTTTCCCTTTTCATTGTTTAATTTATTTTAATTTAATTTTTTTTTTTTTTTTGGTTTTTCCCTCCCTTAGTGAATCATTCATCTATCCATTCCAATCACTGAGATAATTCACAAGCAAGTGTACATGCCTCATAAGAATCAAAGATGTCACTATTCAGAACAATATCACGATCAGTCAGAGGTATATTCTCCACAGTTTATCTAGGTCTAATCATCTTAACCATCCCTCTTGCATTCGATGTAGGAGGTGTGTACTGTGGTTTAGCATTCTCATTGACAACATTAGTGACTTATTTTATACTTACAACAATTAGAATAGCGGTTAGAAGAACTCGCTACTTTCAATGGATTTCAATTATTTATTATTGTCAACATTTCTTTATACCTAGTTTGTTGACTTATTTTTTAAGTTATTATAGTAATGGCGTGACACCAAATGAATCCAAATATAATCCAATCATGATCTGGAAACTAATCTTGATCAATTCCACTCCATTGTTTACTATTTTAGAAGGATTCTGTTCGTTATTGTTAATTCAAGCAGTTGGACAAACAGTCAATTGGTTGACACTTTATAAATCAGATTCGTGGTTGATCTTGTCCCTTATTGGAAGTGGATCGGTGATAACTGCCTCATTTTATTTCTTGTATCGAATTTATGTTTTGCCATTTGCAATTGATATGTTTAGTGCTTCATTGTTGGGATCGTTACTCACAACAACTTTGGGGTTAGGATTATTTGGTATAGTAAGTGGTAAAGGGTCCATGATTGAATCGTCATTGTTATTTGCTTATATTGTCAAGTGTATTTATGAGACGTTCCCAATATTATCTGAAGGAGCTTCACAAGCATTAACAAACTTGTTCAATTTAACTACTCAAAACTTGAAGAAGGAAATTCCAAAAATCCCACCATCTATTCTCAATCCAATTTCGGAAGTTGTTCCATTCTTGGCTTCAACTTTACCAAGTTCATTCAAAGGGGTTTGGAAGTTTTTAATTATGGCAATTCAAACTTTAACTTTACCTTTATTATTAAATTTGGCCTACAGAATTGGAGTCTTTTATGCAGCAACAAAGATTATTCCAAGTTTATACCAATCAATTTCTTACCCATCAGTGACACCACCAAAGACACCCCAAACATCATCACGCCAACCATCAAGTGTTTCATTATCACATTTAACTGATCCAAAATCACCTACATCATCATCAGTTTCAAGTATATCATCTTCTAAACCAAATTTGAGATCTAAAAAATCATTCCGTCTCAAACCACCACATCATCAACCACCTTCAGTAATAATACGACTCATATATGCCTATGCTCCAATTTTGATAATAGCTGTGTATACTCATTTAATGCTATCATATAATGGTGAATTAGGTACAGAATTACAGCTCTGGCCAATTTGGAATAGTACCACTAGTAATAGTCAGGATAATTTCCAAATAATTGTACATCCATGGCAATTTTGGAATTGGATTAATATGGGTACTACATTAATTCTATATGCTGCTGAATTACTGAGTAACGACAACTCTTCAGGAGGTGGTAATAGTTTAACTAGTCATTGGAAAGTAGAGTAAATATATATATGTATTCATCCAAGTAGCTAATTCATCTCATCTTTGCAATTTATATATATATATATATATATATATATATACTCGATTCATTTTAATAAAATAATATATTTAATATATATTCATCATTTCTATATAAATTCCATTTATAGTTAATTTTTGATCAAGATTCAAATGAAAATAAATAATATTAATCAGAAATAATTGCAATTCTCTTCAGCTTCAATAAACCTGTCATCTTTCCAGACAGTGAATATTAAAGTAATAAAATTCAGAGCTTGACTCTATGTTGCTTGGATGTTTCATCATTTAATATATTAATCTTCATAAAACTAACAAATCTCATCAAAAAAATTAAAATAAAAACCATAAATAAAACAAGAGAAATGAAAAAAAAAATTAAAACCTGGCATATTTGACTATGCAAAAATAATTGATTCATTAATCAAACAGGTTTTGTTGAAAAAAAAGGGTAATAATAAATTGACGTCCATAAGATCAAGAATAAGCTCCATTGAGTTAATTATCAAAAAAAAAATGATAATCATTTGTTATATCTTTCGTTTAGGACACATAATAAATAAAGCCCCCATTGTCGAAAATAAAACAAATCATGTTTCAAAGAAACACAATTCTTTTCAAACAAATCTAAAAAGGAATTAAAAAAACCAATTTAGGATTTAGAAAAAAAAAAAAGACAAAGTCATTTTTAGATGGGGTTTTAATCCATCGCGTTTCCGCTATTATGACAGGAGACTTTCCCCAAAGCATTCGAATAATTTGACATACAATGATGTCTTTTTGTAAGCTTTGATAACAAATCTTTGATCATGGACGTGAAGAAAGAAAAGAAGAAAAGAAAAGAAAAAAATTCGAAAAGAAAGAGGAAAAAAATTTTTTTTAAAATGTTTGTCTGAGATGATGAGAAGAGGGTTTTCTTTACTTCCAAAAAAAAGTCGTGCGGTACACCAGAAAAAAAAATTGATACATCACGTGCATTTATAATTATAAATTTTAACCCTATTTTAGTAACCATTGCACCCAAGATTCTGGTAATAATTTAGATATCCAATCATAAAGTCTTGCACCAGTACCACAATATAATACAGCTGGATTAGAAGATTTATTGTAAATTAAATCAAATAACAAATGATACAATACAACTAAATTAGTACCTTTACCACCACTTGATTTCAAAGGATTAGCTTTAAATTGAACATTACTGAAATTATTACCATACAAACCTTTCATTTCTGAAGTCCATGCTCTAACTTCAGAGTTCACCAAACTTTCAATTCTCGCAGTAGAGCTTAATCTTTGATTCAGTAAATGTAAATTACCCAATCTAACTTGAGTAACAGATATATCTTGACTTGCCAATTCTCTAGTTAATACAGTAAATAAAGATTTCAAATTTTGTTGGAAAACAGTTTCAGGACCATAATATGGCATTGATAAACCACTTACAATATTTGGACTTAAAAGAATAATCTTTGAATCTTGTGATCTAACAGTTTGAATTAATCCAGAAGAAAATAATTTAACATATGTAAGTAATCTATCACTTAATTTAACCCATGAAGAAATTGCCATATTTTCAATAGGACCAACTGGGAAATGTAAACCAGGTGTGAAAATTACTGCTTTTAATTGTAAATAATGAGGATTAGCATTTGGGAATGGCACAATTGGAGTCTTTAAAATTTGATTAAATTCAAAAATATGATCATCCATATTTTTAGAATCATTAATATTTATATAATTCAAATCATTACTAATTTTATTTGATTCAACATATTTCACATCATTCATATCTAATAATGTCATGTAGACAATAAATCCTCTTTTCTCAAAATCAACTGCAATAGATCTAGTTAATGGTTCAGTAGGTGATCCAATAATTAATACTACATCACGACGTGCACCATTAGCAAGTTTAGGTACTCTTCTTTTGGCCATTTTACTAGATCTAGTCAAGTAATATATAGTGATACCCAAACCCACAGTGAAAACAGACGCATATTTTAGTTTATTATGGGATATACTATGGATTATATTATTCCATAGATGAACAGAATGATGACGAAATCCTGGTGGTGGTGGTCTTTTTGGTGGCGTAGCAATTGAACCTCCTGGACCCTCAATACCTTTAGTGAGATTGACTACTTTGTCATAATAAGGAGATTTGGTAATTTTATCCTGTTGATCTTCAAGAAAATGATTGGCTTGACGATAAAAGTCTTTCAATGTTTGAACAGTTGCTTGAACTGGATCTGCAACCATGGTTTAATGTTTGTATGGGTTGGTGAATCAAAAGGAAAAGAAAAATAGATCATTCGCAGATTTGGATTTTTTTTTTTCCTTGTGGGTGAGATTTTTTTTAGATTTTTACGTCATTATGATTCGGGGAAACAGTTTAAGCAACAAATATAAATTATAGAAGAAGAAAAAAAGAACAAACATACATACACACAACGAACTAGAAAGAAAAAAATACTACTACTACTAATAATAATTATAATGAGAAACTTATAAACAATCAAACCTTCTTGTAAGTGACTTCAGTAGAAACAAAATCTTGTGTGCTACTTGGTTCAATTCTAATATCATCTTGTAAAAATCTTGCAATATCTGGGGGTAATTGAGCATCAAATCCGGACATCGGATTGGTAGCTTCTAAAATCACAGAGTTATGGTCATCTTTCAAAGTAGCTGGAGAAGAACCTTGTGTGTTTAATTTATTAATTCCATAAGATTTTTCAGAATAATGACCACTTGAACTATGTAAAGTAGAATTAGCACTTGGTTCACGAGAAATGAAAGAAAAACTTGGGGAACTATTAATATATTGAGTGGTATTTGCTGTTTGAGCCCATAAGGAACTGAATGGTAACATCAAAACAATCAATAAAATACTAATATTGATCAACATAACATTAGCATTTCTGAAGAAAAGGAAATAATGAACAAATAAAATAAGTGAAGGAACAAGTAATGTTTGAGTAGAACAAATCAACAAGACATGAAAACTATCAAATTGTTTCAAACCCAAGTATCTTCTTGTTTTAATAGCCATGATTAATTTACCAATTAACAATACCGACATAAGATTGACACTAACGGAAAATAAAATAGTTGGTAAATCTAACCAAATAGATGAAAGACCAGTATCACCAATTTCATTCACCGTATTGACAAATCTACGATGAGATAAAACAGCACTATTAATTTGAAATCCAACAACAACCAATGCTAAAGCAGTACATAAAATGGTAACAGAATAAGCCAACTTTTTCATACCTGCACCTCTAAACATAACGAATACTTGGAAAACCATGGAAGTTTCAATAAGAGCAAATAAAATAACTCTAAATCCATTAGCAGCTTCTGAACTAGCATAAGATTCTCCATTGTACCAACCAGTAAATGCAAAACTAGCACTATTTAAAGGACCTAAAAGATAATTGGAAAAACAAGCAGCCCGAATAATCCCGATAAAAGTAATTAAACAATTAAGATAGAATAAGAAATTCTTACTCAAATTCTTTGATTTTCCAATTGTTGAAAATTTGTTAGTTTTAAATAAAATACCAACTAAAAAGATTAACAAAACAGAACAACTTCCAATCATCACACCCATGACTAAGCAATTTTTGGATTGTTCACTTTGGAAGTGGTTCAAAACTTCAAAAGGAAGTTCAAAAGGTTCCTCGATACCTGGAATAGTATATGTGATAATAATATCACCAGAAGACTGAATAGTATTGTTAATATCCATTTTTATTTCCTTAGTTGATTTAATTTTATTAATATATAGATGGGTATTATCTAGTAAAGCAAAAAGAATGTAAAATCAAAAAAAAAAGGAATTCTTAAAGTGGTGATTCTTATATTTATCTTCATTAATGGCTTTCGTTTAAGTTTAAGAGTATGTTTCAAAGGAACTAAAATATATGAGAGAGACAGAAAAAAAAAGAAGCTTTCATATAAATTGATCCAGAGAAGTTGCCGTTTTTGGATTTCACAATGGTTGTTGCAAAAAAAAAATGAATAGTTTGTGCGTGTAAAAAATTCAATCAAAGCAACAAGATTAATAAGATGAGGGGGGAATAAATTAGATGTGGTTTTCAACATGATAAGGAAAAGACACAAGCGAATTACAAGTACGGCTTAAACCATTGGTGTGATAAGAAGATGCCATAACTTGTTTATATATGCGCATGACAAACTATATGTTTGCTATAGAAAATGGTCTGAAATATCATAGTCAATTGGTGATAATTAAAATCCTTTTGAACAGTCAGTTAGACGGAACTCCAATCTCCTCCCCAAAAAAAAAAAAAAACTGGAACATTTATAAAACAAAAATCTGCATAGTCTTCTATTGCTGTATGAATTAAACTCTGGGCAACAGTTTTTATGCCCTCAACTCAACTCGTTCCACAATTTATCATTATTAGTTTATTTTGGGGTGCGTTTTGTATTTTAGCCCTCGCATTGGTCTCACGGAACTACACCAGACACCTGTCGTACGCACTTCGCCCCCTCTAAAATGCCCACGTAACGTGATGAAACATTTTAAAAGGAAACAGGGGCAAAATATGCCAGAAATAAGTCAATCTGTTAAAAAAAAAAGGATTTACAATCTCCTGTTCCAAATAGCCTAGTTCACACCCCGGGGGCAGGAAGAAAAAACATTTGTTTAATTAATTAAAAGAGAAGAGCAACTCTAGACTAGTTACACTAATGCTCGATGGTCTCTTTTTTTTTAATACCATCATCAGGATTAACATACACAAAGCATAATTCGACTGCAATGCTCACTTGACATAACGATCATGAATACCAGCTGAAAAAAAAAAATTAGATACTGGGGTTATATGTCCGATACACGTCATGTACTAACGTTTGAAAATTTTTTTTAATAAAAATGACGTGAGAATATGCTTATGTGGTCGGAAAATAATGCCCGCACACAAAATAAACATACAAAAAAAAAAGAATTATTGCGCAATCTTTAAACCAACCATTATTATTTTTGGATGATTTGCTTGAAATAAGTGCATACCATGTGTTTAATACAGTATCCCTTTAAATGTGGCTTACAAATGAATGTTTGTGTAGCCAGATAAGAGGTTATTAATCTTTCTGGTAATCACATTCTCCGAATCGGATGGAATAATCCAGCATCTCAATATTAAACAATCAAAACTAAAGTATAAATTGGCCTTGGCCAAGTTAGTTGGACAAGAATTTTGATTTAAAGAAAAAAAAAAACTATAGACGAAATCTCCGTAATGAGTTAGTCCGGCTTCGCTCTCAAGTAGTTTTAAACAAATTAGATGTACAGCAATGAAAGACAAAATAATTATAACGTTATTTCTTCAAAATTGTACGACTGATTCCAATTTTAATATATTTTATGTGAATTTTTATTTTTGCTCTTTTTAGGTGCTAAAAATTTTTATATTTTAATGTTGTGTAGTGAGATCCCCCGAATGAAATGTATGCGCAGGAATTTGCTTAAAGATCCACGTTTATAGTTGCAAAACCAAAGCCGGCCAGGGTTATGAATTTTAGAAAGACAATACAACCTATACACAGATGGATTTTTATAATACCTTGAGTTATATATAGATGAAGTAAAATGACGTGATTATACTCTGTTCAGGTTAGTTCGGGATATCTTTTTCTGGGGGAGAAATGAGTAATGGTTTTGATTCCATGAAATGTCAAAAGCGATTATCGTTCGATTGCTCGATATTTCATGTGGGAAATATGAAACAAAAAAAAAAAAGCTGTTGAACACTTGTTTTGTACTTTATATTTCCTCTTATCTTAAAAGTGGAACCTCCACAAGCAATCAAACACAAAATATGGGAAATTAAAATAACGCTTTTTTTTTGGTTTGTCTCATTTTGACTTCGTTCATCACCATCGTTGTCTTGAATTTTGACAAACGATCATACTCATGTGCTTCGTGAACGGAATATTCATGACAACCGTTAAGGTGGATTTTTTTTTTAATCTTTTTTATTGTAATTCTATTTTTATTTTTTTATTATTTGGGTTCTGTAGTGAAAAGAAGGAAAGTATAATTACATGATTATTTAATCCAATCAAAACAAGTTGACTATTCTTTAATTGGTTTCAAATTTATTTGATCATAGAAAATAGATTTTCTTTGCTCTGAAAGAAAAAAAAGCCCCAAAACAAAAAAAACAAAATAGAACAATATGCAACGAGTGGAGTAAGAAAAATTAAAATATAAATTTCGTTGCAAACAATAGTGAGATAATACTAATGAACAAAATAAAAAAAAGGTACACAAAGAAAATATACTCTTTGAAATCAACAAAAGAAAAATATTTCCACATCAAAAGCCATAATCTACTCAACACGAGGTTACATTTGATCAGAGAGGGGAAGGGCTTGCTTGATAGAAGTGAGTTAATGTGTGGTGTGAAGATATGTGCATGTTATAAACTGAATATTAAACCTAAAAAAAAAAACCCTCAATGTATGCTGCTGTAAGATCAACAATCTAACAGAAGTGGAGTAAGAAAACCTCTACAGGTCTGAAAAAAAAACTGTGGTCGTGTAGTTCAAGAACACAAAGACAAAAAAATAGATAATGAGATGGTCGTGCGCTTTTACTATAATCATGCATTTTTTTTTTCAATCTATACCAAACCGATTCTTACTCATCACAAACAATAAAAGAAAATTGATACTCCACATTAACATTATATTAACAATAGGTTTAAGTAAAATTGAGGAGAAGATGTTATCAAATAGAAGAAAACAATAACTATCTTTACCTGGTTTATTTTATGACGTTATCCCCATGAATACGCAAATGGGGAATATATGTTATAAATAAAGTTTGAACCTTTATATAATTATTTTGAGTTGTACGTGTACGATGAATTTTCCCAAAAAAAAGTAAAACTTTATATTTGCGATGTGTGTGTGTGAGAGTGTGTGATGAAGAGAGACCTAGAGTTTGCGTGTACGTGTACGTGAGTCAATTCCCACTCATTTGTATGAAACGTTTTTTTCATTTTTAATTTTTTACAGCCGGCTTGTAAACAACAATATAAACTGTTATTACACAAATGTGCAAAACAATGGTTTCTTTTTTTCAACAACAATGCAAAACTAAACTGAACTAAACTTTTGCATGCGTATCTACTAAAATCAATAATAATCTGACTTTTAGTTTGGTGAAGAGTACAAAAAAAAATTTTCTCTCTTTCTCTCTTAGTCTCTATCTGCCTGTCTCTATCTGACTCGCTCTCACTTTATTTTTTTATTTTATTATATTTTCTTATTGTGTACATCTCTGCTGCATGCAACAATCAACCCAGCTATATACAAAAAAAAATAGGGTGGTTACTGGTGTAATTATTCCCTCTCTTTTTCTCCGCTCTCCCCCCTCTATTTCTCTTTGTCGCTTAATCACTTGATTGTATATAAAGATCTCAATGTACGCTAGTTATTTTTTTTTGTTTTTTTTGCTTTTTGTTTTTATATGATTTAGTTATTTTGGCAGCATATTCTTATTACTACTACTATTACTACTACTACTATAATTATATATCAAAGATGTCAACTATGGTTACTTCGACACTGGTAACCACTAGTCCTTCTACTACTACAAACCTTACAAATAGATCTAACACTAGAACACCTTCTACATCTTCATCTACTTCAACTATAAACGATTTGGAATCTAATGGTCACTATTTCCCTTCATTGTATGAATTAATAGATAATTGCACCAGTCTAGACTCAAGTAATGAAACATTATCTGCATTCAACAACTATCTTGAATCAAGACATTGTCCAGAGAATTTACAATTTATAATAGATATCAACAATTATTTACATCTTAGTAATACCACCAGAATAGAATTACTTAAAACATGGCAATTTTTATATGACAAATATTTGACATTTGATGCAGATTTGGAAATCAATATACCTTGCAACTTAAAATCTCAACTTAGCATTGTTGAATTACCATCCTATGAAATTTTATCTCGATGCAAAAAGCATATCTATGACGATTTATTGATTAATTTATACAGAGAGTTCACCAAACAATACCACGAAGATATTTATAGACCTTGTTTGTGTAAAAGAAGAACTTCAAGTATCGAACAAATCAAACATCATCAACAAACTGAAGCAAATCCACCAGCAAAATCAGCATCTAAGCATCATTCACAACATCACTCAAGACAACCTTTAAAACATTCAGTTTCGTTAAATTTACCACTCAGATCTAAACATTCAGATGATAATGTCTGTCCAAGAGAGAAAGTCACCCCAATAACTTCTCCAATTAGTCATCATGAAAATGGAGATCACCATCACCACAGCCATCGTCGTCACCACAGTCATCATTCCAAACAATATGGTGGGTACGACTATTACACTATTCCATCAACTGAGAGTTCATCAGAAGAGGAACATTCTGATGGAGCAAATACTCGAAGCAATTCCAGAAACAATTCTACCAGTTCAAGCTCAAGAGGTTCATCGATTGGATCTATTGTTGATAGCTCAGTAATTTATTTCAACAAGATGAAAAAATTCAAGTTTGGTAGAAGATTTAGTAATGACGAATAGATTAAGTTCAGTTTATTTATTTTAGTTCACGTTAATGATTTTTTATTATTATTATTTTTACGATTATTTATTTTATTTTATTTATGTTATGATTGTTATATGGGAAGGGGTTTTTATTATTATTATTTTACAGAATTTTATAGACGTAGTTAATACATTAATGATTTTTCAAAGATTTTAATTTGTAGAAAGTAAAATTACGATTGCAAAACACTTTCAAAGAAACGAAAATCTCTCTAATTGAGTTTCTGCTTTAACAAAAAGAAAGAAGACTGTTTCCAATAATCAAGGGAATAGACTCTTTTCAGTGATCAAGGGAATAAACTTTTTTTTTCTTTTTTTTAGAAGGAATTATAGTGGTTTCCATGTGAACCGTTTTTCTGTATTGTTACATTCCATTTGAGGGCAGTGCTCCAAATCTAGGTCCTTTATCTTTTTTAATTTTGCATTGGTTTATAAAACAAAAGCCACTGCAAGAGCAATCCACATAAAAAAGAAAAGTGAACAATCAAAAAGGGTGAATGTCGATGTAATTATACACCTCCTTATTCAAACAATAATTCACATTGTTTAAAAAAGAAGAAAAGAGAAAAGAACAAGAGAAATGAAAAAAATTGTGGAGATGAATAATCCCCACTTCATGTATTGAGATGTTGGTCATCGAAATTGACAAGAATGATTGATAAAACGTTTTCTCATGGGTGCAATACCATTCACGGGTCTCCACTTTTCATACTATTTACAGTAACAAACAATCAATGTCTTATACTAAATTATACTATATTGTATTGTATTGTTCTCATTGCTCTGTTATCTTTGTATTATTATTATTATTTCATTTTAGTTTACTTTATTTGTTTGATAGATTATCTACATCTACAAACCATTGCATATTCTTGCATTACTAAGATAATTGTATATTGAACGGTGATTATCTGCTGGAGATAACTCACTTCCATCTATACACAGGTACACGCCAAACGGACTTATTGTACAACCACATCGTGGCCCCATTTTATTTTTGGTTATCTCCGTGGTCAAGAACCTATATCAAAAACGTTGTGTCTCCTAACCTAAATGTTTTTCATTGTTTTTTTTTTGTTATTAACCGGTGATATTTACGTTACTAACATTTTAGTCAAACACCTATGTTTTGATTTCAAATTCAGACCTAAATAAACCAATCAAAGATAAAGCTTTTTCTTACATAAAGATAGAGAAATAGAATTTAGAACCTTAAGTTTTTGCTCTTTTTAGATTAAACTACTATCCTGCAAAAATCACTAACAACACGTTTTGCATCAGCATTGCTTCCAAACTTTAGTTCAATTTGAATTAAACAAAATTCAACAGTAACTGAGGGGATAACAAAGATACAAATGGAAGAGAAGTGGTGTTGGTATCTGGAAGAAAAGATGAGGAGAAAGAAACTTCTTGTATAACTATCAAGTTTCTCGATACGGACTTCCGTAATATTAAATCCAGATACTTATCTTTTTGAACAAACGTGAACTGTTATCATTGTATAGATTATGTCAACCGCATTGAAATTATCTTCAAGCAAATATTTTTCTTATCAGTGTAAGTTCATTTGTAAGATCGCATTTTGAAACAATGAAAGTGATATGGGTTGAAGAAGAGGCTTTTTTTATTTGTTTGTTTGTTTAACTCCTGACAAGTTCATAACCATTGTGGTTTTCAAGGAAAACAAACTGTGGAGTAAATTGTAGTTTCAACCGTCTATCTCCAGAAGTAAGAAAGTAGACTAAAATTTTCTCTATGGTCCTAGTTTTCTTTCAATTGGTAGCTGGGAAGGTTTGACTGTGGTTCAAAAAAATGACATTAAAACCACTATCTAACAAGTTGTACACCACAGCTGGAAGTTTTAAACTCGGTAGACTAAGATATGAATTAATTATTTATTCATTACAAGGTTCCTTCATTGGATATTTTAATCTGGTTAACACAGTGAAAAAATAGTACTGGCTACTTCAACAAATATAGTATACCATGATACATTTATCACCCTTTTATTTGATTAACAACTTTCTGAATGTGTATTATTATTCCAAGACTTTATAAACAAACTATGAATAATACCGGTATTTTATTGCCGATATTTACCTCCAAACTCTATTGATCTTGAAATTTGTGGCGTACCAAAATTAAATACTGCCATATGTCTCAAATTGACAGACGTGAGGTGGCTAGTTGAGATTCGGCTGACTTCGGGTATAAGGACTGAAATAAATGAAGTATTCATGAATATTGACAAATGCAGTGATTATGTCAATTGAAATTCAAGAAGTCCTCCCCTCATTTGTGTTAGTTCATTTAGTGTCTTAAGATATTTTTTACTGCGTGAATTCAACAGAAACTACAATCTTATTTTTCTTTTCATGAAATATGTTAGCAAATCTAGATGTTATTATTGTATTGGTAATATTGGAGCTTACAAGATTCACCGAGTTTTGAAAGACGTTCCCATTGATATCTTATCTAAGCTTTCGTGTTGATTATTTGAAAGTTCATCAACAATGTTGTCCGTGCTTCTAACTAAAGCCACAACTTTTATCCATTAGGAAATCAATATTAGTTTATATTCAAAAAAATTGTGGTTCAAGAAATGAGTAAAGCTTGGTTGAACAAACAAAAGGAACTTTATTTAAAGTCCTAGATTGACTGAACTGTAATAATACTCAAGGATATGATTTCTCCCAATCAATTAGTATCTACTTTTAGTTTGAATCAAATCAACCACTATGTCATTTTTAAAGGAACCTATCAGTAGATTAAAATGGGGGATTTTCCCAACCAGAAGAATAGTGGACGAAGATGAAAATGGAAATTTCATCAATAATGATCTAGTTGATGTTGATATTCGAGATGATAGCAAACTCGAAGGTGAATCTGATACAATTGATGGTGATCCACCTATTTTGGAATATCGTGATGAGAAGGATCGTCCATGGTGGAAATTTTTTGATGAACTTGAATATAGAGTCACCAATGAATCTAAACTGAAGAGAAAATTTTATCATTGGTTCCATCCAGATGATACTCCAGAAGAACGGAGAGTTATTTTAAAGATTGATCTTTTGCTAACCGTTTATTCATTGTTTGCATTATGGGTGAAATATTTAGATCAGACAAACTTGATAAATGCATATGTTGGAGGTATGAAAGAAGGTCTTCATATGCAAGGTAATGATTTTGTCAACACCCAAGTAATGTTTTCAATTGGTAATATTGTACTCCAAATTCCTTTCATGTATGTTTTTTATGCAATGCCATTGAATTACTTTATGCCAGCAATGGAACTTTGTTGGTCCATTTTAACAGTCTTGTTATATAAATCAGGTAATGTTGCTGGTTTAAAAGCGATTCGGTTCTTAATCGGAGCATTGGAAGCACCTGCATATCTTTGTTACCATTCTTTGTTTTCATCCTGGTATAAAGCTAGCACTGGAGAAATTAATCGGAGAGGAGCATTCTTTTATCTCGGACTGTACTTGGGTGTCTTGACGAGTGGTCTTTTATCGGGTGCCATTGAGAGAAGTATGGAAGGAATAGCTGGGCATGAAGCTTGGCAGTGGATATTCATAATGGATGGTATTATTTCTGTTGTTGTTGGTATTTTTGGCTTTTATATTATACCTGGTACCCCTGAAGATTGTTATAGTATTTTCTTAACAGATGATGACATTAGAATTGCTAGAAGAAGAATGAGACAAGACCAAAAGGATCCTCGACCAAGAGAAAATGTTACAAAATACTTCTTTGATCCTAAACTTTGGAAGAAAATATTTTCGTCATGGCATATATATGTTGTGGCTATTTGGCACTGTTTTTGTTGGAATAATACAAACACAACTTCAGGAGCATATGCATTGTGGTTGAAATCATTAAAGGATAAAGATGGTCAACCAAGATATGGGTCGGGAAAATTGCAAGACTACACAGCTTTGACTCCTGGTTTGGGATTGATTTGGTTGGCTATAACGAGTCTTATTGCTGATTTATTAAAGTCCCGGTGGGGTGCCATTGTATTTTCTCAGGTGTTTAACTTTACGGGAAATGTATTGCTAGCTGTTTGGAATATACCTGAACGAGCTAAGTGGTTTGCATGGTGTATGCAATTTTTTGGTTGGGCAATGGCTCCTATAATTTACGCCTGGCAAGGTGATATCTGCCGGAAAGATATCAGAGAAAGGCAAGTGGTATTGATTGTCATGAATATCTTTGCACAACAAACAACTGCTTGGATAGCCGTTCTTGTATGGAAGACAGTTGAAGCTCCAAGATTTTTAAAAGGTTACACTTTTACAGCATGTAGTGCTGCTGCATTATGCATTTGGACAATGCTTGTATTATGGCTATATAAACGTCAGGAAAGAGCCAATGCCAGAGGTAACGGTATTTTTCTTTATGATTCTTCCAAACAAGATGTGGAAGAGATTCAAATTCATATAGAAGGAGAAAAGTCAACCGCATCCTGATTGAGTTGATTGGTATCATTCTGTTAGATTAGGTAGTGTATAATGGCTGAAAATATGTCACTCGATATTCTAAGAAACTCGTAGAAACCCAAAAACTCAACCCATAGAATGCGCAGTTTTCATGTGTAACAAAAAGCAAATTTAAGTTTTCATTTTAATTAATATAAACCATATTGCCCCCCTGATTTATTTACGTCTTTTTTTTTACAACAACCACTACTTTTTCTTTATCACTCTTTAATTAATCGACTAGACAACATTGATGTCAAATTATACACAATTACCACAAGAGCCTCCACAAGCTCCATACCCACCAGCAGTACAAGATGCAGAGAATGCACCACGTCAGTTTGGTGATAATATTCCTGATGATTTCAAGTATTCGGTCTCCGTTGCATCATGTGAATTACCATTGCGTCAATTATTTATTAGAAAAGTATACCTGTTATTAACTATGCAGTTAATGGGAACAGTCGTTATGGGATTGATTATTAGATCTTCTGATTCGTTTAAAGTTTGGGCCTTAACTAATGTTTGGTTATTAATATTGTCATTTGTCGGTGCAATTGGATTCATGATTGGTGCTTTCTATAAAGCAAGATCATATCCGGTTAATTTAGTATTATTATCTGGTTTTACTATTTGTGAGAGTTATTCTTTGGGAGTTGCGTGTGCTTTTGTTGATAGTACAGTATTAATCGAAGCAATCTTGTTAACGTTAATTATATTTATTGGTTTAACCCTATTTGCTTTCCAAACTAAGTACGACTTTATCAGTTGGCAAGGTACTGTGGGTATGATGCTTTGGGGATTGATTGGATGGGGATTTATAATGATGTTTTTCCCACAACAACTGACTTTGGTTGAAAATGTCTACAGTTTTCTTGGTGCAGCAGTATTTTCAATCTACATCATCATTGACACCCAACATATTATGAAGACATTACATTTGGATGATGAAATAATCGCTTGTATCTCATTGTACCTTGACATTGTCAATTTGTTTTTGTTTATCTTGAGAATCTTGAATAATAACCAAAATGATTAAAGTATAGTGGTAAAGTTTAATGCCAAACAATATAAGTAGAACCCTAGTATAGTTAAAATAGTAATTGATGTTAGTACTTCAACTACCAATTGAGTTTTAATTTTAATCATCTTTTGTTGTTTTTTCTTCTTCTGAACCTTTTTCTCCTCAACTGTTGGCTTTTTCTTTTTCTTTATTATTCTTAATTTGATAAGCAATGTCTTTCCTCTATGTTCTTTCTCAGGAGAATTTTTACCAGGAGTATCTTTAAATGTAACAACTTTACCCTTTGGATTTGTTGAAGATTTAGCAGACTTGGTTGAAACTCTACTGGATTTAGTATTGTTATTAGTATATTTAGCAAGAGATTTTTCAGACATGATAATTGATACTGATGAAAGAATTTCTGTAAAATAAAAAAACAAGAAGTACTTTATGAATATTTTGAAACATATTTATATCAATTTCTAAATGCTAAATACCCATTAATTGCAAAAAAAAAAAAAAAACCTACCACATTTTCTACACATCAAACATGCTTACAAATCCTAATTTGGTAATCCTTTCTACCCTGTTATAACTGCCCCTATAACTTTAATGGAGTCATTCAACAATTGTTGTTGTTATCTTAAATGACTCAGCAGCATATTTGTAAGTACAAAGATCTGCAATAGCAAATAAAAATTACCTTAGCATCTGTATTTTGGTGTGAAAAGCGAATGGTTGACAATGCGACACTAAACGTTTTATATTTTGGTTCCAATCACAACTCAGATTCAACTGGCTGTAAATAGTGTTAAAGGATGATTATGAAATCAGATTATCCTCTCCATAGTTGCTCGACACAACAAAGTTTAAAACATAATCCGAGTCACGTGTCTATACTAAATTGAAGATAACTATGAATAATGGGATGAAATAATATGGGAATAGTTTAATATTAAATAGAAAACGAATCAATTAACTAATATAAATTATCACCAATATATTATATAATTGTGTTTTAATGTATCTATTACTATACTTTACTCACTTTCATACTTAAAGTTCTCACAAATAGCATTATTTGTCATAGTTTTTTTTTTTTCTTGATTCATTATAGTTTGTATCAGATAAAACTACTCTGAATGACAAATGACAATTGTGGGGAGTCTTAAAATATGATATATTTGATTAATTCTCTTGTGTGAATGTCAACGTGTTTAGCATCTGACTCAATTAATGAAACTTGTGAATACAGGAGCTGAACAAGATACAAACTAAAAAAAGAGAGATAAGCTTACGCGCTTACGTAATGAATAAATTTACGAAAATAAAACAATAAACAAACCAACGAATGAATGACTGAAATATCAATAGTTACGTCATACGACAGGGTTTGCACAGCCATTTGAAATTATTGAAAAAAAAAGGGTCAAATTGGAGGGGCATAGCTAGTATCGATTTTATCACCAAATTTGAAACTCCACTTTACACGGGTTTAATTTGTTTGATAGTACTTTTTTTGTTTTCTTTTTCTTTGAAAACTGTAATATAGTTCGAAACTTGATAAAAATATGGCATGGCGATACGTAAACAATAATATGGAGATAATAATTACTCCGTTTGAATTACCATTTTACGGAGTTATCTTAAATGTTACAGCAGCTTACAATTAATATATAAAAAGTGGTGTATCCCACAAGGGAATATTGATTATAGATAAACAAATAACTATAACCATGTGTTACAAAGATCACACTACTCAAACCAAGTATCACCAAAAAAGAAGATGTGCAAAAAGATTTGCTCGTGATGCGGCTGGTATTTCTTTATTTGGCCCATTTTATTTTATCATGATGAAATCCCATCATTGTTGCTTTCGTCATTCCAAAAAGCAAGAGAATGAATCGTCAGAAAAACTCAAAGATCAATCACCAGATATATCGACTCCTTCTCCTTCTCCTTCTCCTTCTCCACCTCCAGAATACAGCCGTTATTAGAGGTATTCTTGATTTTGAAATAGAGAAAGACATGCATTGAGTTAATATTAATAAATATGTTACGTCATAGGCGTTCAGTGTTTAGTTCCGAATGTATGTGAATAAATACTCCAAGATTTGAATTATTCTTATGGCTGCGGCTTCTCATTCTCTGTAAACTGAAGAAACCCAAATCGTGTTGTTACCACAACAGGCGATTTTTCTTTCTCTTTTCCGATTTTCTCACAAGTGTCGGAACTTTAATCACATCCGAACGTCAAAGTGTAGGGCTTATATCCGGATATACGCGAATCCGTGATCACGGATCACGTACTTGAAATCCCACAGCCTTGTATAAAAATAATTACAAGACAAGGAATCTGAAAACTATATAAATAGCTAATTAATTCCCAAGATATGATAATATTTAAAAATGAATTTATACATCACATTAAATAACAATAACAATCATGTTTTTCAACAATCATCATCACCATCAACAACATCATCACCATCACAATAATGGATATAATCATTCGCTGGGTATTTCAAGTTTGGTAACTACTATGCTTACTGGTAGAAGATATGGATCTTCTTATCATACACCAGGATTCGGTTATGGTCCACGTCCAGCACAATTTGGTGGTTTTAGTCATCATGGCCATCATGGCCACCACGGTCATCATCATCATCATCATCATCATCATCATCATCATCATCATCAAGGACCTGGTTATCATAGTTATGGTCCTCAACATGGTCCTCAACATGGTCCTCAACATGGTCATCGCCATGGTCATCACTGGTGATTAATATTGCTTTCATTTATAAGATATTCGGTTTATAGTTCAATTGTTTGTATTTGTGTTTGTAATTTACACGGGGTTAAAATAAATATTTTTAATAATTAGAAAAATTTGTATTTGTAACGTTGTTATCTCTGAACTTAAATGTAAGAAGTTAACGCGGTGATAAGAAAACTAATTTAAACACTGAGCCTTGTATCTCTCAACAATTGTTGTGATAGCAATAAATGCCCGGATATAGAAGGACTAAGAATTGAGCCACTTAAAAAAAGGGGGGGAGTTATTAAAAACTGTAGATGGCAAATTTTTTTCCCGCACTGATTTTCGGTTTTTCACGTATACATTTGAAGTCATGTTTCGTTAAACTTATGTAGCGCAGGATAGCAACCGGCAATTGAAGTCACGGTTTTTCATATATTAACAATGCATGTTACTTTCACTTTTTATTCGATTGTACATGATAATGATCAGACAATTTCAGGTATCATTAATAATCTGTATATGGTTTTCTAAATTTAGTTAATTTTCTTGGCATAGAATGTAAAGCCGATAATGACCGCGCACAATACTGTCGGTGTCTGAAATTTCAGGTCAAATGCCGAACATGAAATTGTATACCGCACTCCTATAGAATGGCTCCAATTTATTACATTCTAAGCCTTGGAGCGCAACAAAAAAAAGATTATAAAAAGGAAGTGAAAGTACCCATCATTTTTGTTGAGTTTATGATCTTGTTATATTCATTAATCTACAAACAATGGTTGACGCAAACATTATTAACAACAAAAAAAGAAGAACAGAAATCGGTGCTGATGAAATCGAAAGTATTTATATTGATGATGAAATAATTCAAATTTACTTGAAGAAAAAAGGTTTATCAGCTGATGGTCATGCTCCACCTCATCATCCACCACATCATCATCATCATTATGACCACCATGAACATTATGACAGAGATGAAATTTTATCATTATCTGAAGATGATGAACCTGGTACTCCAAGTGGTAATGAATCTGATTCAGATCATGAAGAACCACCATCACGTCAACCAAAACCTCGTCACCCACCATTTCCAAAGCCTCATAGAAGACATCATGGTAGACACCAAAGACCAAAGAACTACCCACCACCTCCTCCTCCACCTCCTCCACATCATTTTTCAGGGCATCATCATGGTAGTTACCCACCTCCTCCTCTCCCTCCACCTCCTCCATTCTATCATGGAGAACATGGTTTCCCAGGTTATGGTTCTGCTCCTCCTCCTCCACCACCACCACCTCCATTCAATCACGGCGAACGTGGTTTCCCAGGTTACGGTTCTGCTCCACCACCGCCACCTCCTCCTCCTCCTCCATTTCATCACCAATCAGGCAATTATGGTGGTTATCCATACCCACCTCCTCCACCACCACCTCCAGGTCAACATCATGGTTATCCTGATGAAGAATACTACTCTAGTTCAAAACCACCAATGTATAGAGGTCATGGTACCTGCTCTTGTCAGAAAGACCATTTCAACTATTATTATTAGTATGCTTTAGTTTTAGATAGTATCCAGATGGTTTTTCGTTCCTAATTTGTTTTGATTTTAGTTTTGTATATTAGTCGTTTTTACATATGTGTATAAAAGAGAGTGTTTTTATTTATGGTTATTATTGTTTATTGAAAATAGGTTATTATTAATATAAGAAAATGATTTTTTTTTTAAGAAAAAAAAAAGAAAAAAAATACCAGTAAACTTTGAAGTAAATCTAAAAATTTGTAGTCGATGAAATTTTTCGGTCGAGGCACGATTTTCTTGTTAGGAATTGATATAATAATTCCATTAATTACTGATTAATATCGATAGTATGGGATTATTTCTATCTATACGGAATAATAATAATAAAAAAAAACAAGATTAAATTTGAAATATAGAAAGTTTAAAGAATGTTTATTTTTAGAAATTTGAAGGAATCCTTGGATGAATTAGAATTCAACATTTCGTTGTCCCACATTGTCGAATTGCAAATCTCAACATCACATCCGTGAATACTTTTACTTTTACTCTTCTAGACTTTGGGAAAGAGATTCTTTTGCACTGCCAACTTGCAAGGAATTTAGTTCAGTTTCTTTTTCTTTCGAATTGATCATTTTTATATATTGTTCTAATTTTCGTTAAAGAGGGGAAATTTGTGAAAAATATTTGTAATACTATCAACTCTTGAAACAATAAACTGAATATACTTGAACACAGCCTAATTGCTGCTTATATTTTGTATATAATATACTGATTGCACTCAAATTAAATGACTATCACTTGTTTAAACCCATCATCGATACAAAAGAGAAACATTGCACATACATCGAAAGCTAACATATCAAGTTCATCAAATATAAAATTTCCACTGACAATAGTATTTGATCATATATGGACATTAACTACAAACAATAAAACGGTTCGGCTATATGAGTTGTTCAAAATATGGAATTACTTGGAGATAGAACTTATTGGTGATTCATCAATAAATCCGTATGCTATATCTGATAAACTTGCTGTTCATTCTCAAGAATCTAAACGGCATGAATTTCTAGAAGAAATAAACAAGGATCAAGCATTCAATATATTATACCAAACCATTGTTTTATCAAATGATATATTCCCTTGGGAATGCAACAATAGTATGTCCACTGATTGTAATTCTGAAGATGATGTTTGCTACTGTGACTCAGCTGCAATTACAACACCAGGAGAGAATAATATAGAAAGTAAAAATACCACTACACAACATTGCAGAATTGTTTCTAAGAAGCTGGACTTGGGATCTACGTTAAAAGAATTAGAAGAGCTACATGCAAAATTGAATAAGAAATATATTACTATAGAGAATAAGTTATTTCAACTTGAAAGGAGAAATTCTTTTGACGTGACACAGTTGGAAACCTTAACTAAACGCAATCTTGTAGTATCTGGGAGAATTTCAAATATTAAAAATGAATTATTGGCTACCAATAAAGAACTGTCTACTATAAATCATATAATTCATTTCAGTTGTTTCTTAGGGTTGAAATCATATGAGTTTTTGTTGTCTTTATTAACCTGTTATTTGATTCTGCTACTATTGAAAGGTATACATAAAGTCCGGAAATTTAATAAGATACAAGTCGACCATCTGTCTCCTGCAAACACAGCTGAACTGGTACACATGGGAAGTAATATTAACCATAATATTCGGATACCTTGCGAATTTCTGACATCTATACATCTACAAGAAGATTTAAAGTAATTGGATTTTAATAGCTAATCACTAGTGTGTTGGGTTGAAAAATAATCTATAACTTGGAATATACCAATCGAATCTGTTTATTATACTTTTCTGTTTTTGTGTTATATAAACCATAATGAAAATTTTGAAGTCTTTTTTTTTCTGTGGGAATAATTGCTTTATACTAGAATTACGACGTATTATCATTATGACCCGCTTTTGTCTCTGTCTTTACTATATCCAGAGTCTATCGCTGCATTATTCTAAACTAATGTTGAACATTTACCACTTTAATGATAATATGCGACATTTATGAAGACGCGACATTTAATCAATCATCAACGACACGGCCAAGCTCAGTTGAAAAATGTACCAAAAAAAAATAATAAAAAAGAAATTTCTTCAACAAAAAAACCCAAACAAAATACCAAACAACTACAATAAGAATTCAAAATGGGTAAAAGAAAATCATCGGCACGTAAACCAGCTAAGAAGATCAAACAAACATTAGATACAACTTTTACATGTTTATTTTGTAATCATGAAAAGCTGGTAATTTGTACTATTGATAAAAAGAATCTTTTAGGTGAATTGCATTGCAAAATTTGTGGACAATCTTTTCAAACTGCTATACATGCTTTATCTCAACCTGTTGATATATATAGTGACTGGATCGATGCTTGTGAAGATTTAGCTGAAGAAGCAGAAAAGAATGCTGCAGGTGGTGAATATTCTGATGATGATGATGAAGATGAAGATGACGACGAAGAAAGAACTGGAAGTAGAAATCGTCCCGAAAGGATAGACTCGGAAGACGAAGAGGATTAATAGGAGTAAGGAAAGCTGTATGAATTAAGAAAAACAAAAGGAAAGTGTAATATTAATTAGATGTCTATAATAACTATGAAAATCATAAATAAATTGGTAAGGATACACAACATGAAAAAAAAGTAGATATATAGTCTATTTGGTAAGATTGTTCAAAACTTGATCATAAGTAGTATTTAAATACTCACGTTTATCGTTGCTCTCTTTGGCGGTGGTCTCTATTTCATCCTCTTTCTTCTCTTTGCCAATATCTTCTATTTGTTCAACTTTCAATGATTCTAATTTCGATTTGATTTCCTCCACATTAAGAAAGTCATGATCACCTTCAATGGTATCATCTTCATTTTGGAAAACTTTCTCCAATGAAATACCTTCTCTTTTCAAATCACTCAAGAAATCAATTACTTTATCTAAATCAGACAATTCAAAACTCATCAATTTCTTGCGAAAATCGGCCGCTTCTGGGAATGGTGAATTTGGACGATGGAAATCACGAAGCTTGGCTAGTTTCAAAACGGAACCTTCTTCTCTCGATAAGTTATTTAAACTTGTACGTGAGCCATTTCTTGATAAGGCTACTGGTCGACTTGCCAATACAGTTGCTGCAGCTTCTGGCTCTTGCGAGTCAGTATGTTCCAATTGAAGATGCAGATCTTCATTACCTTCACGTGGTCCAATGACTTTAGTTAAAGTGACAGCATTATTTGGGTCATCAACCAAAGATGGGTCAATCAATTGTAAACCCTTTTCTATACTTGAATCAATGAATATAAGTCTAATTAATGTCTCTTTACCATTCAACTCTAAAGCATTTTTCAATTGTAATTTCAACAAATCATTGATTGTTTGTCTTAATTCATGACGAATAGATTTAGCACGCTTAACAAACTTGATAATCTCTGGCGAACTCAAATCAAGTTTCTTTTGTGCCTTCAAGGCAAGAATTGCTTGTAATTGTTCTGTAAGTGACTCAGACTCTGAACCTTCGGATAAAATTGGCTCCTTTTCATCAAGTTTCTTTGCAGAATACAACACCTTCTCCATGTTTCTCATCGTGTACAAACCAATTCTTTCTTTGAACACATCAGGGAAATCCTCTGTATTACATTCCAAGTTGATCAATGAATTAGAATTTTTAACAGCATTGACTAAAGCTGTAGCGCATGTGTTATCGAGCTTCGTTCCTAGTATTGAAAAGTATCCCAAATTCAGACAGAATGGTAAGATTTCTGCAATCTGAAGTACTGATGATTTACTAAAATTCTCATTTTCTAGATGAAGTCTAATCAATTTAGGAAATAATGGAAGTTTAGATATGAAGTAGGACACACTAGTTTCTTCACTATGTTCAGCTTGCTCACTATCATTCTTTCCAAAAACACCAAACAATCGTTGGTTGTTTGAGAAATCAAGATATTTCAAATTTGGTAATTTCATGGTGAATTGCTCAGTTACTTCCTTGAAAGTATCATTGAAACTTAAATTAGTAGAATTAAGACTCATAAAAGACAAAGTTGATTTGGATACCAAGTCTTCATAATCAGGACGTTTAGTTAAATCAATAATTGGTTTAAGCATATTCACACTCAGGAAATCATTATAACCTAAATCAATTCCTCTGGCGAAATCTTTCAATAACCAAGAATCAACAATGATCTTCATGTGACGTGGAGTTAATTGGTTGAATGCCAATCCCAATCTCGATGTACGTTTCAGTACAGCCATGGACATTAATTTTTCAAAAATCTCGTTGTCCTGAATACAACATCCGGTTAAAATCAACTCCTCGATACCTCCTCTGGCAACTAAAGTGGCAACAAATAATTCCCAATCCACATCTGAACGATTATCCTTGTTGGAAGTCATTCGTGTTAGATTCTCATCAAACTTACTTTCGGTCTTTTTCTTTTTTTTCTTAAGGATATTAACTGACAATGAGGGACACTGGGTAATATCCAACTTATTCAAAACGGTGTTTCTGGATAAAAACCAACAAAGCAAAGACCATCCTTGTTCATTAAGAGGAGTGTTTCTCAAACTGAGTTTCTCTAATTGTTTTTTGGCACTCATAGCTGAAAGTAAAATCTTAAATTGTTCAACAGAAAAATTCACCCCATCTAAACAAACACAGATCACTGGAGCAATTCTCAAAAAGTCTGCAAATGACTGGATTTCAATCATAGTTGGATTTGGATTACGCATCTGCAAAACTGGTAACGGAGCCATTGAACCCTTCGGGATTTGTTTCAGAATAGCTGGAATTGGCAAGATTTCTCTCAAATGACAACAGCGTGCATACATGGTATCAAGCGCCATTTTCTTGATTGGAGCTGAATAACTGACTGGTTGATGGTGTGCCATTGGTTTGTCAATGGTTAATGCTTTGGCATGGGCATCAACGCGTGGTTCATTTTCATCCGGTTCTTCTGGTGTCAGGGATGAAATATTGCCATTATTATCCGTGGAACCTGCTCCTTCGTCCTCATCTTCAACAATTGCTTTGGGAGGACCAGCATCCTTTTTAACATACCCCAATGCGCCAGTGCCACCAACGATGATTCCACCGCCCAATCCTCGTTGGGATTTTTCGATTTCAATTTTTTCTTCTTCGGTAAGTGGACGTATCTTGACAGTACCATTCGGTAATACTTCCACATTTCCTTTTCTTGGGGTTCTTGAAGGAATTTGCTGTGGGGGATCGATTAAAAATGTTGAAGAATGGAAAGCAACTCTCTTCAACGGTTTCAATCCTTTAAAGCTTGGATTCGAGTCCAATACTGTCTTGGTAGTTGCAGATTGCGGAGTACCTTGTCTTGAAAGCGGAGTTCCGGGGATGGAGGTATTTGAATCACTGTACTTGTTAACAGTGCTGCTTCTACGTTTCAAAAAGCCTGAAAGTTTGCTGGTTGAAGAATTTTGAGCAGATTCAGAACCATCTTTGGGTTTGTTATAGGTGGTATTTTCAAATCCATTAACCAAAGCCAGGGGTAATGGTTCGTCTTTCCCATTTGAATGACATGAAGCAACAGACGCTCTTCTGCTATCTCTTCTTTGATAAAATTTAATGTATTCTTCCAATCTTGGATCTGAAGAATCATGAGTGTAAACTGGGGTAGACATAGTTCTGTGTAATTGAGCAGAAGTAGTTGCCGATATTTTTGGTGGTGAATTTTGGAACGAGTTTATACTAGAATCACTACTGTCATTTGGTTTCTTAGTTGAATTCATGTCATATCCAGATTTAAAAATTCCTTGTGATGATCGAGATACTGGTGGTGCTGGTGCTGGTGCTGGGGCAGCTGTTTGTGCTTTTTTATGTTCTACTGATGGTTCAGGTGTGGCCAATTCTTTTCGAAACTTGTGCTTTAATTTAGAAAAAAGACCACCACCCGTGGCAGAAAGGCTGCTGCGTCTTCTTGGTGGCTCATAAGTCGACTGGTGTTCGTTGTGAAAATGACTGCTATGGTGCGGAGAAGAATCTGACGCAATATTCTCTTCCTGGATTGGAGCTATTGATGGTTTTGTCTTGCTTGTATAGTTGTCGTTGGAGTTAGAAATGGTGGCAGTTAAATGGCTAGCTGGAGAAGAATTCGGCACTGGTGTAGTTGAGCCTGAGTCTTTACTGGTAGTGCTACTAGTATTTGTTATGTCAACATTCGGATCAATAGAAGAATCTCTAATAAACCAGTCAACATCGTTATCAGTGACCCCTTTTGCATATAAATTTGTTTCCTCTTCAAGGATATCTCTCATTTTCTCCATTTCCAATTGTGGTTTTGTCTTGGTATTTTGAGGACTCGCTGGTGAAGTACTTGAAGGGAAGGCTTGCTTTGGAGACAGCGGAGATTTAGGTATATCTATAGGATTTGAATTTTCTGTTGGAGCCATCTTGCTGAAATCATACAATTATAAATATAAGAACAGATAATGAGCTCTGGATGGTGAGTAGTTAATCGATGTGACGTAAATTCTAAATGACCAAAGAATTTGAAAATAAGTTAAAGTTGGAAAAAAAGACTGACTGTTAAAAAGAAAGTAAATAATGAAAGAAAGCAAAAAAAAAAGAATTAAATATAAATTGAGTTAAATACTTCGGACAAGGCTGAATTGTTAAAGATTAATAAGAAAAAGAATCGAAAAAGAAAAAAATTTGAAAACAGAGAGAATTAAAGGAAAGATAAAAATATATAGAGAATTTTGGTTCAACGTACACATTTAATATTAATTGATCTGGAATTTATTATGGCCAACACAAACATCCAAACAAAAAAAAATCAACAACTGCATAGATTTTAGATAATCTTGTATGTCCAATGTAAAAATGTCGTATTCTGTTTACTTGGCTACTTCCAGCCCCCCACTATTTGTCCGTTCCTTTGGTTTGCTGCAAAGGCTACAGCATCAAACGACGGAATCTCAAAAGTCACTCACTAAACATCTTGTCTCTCTCCACCCCCTCTCCTCCCCCAAACCAAGAATAGAATAGAAAACAACAACAACACAAAAATGTCGTCGTTAAGATCCATCAGCTTATCGTCATTATTTGATCAATCACTTTTTTTTTAAATTAATTATTCCCCTCCACATTCTACAATCACTACTTGTGTAAGAAAATAATACGAATCAGGAGAACAGAGACAAAGAAAGTCAAAAAAAAAAAAAAAAAACAGCAATCCATTTCTAATGGATATAACGAATTACATAACCATTAGCCAATAAAAAACGTGTCACGTACCCCCCCTATTATTAAATGCTTTACATCATGCATGGATAAAATTTATTAACCAAAAAAAAAAAATCGATTTTGCTCTCTCAACACACTACGTTACACATAGAATAGAAATAAATAAAAAAAAAAAAATCACGCCAGTAAGAGAAGTAAGAAGAAAACTATTGTGATACACTCACAACCCTGACATCATTTTTGAATATTGCCATATATCGGAATATTCTTTGGGTTGCATTAGACCAATTAACTATTAAACTCTATCAAGAAAAAAAAAAAAGAACAATAAAATAAATGATGATAGTTGACCCCAAACCTTGATTAAGTTAAAAAAAAATATCTCCAGTTTATTGAGCAAAAATAAAATAATTTGTATACATCCGACATTGGTCATGTGACACAAAAAAATTAGTTGCTTTATATAACAATTATTCATTCTAAGTAGGAAGAAATTTTACAGTATTCTTCTGAATTTGAATTAAACTTGCTCAGTCAAAGTGCTGGCAGTGAATTATTTGGTTGTCCTGCTTTTATTAAAATATGTCACGTGGTTCTTTTCTTGGTTGTGAAGAATCAGAATAATTGTTCTCGCGCACACAAATTCAAAAGAAATTTTCAGACGATGCACATCACATCACAAATCAAACAACAACATGAAACAAAACAAAAAAAAAGGGAAGATACTTCTGTCTTCATGTTAAAGGACACGTTGTAAACAACAAATTCAAAAAAATAACGACGGCAGCAGGACTCGAACCTGCGCGGGCATAGCCCAAAAGATTTCTAATCTTTCACCTTAACCACTCGGTCATGCCGCCAGTAAATCCCGTTGGTAAATTCAACTCGGACAAACGAAGCAACTCGTTGAATGCTGAGATATTGGTAAAATCCCAGATCTGGAAATGTACTAGAATAATTTTACTAAAATAAAGTATTGTACTTTAAACTATCGAGTGTGTTGGTTCAATTGGCTAGTTGTACATTGTGCAAATTCTCTTGCAATGTAAAATACGTTCTCATTCATACAACATGATAACCGTTCAATCTAACAGTAATAGTTAATCCATATACCAGGTTAAATATAATTAGAGTCATTTAATCAGATACAAATGATTGAATGTTCATCTTGCAAACCATGTGAAACATTTCATGGTAGTTCTTGACACTTTGTAAGTGTAGAAAACACAAATACGGTATCTGCAACGGGAAATGAGTTGATTGCAGCTTAGTATTCAGCAGATTGGCTGTCTTCGTGCTTGTTTGTACATTTTGGATAATTCGTTTGCTTCTTGACCTTTTGGGTCGTAAAAGGTTTATAACTACCAATCAAATAATAATATAACAGGCATTTTCTATCATTCATTAGTTACTTAGTATAAATCAAAATTACATCCATAGACAATAGATGATTGGCATTAACTCCAAACCTTAGAAGTAACAGAAATAATTACAACTAAGAAAATTGTTAAATCTCCAAAATTAAAAGTCAAATAAGACCTGGTAACAGGATCGATTGTTCCGTATTTCTGTGACATATTAATGTACAGTTGGTAACTCCATCTTTCAGTTAAATATTCTTGTTGAGCAGAAGAATACATAATGTTTTTGCTCAAAACTGAAACGCAAGTCCTCTTCCTCTCTCTCTGATTCTAGTTCTAATGTGATACCTTGTTATTGTTAATTGTCACAGGAAGGAAGTTAAATATTTCATGGCTATTATTTTCGGAAACTTTTAAATTGGGATAAAATTTACTTGTCTTTTTATTCTTCTGTTATAAATTTAGATCATATTTATTCGTCAAAATGGGACATTAGGTTTATTTAATATTTTCATCATGCTTTTTTACATTGATATAAGGCACAAGCATGTAAGAGACGTAACGTAATGTTTAAATTCAAAAAATTCCCTTGATTATTTTCAACGATTTAAAAATCCCTTCTACATTTTTTTATGTTGTTATTTTGCAACCAATAGAAAGATTCTTTTAAATTATTAATACTAACAATGTACTATGCAATTGAAGTTCAAAATGAACAAACAATAATTAACTAGGGATTTCCCCACGGCTCCAACGATTATATCATTCAAAAAAAAATTTGATTCTTTAATTTAAATACGAGAGGAATTTCCAGTAATTATCTGAATAATTTGTATATTATAAGCAGCTCCTGTACATTGATCCTATCCGGATATAATATTAAATTTAATCATTTTGAGCTCATCATGAGATGTTCCAACAGATACTTTGTATGCAAAAAAGAAAGTTGAAAAAAGTAACGACGGCAGCAGGACTCGAACCTGCGCGGGCATAGCCCAAAAGATTTCTAATCTTTCACCTTAACCACTCGGTCATGCCGCCAGTAAATCCAGTTGGTAAATTCAACTCGGACAAACGAAGCAACTCGTTGGAGGTGACATTCTCCATAATTACCCAGATATAACACATTTCATAAGATTACTCAAAACTACATGCGATATTTATTGTTTTACTATACTTACAATTTAAATATTCTATATGATAACCAAAACCAGAAATAACTAAATGCACCAAACGAAATAGCAGTGTTCAAGATAACCCATAAATCAGGATATCTAGCAGGTGGCTCCAAGATAAAGTCAATGACATGAAAGGCAAAAATGGCAGCATAAGTACTTACTATCATCAAACAATTAAGCGTACCCACTTTCTTGTTAAATACTAAGCTCTTTCCAATTAACCAATTAATCAATAAGTTCAACACAATATATTGCATCACGAGGCCGTCTTTCTTCAATAATGGATACAAACTAAAAGTTCCGACGGTATTGATATACTGAACCATAGTTATATCATGGGGGTTAATTAATAATAATAAACTGATTGGGACCAAAGCAATCAAGATGGATTTTTCATGAACTTGATAGGAAAATAAATAGAAAGACAACGCATTTGATGCAAACCCGTAGATCATGGCAGGAACTTTAACCGCAGGTTTTCTAATAATCTTGATAAACAAATAAATGTTAATTGGAATGGTTGCCAATAATGTTGCAATTAATGCCAATTTGGACAATTGAGATCCATCGATTATTTCTCTGTATTTAATCAAAATATTTGTTGTACACCAGAAATTGGCCACTTTGTCTTCAAATAATCCACGATTGAATGGGAAAACTCTGATAAGTATTTGCAATACAGACTGGGGATGGAACCAAATAAATGGGATTAAATACACAACTTGAGTTAATACAACAGTAACTCCAACAACAATCAATTTCAGGAACGATCTAATTTGACTTAGGATATAGAAAAAAATAAACAATGAATAATACAACCCCATTTGCTTGAAATTGATACAACTGATAAACCAAATGCTGGCCAAAACGAGATTTCCTTTAATTAAGTCAATTATTGAATAAATGAAAAATCCCAACATCACTGAATTATATTGGAAATGACCATGGTCGATTAAAACCAAATGCGGTTGATTTATAATGATCAAAGCAATAATTATTTGGTCCATTCTATTAATATTTGATTTCTTTCCCAATAAGTTTGCAAGTTTAAGAATTCCTGGGATATAAATAATCAATTCACTTATGATTGCAGTCATTCTCATAAACATTCTAATATCATCGGATTCTAATCCTCTGGAATCATTCAAGACAAACCATGTTGGATTAATAAAATTCCCAATAATACCACAAATATATGAGTGATAAGCTGTCAACACAGGATAATCCAACCCCCAGTATTGCAAGTCAAAGAAATACCATTGAGAAATTGGTAAATTAATCGTCAATTCCATCCAATGTCTTTGTGCTTCAAAGTCTCCAAACATAGGTGGAACATGATAACCCAGGTGTCCACCTAATCCCACGGCTGTTCTTAGTATAACTGCAGTGAGAACTAAGATATATCTCGCTGTCCATTGGTCAGGAGCACGTTCGAAATAATGAAGTAAATCATATACAGGTGAACTTTGAAAAACTGATTTTGGTTGTTTTTTAGAAATGGTTTTATTAGAAGCAATTGGCTGCTGTATTTTCTTGGGTGAGTTGTTCAGTTGTGTTGATGATTTTTTCTTTGACTTGGCCATCTGTTTATGTTCAATATTGTTCTTGGGTGTCAAAGTCATAATTGGTTTGTTCTGTTGGAATTTTTTCTTTTTTTTTTCGTGTCCATTGATGGTGGCATTGTATGAGTTAATTGGTAGCTCTAAATCACGTGATGTATAGTGTATCTAGCATTACAACTCACTGAAATCTTCTATTGAAGATGTAGATTTAATATATATTTATTAGGAATATTAATATTAAGAGCGGATATTGATATTTTAAGGAGTTGTTGTATTTTTTTTTTCTATAGCCTTGTTGTCGTATATTTTACATAGTTTACTTGAGGTTTTTTTCTAATTTGTGATGAAATCATTAAAGACAGAAATTTGAATGTGATACTCCCATTATGATGAATAAATAAAAGCCTATCTCTAAAAATAAAAATATTTACTGGAGTATAGTTTCTATCTTGTATCGAAATTATTACCACTGTGATATCATTCTACGGCTGAATATATGTCAATGCATCGAACAAGTAGTTTATTCAGTAACTAGCTTTATTGATTGCATATATTTGGCCACTGCACGTCAATAAGGAACGAATTTGAGATCTAGCGTGCCTTAAAGTCATTGTAGTACAGACTCCAGTTTAGAATCTTTTTGGATGTAATATATATTCAAGACGCGTCTTTTTGTTACATGATATTTCCTATTCAAGAAAATTTATTACCAAATCACAATCGAGACATGACACGACACAAGCAAAAAAAACAATCTAAGGAGGTAGGTCTGAACGAAATCATGACCTAAGACAGTCGTCTTCAGTATTTATTTTCTTAATGGGATATTTAATAATCTTATCAATATAGAGCAAAATTACTTATTTGATTTGCTTTTCTTAAGCCCAACCATTCCATTAATCGAAAATAGAAAATAGAAAATAGAAGAGAATTAGGTGATTATTTAATATGTCATCAGAAAGTTACACATAACTATTTTTGGACCATGATACACGTCTGGTAGCTGGTAAAATTTTCTTTTTTTTTTTTTTCTCGTTATACAGATTTGAGTAACGTATGTTCCGCCCTTTCAATTAAATTTCTATCTCAAAGAGACACCACATATTCTGTCTAATTATATTCATTAATTTTTTTTTTTTCATTTCCACCTTCATCATCATCAACATCTGTTTTTTTCTTGTAAAAGATAATTCTTCAATTCTTATTACAACTTTTTTTGTTTTTGCTTGTATTGTTCAAACGATCAAATAATCTAAGAAAATCACCATAGTTACGTTTCCTGATTTAGAAACAAGTCAGATCTACACCCACTCCACATTTTCTAAATACATTACCATGTTCCATCAACCAAATTATTCAGATCCAAGCAAGCACTTTAGTTCTTCCTCAAGTGTGTATTCTACAATTAGTTCAAATGAACCCTCCCCACAATCTCAGCGTGGTGCTACGTCATCATCAGTCTCACCAATTTCACCATCATTCAATACCAACCATCATCACACAAATGAACTGAATTACAACAGATCGAATGACAATGACTTTGAAGAAGAAATAGAGGAAGAGGCTGTACAATACAATACTCGTTTACCAACAGAACCATCAAATCAAACTATACAGACCTATAGAACTGCTCGCAGTGGCGCATATTCTTTCGAGGATTCAAGCGAAGACGAGGAATACGAAGAAGAAAGCAATTACACACCAAACCATAATGATTCTGGTTTGAGAAATACTCCTAGCTTTTCATCAATGAGTGAATCAATCTTACATGATTCTTCCCGAAACACCACTATCGAAGCTGACAATGACCAAACACCGCTTATTGATACTCGTGATAGGTATGGTGATGAAACTCCGAAAGTAAATGCCAATGGATTTCTAGAAGAAAGAACTGTTCAAGATGGTGTATATTCAGATCAACAACGACAACGAGAAGTCGAGGGACTAGAACAACTCGAAGAAGAAGAAGAAGAAGAAGAACCTTCTGGATTGTTGCCAAAACGAAAGTTGAGCAAAAAGTTCAAGCGATTATCTGTGGCTTTACAAAACACTCGTACATCGGGAGATTCACACCAGTTTAGAAATACATTTCAAACCAATGTTGAACAGGCTAATCGAAATGCCAAACAAGAATCAATAGGTCTTGAAAGAAAAAGCACTTACTATGCTAAACTCGAAGACAAAGAGGCACATGTGAAAGATAAGCATGCGAAAGGATATATTTCCAAAGATCAACATATTGAAACAAGCTCAATCAGCACCAGGGCATCCAGTATCCACAGTAGCGATATAAGCATTTCTGGTGCTAGTGCCAATGCCAGTGCTGATGTCAGTATGAGTGATCATGATGATTCTTCTTTTGAGAAAAGACGTTCCACTGCATCTTCCAATGATTTTGTTTTTACCAACGACTTTCCATCATCCTACAATCTTGGGGGATCTAAAATCAAAGATGATATACCTGCACGTAAAGACTTGCTCATGAGTGAATCGTCTAAAACGGACTTGAATGATTCAGATAGATTGAAAGCTTACAACAACTCGACAACCATGTTGGAAGAAGGGGGATTGAATATAGTATACAAAGAAGCACAAGACAAAAGAGATACTAAGGGCAAAGACAAAAAAAAGTCAACACCCCCACCTAGTGAAGAAGAAGATGATTTGTCTGAATTTTTTATCCGTGCATTACATTCCTTTGATGCAACCACTTTACAATCTGAATCAGATGCGTCTATTTGTTTATCATTTGAAAAGAATGATGTCGCTTTTCTTCATAATATTGATGAATCTGGTTGGGGTGAAGTTACATTGATTGACACTTTGCAAACAGGTTGGATTCCTATGAATTATTTTGCACTTGTAATTACCAATGATGAATCAGAAGATGAGGATGATAATGCTTCGGTTGAACGCGAGGGTAGAATTCCCAACAGTCAGTATTTAAAACCATTATTTCACTCATGTGGTCAGTTCCTTTCAAATCCATTGAGTCATAAGACTCGTCACGATCATTATACCTTTTCTATCAGAGTGATCAATTCAATTAGAGATGGCGTAAGACTATTATTACAGCAAACTGATTGTTTATCGAGATCAAACGAAATTGTCACAAAGAGACCAGTGGTTCGAAGATGTAGAAAGTCTTTATTGGCAGATTGGTACAATCTTATGGCAAAAGCAAATGATTTCAAAGGTACTTCAAATTATAGTAAAATTGAAATTTTAACATTAATGGTATACCAAGTTACTCGTAAGGCATTATCATTTTTAGAAGTTTGGTCTACTGAAAGCAAACAAATTGTCACCCGTGACAATGATAAAAAATTGTATGATGATTTGAATAATTGCCCATTGTTAAGCAAACCTCCTTTGGCCAAGCAGAGAATTACTGAAATCAATGGTATATTGAACTCATACTTAGGTTTGATTATTGGTAGATTAGATTTGATCGAACATAACCAAGTTGGATGTGATATGTTAGAAAATTTAGCCCACCAAATCATCTTACTTTTAAGAGAGTTGCTCTTTATTTCAAGAACTGGATCAGATTACTCTTCGGAAAAACCAAAGGATTTAGATAGATCCTTAGATGGTTTGTTGTCATTAGTTAGTGATTTAGTTGCCAGTGTCAAGAATTTGGTAGTAAAGACTGTGAATGAAACTGATGAAGATAGAGTACATAATTTTGGATCTCCCCAATTAAATGGTGCTAGAGATTATTATTATACCCCTGAAGGAGGAGAATTGATCCAAATTGCCAGTAGAATGATCAGGGCTATCAGTGTTACCATTTCGTCAATTAGAAGATTATTGGAAAATACAGGTGATTTCAAATTACCAAGTGAGAGATCATACCCAGATTATAACAAAATGCGCATTGAGCCACATGAATTTATCAAGAAATGTTCCAAGGGAATCCCAACTGGTGATCAACTACTTCCACCAGCGACAACCGGAGACGGAGTTGGAGCCTATAAAGCTAATAGATACTCCATGGTTAGAGCCGGTAAGACTGGAAGCTTGAGTTTCACGGAAGGTGGCGCTAAATTCCTACTGTCTTTGAATAACGATCTTGAAAATTCATCTCCATTCACTATGTCTGCTCCAGAGTTTCAACCATTTACAACAGATGAACCCACTGATAAAGCCAAGCCAAGTACAGATATTAATAATGAGTTGTTGGTTGATAGTCATGGTCATTTACTTGGAGGCTCTTTCAGAGGCCTTGTTTATACCTTAACTAACGAAGATTCTCCGCCAGAATATTTCTACGTCTCCGCATTCTTCATCTGTTTTAGAAGTTTTGGAAATGGAATTGACTTGATTGAAGAATTGATAACTAGATTTGAAGTTGGAGTACAAAGTAATGATATAAACGCTGATTTGAAGTTGAAGAAAAGAAGAAAGTTGATTGCACAAATGTTTCAATTGTGGATGGAGTCGTACTGGAACTACGAATTTGACTATAACTTGTTAACTACCTTAATTAATTTTTTCAATGAAGGGATGTCTCATTATTTGCCACTAGATGCCATCAAATTGATTGAAGTTGGTGCCAGACTCTCATCTAGACCATTAGTTGAGAATAGACTCAAAAGATATAAGCCAACTAAACAATTAGTTGATAGAAGTATTACCTTGGTTAAGGCTACCAGAAATGAGGATAGTTTAGCCAGGGACATGGCCAGATTTTCCGTGGTTGATGGGTATGAACTTTCCAAAATCAATTCCAATTCCACTACTTCTTCTTCTTCTTCAGTTAAATCTGCTTCATTGCCAATGCCATTAGGCGCTGGTGCATCTACAAGCACGATTTTGACTCGTTCACAGATTCATACAATTGAGAAGATTAACCTCACATATCGAGCTATTTTGGGTAATAGTTGGTGTTCACAAAAATACATCTCAAGCACGAAATACATCCCATTGGATTTGTCAGTGTTGATGCCAAATTTTTTCATCATTTGTGACCAAAGTTGGGTGTTGTCCAATTACAGACCTAATTTGTTAGACTTTAGTGGGTTAGAGATAGCCAGACAGTTGACTTTGTTGGAGTCACATATTTTCTGTTCCATCAGACCAGATGAATTGTTGAACCAAAACTATACCACCAAGAGAGCACATTTGAAATTAGCTCCAAATGTTAGATTGTCTTTGTTGTTTACCAATTGTTTATCAGGATATGTGTTAGAATCCATTTTACAACCAAATATCACACATAAAGTTAGACTTAGTACAGTTAAAACCTGGTTGAAAGTAGGTATTTCTTGTTTGTACTTGAGAAATTTCAATTCCCTTGCTGCAATTATAACTGCTTTGGAATCACACTTGGTTACCAGATTAACTCCTATATGGAATGATTTACAAGGGAAATATGTTGAGTTGTATGATTATTTGTCAAGTATTATCCATCCAGAAAAAAATTATCATGTTTATCGTAGCAAATTGAGGAACTTTTTGATGTCAAAGGAATTTAATGTCCCAATCGTTCCATATTTCTCATTATTCTTACAAGACTTGACATTTGTCACTGATGGAAATCCAAATTTCAGAAAGGCTAATACCTTCTTAAATCAAAAATTGATCAACATTGATAAATACTTGAAAATCACAAGAGTTATTGCGGATATTGAATGCTTACAAATACCTTATGATTCATCTGCAAATTCCCAAGCTACCAGTCATGTCGCTGATGGGTTTGGAAGCGATCAAGATATTGATCATAACATTACACCAGTTCCTGCATTGCAGGAATTGATCTTATTGGAATTGTGGAAGATTTGCCAATTGAACAAGACTGAAGAAGATAGAGCATGGAAATTAAGTTGTTCTATTCAACCTAGATAAATAGATAGTACATTTGTGAAGTTGTATATATATATATAGTAAATTTGATGTAATATTAGTGTCTTTCTTTTTTTTTCTTAAAAAAATACCAACGTGATCAATGGCACCTGACAAAGCAAAGAATCTTTTTCCCGCTTTTTTTTTTCTTTGGCTCCACGGTCTATACCGAGGATCAACGATTAAAGCGAGAACGAAAAAAAAAAAATTAGTATGTGCCTTTTTATAAGTTTTTTTTTCTTATATTTAAACCAATCTCCACTCTTTAAATTATAATTAGTTAAATGTCAATATGGTTACCACTAGTACAACAACTTCTGATATCAACGACACCATTAAACCAATAAGATCGACTGTTGAGTCTAGACAACAAGAAATCATTAATAATTTAATAAAACTTGCTCAAAAAGAACAAGCTAACGGCAATACTTCTATTACTACTGATAAATTAGCAAAACTATCAGATTTGTTGGCTCAGAAACAACAATCTAAACAAAAAGAGGATAGAACACCGCAACCTAGTAGGAAACAATACCATCCAAAACCAAAATACGTTTCTTTAATTAACAAATTTGATATCAACAAATCCAAACCAAAAGAACTCGTTGAACAGAAACCGATCAAGAAGCAAAAACATTATTACAGACCTAATCAGTTTAGTTTTAAAAAATTAGAGTCCATACTCGTGAATATTTTAGAAAATATCGCTAATTTGTTAGATAATTTGCATTTATTGTCCAATCTTCCAATGTTTCCTAAATTTTTAAATAATTTCTTGAAGCAAACCAATAAAATATGGGTATTGATATTGGTGTTTTTAATTAGAAAGACCATCTCACAACTACTCAACGTTATTAGAAAAATCAGAAAGGTCAATGTTGAAGTTGATTTATTGAATAGTTCTTCCACGATTACTAAGAATAGTTCAATTAATGACGATTTGAATAAAAAGTATAATAAAGTGTTGAAAGATTTACGATTTGATAAAATGATGTTAATTATAGAATTAATAGGTAATTTCTTGGATTTAACGTTTAATTTCATTGAAATGAATGGAATTGATTTACCAAATTGGGCAATGAGTATTTTGAATTTCTCAAGTATGGCCATGACTATCTATAGAATGAATAAAGATGACGAGTATATTGACGATGATATTACTGAAGATTTAATATAAAACCTTACTGGCATTAGTGTTTATTAAACCATGTTCTTGCTTCTTCTCCAATTACTTACTGTAGTCACGTGCTAATTTTTTCAAAAGCGCCGCAACTTTTGCTTATTTGAGAATGAATTGTATAGAACGAAAAAAAAGCGATCATTTTGAATTGAACAACACAACATAGAAGCAACAGTAAGAATGTCAAGCATCGTGGAACAGTTGCAAGAACAAGAAGAATATTTGAGGGATATTAATAATGGTATCAAACTAACCATAACCAAGATTAATAAAGATTCCCTTCTAAATGATGTACAATTCACTAAGAAATTTCAAGAAGTATCCTCGCCAGAATCGTCATCAACCGTTGATCCAATATCAAAATTGTCTATTTCACAGTTGAATCATAAATATGAATCAATAAGTAAAGATATTAAGCAATTGGAATCGTTGGTAAAAATCAATGGACAGTTGAAAGAAATTGAATCTTACTTGGAGAAGCCCAAAACATTGCAAAGTTTACTAGATTTACAACAATTGAGTACATTATTGAGAAACATAGATGTTGATTCAAATTCTTCATTAATAATCCATAAACAAATAAGTAAGCGAATTGAGATGTTGAAATCAAACTTTTTAACCCAGTTGAATGATTATTTGAGTGTTCTTTTAATTCCAGACTACTGCACCATTTTGAATGTCTCCATCCTACATGAGTTTAATTCTTTTGTTTTAAAGAATGACTACTCCTTGGATTGCTACTCATTATACAAAACTAAATGGGATAATCTAATTGATTTGATTTTAGACAAATCTCAAAAGGTGGATTTGGTTTATGATGAGTATGAAGATTCAATGGTTATGTCAGTTACAGAATCAACCTCAAAATATTTCATAAAATCAATCACTAACTTGATTAAGTTTATTAATGAACTAGAATATCCAATAATCAAGAATTTCATCAATTCAAAAATATCCAAAAACTTGGTTAATAAAATATCAAGCAACATCAATGATATAATCAAAGATCAAACTCAAATGAATGATTTGAATGAATTACTTGAATTTTGCCATGCTAACAACTGGAATGTATTATCAAGAATAGAAGGTAATGGATCAATCAAAGAAAAATTGAACAAATTATATCTTGATTGGATCGTTGATAATTATATTGAAGAGATTAGACAAGTTTTCAAATCTGATGCTATTGCTCAGAGAGAGACTATAGATTTTGACAGTTCAGGTAAAGTTGAAGAGCCATCACCAGCTAAACAGGAAGAAGAAACAGATGCATGGGATGATAACTGGGATGATGATTGGGACGTCGAAGAAGAAGAAGAAGAAGAAGCAGGACAGAATGATGTGAAAAAAGATTCAACCAAGAAATCAGCCGAAGAAGACCAAATTACAATATCTTCTATTCCTAACAAGTTACTTTCTTGTATTAATGACTTCCAGAAGCATTCACAAGACTTATCGTATCTTGTTTCTACAATTCAAGCATTGGCAATAGTTGAGTATCCTTCACTTGCAAACTCATTTTTGATGTTCAATGATTTCAGCTACCTATCTTCAAAGGTCCCATCAGAATACTCCAGAGAATTCCAGCAGTTTATCAATTGCAATTGGAATCAAGTTTTAATTAAGTTTTATCTGGAATTAAAGATTATCTTGATGTCATTAAATTTGGAAAATGATAGTGAAGTACAAAGAGATCCTGATGAATTGGATGATTATAACTTAAACCAATTGAGTTTAATTTACAAATGGTTCAATATCTTGTTTGAAGAAAAACAATTGAAGTCAACCAACATAACTAAATTCACGAGCTTAGTTATTGAATTGATCCAATTCGTCAACACTTGGTTGATTCAAATGGTATTAAATCTTGAAGATATCAGTGAACAGCAAACTTACAAAATCAACCAAATTATTGAAAATATCAACAATGTTACTATTCCATATCTTCAGTTGTTAGGTATTCAAAAGGATACATCTATCGAATCTTATAACAAACTTAAAAATGTCCAGTTTTTATTGAATAATCATTTGAAGGATATAATTGAAAGGTTTTATGAAGGTGAATTCTATGATCTTGAAACCCAAGAATTGGTTCAACTAATCAAAGCAGTTTTCCTTCAAAGTGAAATGAGAGATAATTACATTAATGAAATAATTGAATTTAGAAACATGAATTGAATATATGCATGTATTAAATGTCTGTTTATATACTATTAGTTTAATCTAGGCTGTAACTTCTTTACCACTATTTATTTTCTTACCAGTCTTTGCAATGGTGTTGTAGACAGTTTCATATGGTTGGGAGGTGACAACGTCAACGGTTTGCTTTTCTAATGAGACTTCGTAGGAATCAACATTTTCCAATTTCTTCAAAACTCTTTCAACAGCGCCTGAACATCCAGAACAGGACATGGTAACATCAAAATGATATTTTTTTGGGGCTGACATTGTGAATTGGTAGTTGTATACTGGATAAACCTTGATAGTATTTGTAACTTACTGTGGCGTATATTATTAGTAATCTTTTTTTTTCGTTCCCTTTTTTTATATTTTTTTTTTCCATGTCGTCAACTTTTGTCCGAGTTTAAATAGTGCAACGGAATTGTATCGCATGTAGCAAAAAGATCTCAAACTAATCAACTTTTGAAATTGTGGAGGTTAACTTTTTTCATTTTTTTTTTTTAAAAAAAAAACTTTATTAAAGCAATATTCACTCATATTGGTTACTAAATAAAAGAAATTGACTTAAAAGATAGTTAGGATATATGAAGAATATCAGGCCGAAAGGCATCTTTAAAAACTCATAGAGTAATATTATCCGAGAACCGGAGATAAATAAAATTTATCTATTTCATCAAAAAAAGAAACAACCATATAAGAGGTAAATTCAGATATCTTATTAAACAATGTTTCAATATTCCAGAAAACTGTTGTACAATTTCTACACTTAATAATTATCAAATATAGCTGTATCTGATATTTTGACAAGTATATCACCATACCTTTAGAATACGACATAACTTTATTACCATCAAAGCTAATCATTTTGATTACTTGGGAGAATTTGGACCTTACCAGTATAATATGTCACTTATTAGCAATATCATTGTCAATGTCCTTGGTTTAAGCGGCACCATCATCCTTGATATGAGAAAATTATAGTATTTCCGAATGAATGGGAAGATCGCAATAAGTCGAAACAAACTTTAGAGTTTCTTAAAATTCCCATATATGATAATAACCATTTATAGCTTTCATAGAAGCAAAAATGGGAACAATATTCACATGATTTATTATGGATATGTCAGGAAATCAATCAAAAATAAGGTGTAATCAAGGAGATAAAGAAAATTATTTCCGCTCTCTTACAGCGGTGTTGCTAAGACTGTGTTGCAAACAAGAACAAAAAAAAGAAAGGGATCAAGGACTTAGAAATAACGATATATAAGACTGATAATTGTTGCAGCATGCCATTTTTTGGAGGTCAATTTTTGAAGTAGCGTGATTTTCAACTTCAATATTATCAACGAAGTATATCACTGACTTCTAAAGTAGTAACATTAGCTAAAGAGTAAGGCGATAGACAATAACAAATCATCACTTAGTGCTACATTCAAAGTAAAAGTCCAAATCTAAAAGATACTGGAAAGTAATAAGGATAGTAGTATCCGCTATTTATTCACCAGAATAATTTCACAGAAACGCCTCCGTTTTGTTTATAATCATCCAAGTAGATAATAATGGTTTGGGTTATTGGTTTAATGAAGCAAGTCTTTATAAGCATTGTATTTGGGTTAACAGTTGAAGGACTTGCTATTTCCAAGCTCAACGATCGTGGTGCTGCCCCTGGACTCATGGGAAATTTCTTCGACAAGAGAAGCACTCCTGGTGTCCTTAGTTTAGAGCTTTATGTTAACAGGAATCATGATGATAGTAATTTCACTATTGGTCCCCACTTTGTTGTTAATGAATATTCTAAGAGAGATGATTATATTAGTGTTGAATTATACAATGAGCAAGTTACTTACTCTGCAAATATCACCGTTGGATCAAATAGTCAGAAGCAGAATGTTATTGTTGATACCGGATCCTCTGATTTATGGGTTGTTGATTCCAGTGCAAATTGTCAAGAGAAATCCGGATACTCCTCTGATTATTGCTTCAGTGGGGGCACATACGATCCATCAAGTTCTTCCACAATCCAAGAGTTGGGTAAATCTTTCAACATTAGATATGGAGATGGTTCTTCTTCTAGTGGTACCTGGGTCAAAGACACAGTTGGAATCAATGGTGCAATTATTTTAAACCAACAGTTTGGTGATGTGAACTCAACTTCTGTGTCACAAGGTATATTGGGTATTGGCTTGGATACCAATGAGTCAACTGATACCATCTATGAAAATTTTCCAATCAATTTAAAAGAACAAGGATTTATTAATACTAATGCCTATTCTTTATATTTGAATGCTCCTTCAGCTACCAGTGGTACTATTATTTTTGGAGGCATTGATCATGCCAAGTATACCGGATCATTAACTACATTGCCTCTCACATCAAATCGAGAATTTACAATCCAAACCAATTCAGCCACAGTCGGTACTAGCACTATTGATATCAATACTGGTCTATTGTTGGACTCTGGGACCACATTAACCTATCTTCCACAAAGTGTCGTAGATAGCATTGCTAATGCTATTGGAGGAGATATTACTTACAATAGACCGATTGGTGCTTATATTTGGTCATGCAATAGAAATGGTAAAGTAACTTATAATTTTCCACAGGGATTAAATATAGATATTCCTTATTCTGATTTAGCTGTTCCGTTATATTATTCTAATGGTGCCGTTGCTGGTTTCTGTGCTTTGGGTATCTTGTATGGTGAGAACTTCAATATTTTGGGTGACAATTTCTTAAGACATGCCTACGTGGTTTATAACTTAGATGCACTCACTATTAGTTTGGCTCCTGTAGTATACACATCTGATTCTAATGTCACTATTGTTTAGATAATATAAGTGTTGTAATTATTACACATAGTATAGTTCAACTGGTAGCGTAGAAATACCAATTTCCAAAGTTCGTGCAAACACGAAAAAAAAAGTTTATAAGAAAAAAAAATCTAGAATTTGAAAAGTCATACACAACACTTGAAGCTGAGAATATACTTGATAACAACGATTGGTACTAGCCCTCATGAGTTTGTCATCTACACAACTAGAACTTTTGAAAAAAGAAATCAAAGAAAGAGATCAACAAATTGATTTACTCAATGCATTTATAAATAAGGATCCCGAATTACTGTCTTCGTGTTTGATTGTTCATGGATATAAAGCAGTTGGAAAAACATTAACTGTTAGAAAATTCTTAGACGCTTTAGGAGTAACATATACACATATCAACTGTGATCAATGTGTTTCGAAGAAAATGTTATTACGTCGATGTTTTGATAACTTCCGTGTCGATAGTGGCTACTTTAATAGAAAAGAGATTGGCACGAGACTGGACTTTCAAACTTATGGAAGCACAGGTGATAGTTTTGCATCGTTTATTTCAAACTTGGAGAAATTTGTTGACAAATATAAATATACTCAACATCATATTTTGGTACTAGATAGAATTGATGAATGTTTTGAGTATGTGGGAGATATTTTGGCTGCTTTTACCAGACTAAGAGAGTCATCATCTAAATTGCAAAATTTGACTGTGATTGCTATTATTTCAGGTGAAGATCCCAAAGAGATTGTCACGTTATCTAATCCACATATTTATTTCAGAACTTATAATGAAGAAGAAATTGTCAGAATTTTACAAGAGAAACGTTCTTGTCAATTCTATGTGGAAGTAGAAGATGACCCTAAAGATTTTTATAACCAGTACGTGAAAGCGGTGGTAGATCTGTTTTATCAGTATACTGGATCAGACATCTCGTTATTAATCAATGTTATTCAGCGATTATGGGAGCCGTTTATTGAACCTATTAAAGAAGGCAGATATAAAGTGACAGAATTTGTCAAAGTATTTAAGGAAAACATTGATTTGTTTACCAATGAAGATGTTGTAAGTAATTCAGGAGTAATTGAGTTTAAGACCTTGCAAATGGAACAAGAAAGGTGTGATGCTAATGGCGGTCATGTTCATGATTTACCATTACATTCCAAATTTTTATTGCTTGCGTCTTATTTGGCATCGTATTGTCCACCAAGAGATGATATCCAGAAGTATTCCAAGATTAAAGTGGCCAAGTACAAGAAAAGACAAACGAAATCATCAAAGGTTAACAAACAGGGAGGTGGTCATTTGAGAAAGGGTGACATTGATACAAGAATGTTGACTGCAAATTTCACGGATCTTGAAAGAATTTTAGCAATTTTGTCAGTTATTTACAGAAACTATGCGCCTTCTTTGAACAAATCAGATAAAGATGATTTACTTTACATGGACGAAGAGATCATTGATAACGAAGAAAAGAGAGCTGTTGAAAAGTCAAAGTTTACATTGACCAGAAATATCGATTTAACTAGTCAAATTGCTACATTGTTTTCTTTAGGTTTATTAAGCAAAACAACGGCTTCTGATATTTTAGCTGCAAAAGTCAGATGGAGATGTAATATTGATTGGCATACCGCAGAAAGCCTTGCTAAATCATTGAATTTCCCAATTGAGGAATTCCTAATAGAAGAATAGATTCTATGTAAACTCAATATACGATACATTTTTGAATTCTGTTCCACTACCAACTTTTCGAACTTCTACCTTATTTTTAAAGTATGATTGCTTCCAATGATTCATTTCATAACTAGAATATGGACCATTGATTTCGTCATCACCGATCCATCTAAATTCCCAAATTTTCTCACCATAATCAATCTCATCATCCACATCCTCTTCTTCTCGAGCTCTTTTGGTCCCACGTTTGAGTTTGTACGCTTCCCCTGTCTCCACCTGGTATTTTCTCATAAGTTCTTCTCGAGTGAGTTCATAAACATCATCCAAGAACTTATCATTTATTAAAGTTGAACAAAGGTCAGTGACTTTTTGGATTAATTCTTTATTCAGTTCATCTATTTGATTTCTGGGTTTCTTCTTATTAGATTTCTTCTTCGTTGAATTTAATCGGGCTAATGCTTCCATAGGAGTTTCGTCCGGTTCTAATATATCAATTAGTCCGGATAGTAGCACATCAATTGGGTCCATATTTATATTTCGTTCTAGTAGTTTGTTAGTTTGTAGCTTTTTTCTTTCTTCTTGTGCTTTCCGAGCCTTCTTGATGTCTTTTCGTTTATAATCATTTAACCAAACATCATCGTTTGCGGGTGCAGATTCCTCACCATTGGTATCATTGCGGATATAATTTCCATCAAGATCAAATTTACCCTCATTTGCTTCTTCTTCTAAATTAAATGCTTCCATTTTGGGTGCTCTCCTTTTCCTTGTTGTATAAATATCAGCATCATCTGTGTTATTGTAATATTCATGATCCACCTCTTCATCATCATTGTCTTCATCAGTATCACTGACATCACTTTCGATAACAAGTTTTTCTTGCCCCTCTAATTGAGATACATCTAGGAATTGAGGAGTTTTCTTACTTTCATTTGTTTCCCTACATTCACCAACCATATCTTTATCCTCATTATCACTTGCAAACATATCATCCTCGTCATCATTTTGAGATGTAACTTTCCCTTTCACAACATCCTCATTATCACTTTCTTCTGGGTCACTAGAATCAGAATCATAATTTAACTTTACTTGATTTCTTAGTTTCTGTTTTTGCTTTCGTGTTTTACCCAAAACTTCGTCATCATTGATTACTATTAAATCTTCTTCATCACTATCATTCATTTTGTTGTTGTTGTTGTTATTGTTGTTGATGATCGGTGATGAACAAAATAAAATGAGCAACAAAATAAGTCCGCCGAAAAAAAAAAAGGCTTACAAATAGTCATCTCTCTATACCCATCCACAATGAGCGATTTTGACATAGATGAAGTATTAAACCTAGAAGAAGAACAATATAATTTAGGATTTAAGGAGGGACAGGAACACTCTACCAAAGAACAATACTTAGAAGGAAAACAATATGGTTATCAAACTGGGTTTCAAAGGTTTTTAATTGTTGGCTATATTCAGGGATTGGTAGGGGAATGGTTGGATAATCTAGACAACTATAATGCTTCCAAATCACTTCAAGGTCATATAAATCAACTAAGTGAACTAATAACTGACATACCATTGACAAATGGAGATGAAGAAGTTGAAAAATACGAAAAAAACATCAAAAAGGCAAGAAATAAACTAAGAGTGATTGCAAACATAACTAAAGAAAATTGGAGAATTGAAAACTTGGATAATTTGGTTAAAGAAGTAGGTGGTACATTGCAAGTAAGCGAAAATCAAGATGATATGTGGTGAAAACATAATAACAATAGTAATGATAAATAAAACAACCTCACGTATACTAAAATTATACTAAAAATAAAAATCATAATCTAATGGTTTACATTTACTTTCTAGTTTGTAACTCAATATTCCACCCAAAGGACAATCAATAACTCCAATAACCAACTGCTCTCCATGTCCTTGTTCCATTGGGGCAAATCTTAAACCACAACATTTACCAATAAAGTCAATTGATTGTACTCTTGGTGTTACCCTCCGACGACTTGTCAATAAACTACTAGTTTCTATTATTCCAACATGGTCCAAACTCTCTGCCCAAGCAATATACTCTCCGTTATGACTAAACTTACAGTTTCTCACTGGTCCACCATACGAAGCATCACTAAACCCCAATGTTCCGCTCCAGGTTTGCAAAGATTGCTGTGGTTTCCTTCTATCCCATATCTTAACTGTACAATCCTGATTGCCTGTCAATAATAAATTCTCGTTGATTGGTGACCAATCACATCCGAAGCCGAAATCAAAATGCTTTGAGAATATCAATGGTTTTTCTCCATTTTCACGCTTATCCTGAATGAAACAATTTGTGTTATCTCCAGTTATGAATATTTCATTGGTGTTTCTCGAATTCAAAACGGCACAGTTAACTGGGAAAGTCATAGATTTGGTACTTTTAACTTTGTTTGTTTTCAAATCTATAACGCGTATGTTCTTGTCATTCGATGATATTATCAATTCATTATCTCTTTCATTGATTATTACATGATTAGTTATTCCATCGATATTATTGGTGACTTGGTATTCCCCTAAATTCTTCACATTTTCAGGATCTGATACATCCGATAGTACATATCCTCCTTCAAATGTTCCACTTACCAAGTAGTTGTTAGTACATTCTAAAGTCGAAACCTTGCTATTGGAGTTTTTGTTCAAATCTCTTGAATCTATTAGACAATCGACTTTCATGGCCCTACTAGTCACACCCATAGACTTATCTGGCATGATTCTGTTAATTTTAAAAAACGCATGACAATCTTCATCATCCGGATTTCCATTGACAGTTTGTAAATGTGCATCGTGGTAGTATACCAGAGGGTAATAAACCCCATTACCTATGTTAGATCCACAACAGATTAGATTTCTCAATTGTAGATGAGTTATATGAAGTTTCAATTTCCCAAAAAATCTATCGAATTTATAAAACTCTGTCTTCACTCGATAATCATAAATAGATAGCTTCTATAATAAAAAGAAAAAGAGAGTAATAATGTTAGTAGACATTCCAATGAAAAAATAATCGAAACCGTAGTCTCAGAATTCACATACTTCCATCGCATCTTCTCTTGAGTTTTGCATATTATGAAACCAGTTATCCTGGCCAACTCGAAGTCTGTCCTTGCAAAATTTTTCATGTAGTTTTCTTGGCCATTTGATTCCCTGAATATCACTACTTGTATCATTGCTTATTGTAAATGGGAGATTATCTTCTCTTAACTTCAACGAGTTTAAAATTTTCAAAATGTCCGCCTTTGATAAATTCGAGTCATCATCAAACAACAAATTGTACAAAAATGTCAAAGATTCAGATTGACTTAGTTCGTATTCATGCAAAGTTTGAATTAAATTGATGGTATTAACAGAAGTGACAGAGTCAGATGTGGCTGTTGTGTTTGTAGTTGCCATGTCTATGGTCGTTGAATCTTCGAGATCGCTGCACTCTTCCTCTGGCTCGTTCTCAACTTCTTCGTTGGGCACTTCGCTATCTTCGTCACTTATATACGCCTGTAGTAATGAATACGGTCTTAAATCTGATGATAGTATATTGTTAGTTGTAGTCGCCATAGTTTGATAGTTCCTTTGATCACCAGGGTCCGTTGTGTTATCAAGTAAAGTGGTTCCCTTTTATTTTTTTCTTTTATTTCTTTTTCATTTTTTTATTTTTTCTATAGATTCGGATTTTAGCTGGTAATAAATGTATCTTTTGAAACACTTTGATTCGACTTCTATCTCTTCACAGGAACCCCCCATCTTTCGTTTGTATCAAAGTTTTCAATCATAGATATTGTTTACATAACACAAGTACAGGTATTAGAGTGTTTATTTGATTCAAATAATGACCTAAAGGATCTGATGAATGATAATATTGAAAAGTAAAACAATTTCTTCAGAAGTAATCGAATTCTTACAACTAGCCTATATACAACAAGATAGTGGACAGATTTTATGAACAATATGCCAATAAAAATCATGCTTCGATGATGGTTCGTTCTACTGATTCATTGATAGCTATTATTTCTTGATTTTGTCCCGTCGCACATGATCAAACTACACGTGTGTTTTAACACGTGACTAAAAGAAATATCTATTTGACATAAATCTAACTACTTTAACATTTCTTCTATACGACTTTCCAAATCATCAAATTCAAGGTATAGATCTTTAATATTTTTTGATCTATTGTCAAAATTTTGGAGTAGTAGGTAAGTCTCATCTGTATGATTGGTCAATGTGTCGATTTTGGCTCTTAATTCCTCCTTTATGTGTTGTAACTCGTCTTTTCCTTGTGAGGCAATTTTTTGCAAACTTTCAAGCTCCTTATCAAATATTGATTGATCTTCTGATAAGAATTTGTTTTCGGTATCCAAAGCTTCTTTCAAAAACATGTGTCTAGTTTCTTGTTCTAAATAAAGGAACTTTAGTTTTTTAAACATTTTCTCATGAAGTAATATATCAGATTTTTTCACATAACGTTGATCTGATTGAGTTATTGAAAGTTCATTATTATCCAAAATTGTACGTAATTTGGTGTCTATTGAGTTGTCTTGAGTCATGTTGTTCGATTAGAAAGTACGTTTGGAGAACACCTCAATTGAATTGTTTGTTTTGATTTTCCCATTTTATTTTTTTGTTTCTGTATTTTTCTTTTGATAGTCGTGTCCGAATTAAATCTCAACTGGAAGACGTGTACTGGCATTCAAAAACGTGTACACATACACACCCACTTAGCAGTGATCCACAATGTGCTAAAGTTCCCACTACCGGCAAAGAACATTGATAGGACTCTCGTAGATTTAAAATAACTAGTAGATCAATTGCAAAATGGATTACACTAAAGGATGTTTAGCCAAATCGAATCCACTACTTTTTGCCTTATTAGTTCATGTAGGTGATATCTAAACTGACTATCAATCCCATACAGAGCAACATTCTTATGAGAAATAGAGTATATCCATAAAACGTGACCAAATACCTTTATCGTTCATTTATTATTAGAAGTAAATGACAACATCTTGCACATAAATTCCATTCTAAACTCTCCAGTCATTCTTGAACTAAAATATGAGGAAAAGAAACTTAAGTACGACAAAACTCATTACATCAGAACCTGAACGGCTATAGAAGATTATCCAGAAAGCTTTAGTTAATACAGTAATAACGTTTGTTCTATATAAAATTATGGCTTAGTAATCATACCTAACTACCGAACATTTACCACCTGACTTTTCGCGGATAAACAACTTAACAAATAACCAAGAGTTAGAATATAGCTTTAAAGTTTAACTTACATAGAAGAGATAATATCAAAAGAGAACTCACAGAAACAACACTAGATTCAGCCAGTTGATTGAGGAAAATACAGGTATTTCATTTCGTTGTTCTGTTAAATGTGTAATATCATAAAATACAATTTAAGTCATTTTTCTTCGTTAATTTCAAGAAAACTTGTCTGGATCATTTTACAGGCTTGTGTTCATGTTACATATTGCTTTCTACAGTTTACTTTTGTTCGTTTATGTATCCTAAACAGTTTTGTCTACCTGCTTTATAATAATTATTTTCTGGTACGGTACACGAGCTTTTTTTTTTTTCTTTCTTTAAAGTTTCATGCATAGTCCAACTAAATAGCCGCTCAAATAATTTTGTCCTGTTGAAAACTATCGCAACAAAGGGCTTCAAAAAAGAAACCAGAAAAAACTCAATGTTTTATATTGAGAGCATACATTTCCTATATTATTATAACAGAAAAGCCTACGACTGCTAGTCACGTTTTGAATAGTATTGCTAGTCTAACAATAAAATGTAGTTTCTTTATTTTCAGTTACTATTTTTCCAATGATAAGTACCAATCGGCGTACGAAAATATAAACCAGAAAACAACTCTAATAGTGGACACGATAGTACAAAAAGTAACCTTAGTTACAAACAAAGTAGTTTCTTAATACACATAGAGTTTCGGATACCGGTAATGGAAGGATGTGAAAAAGTAGGGAAAAGAATAACCGAACGAAGGAGAAGACCTGGTACAAACCAAAAAAATGACACTGTAGTCTAATTCAGTTTATGTCAACTATTTTGATATATTATTGTAAATAATTAATCTTCGAGTAAAAGTGTTGTTCAAAAGAAATTCATTCTACTACATGTGGTCAACAAGGGTACATATGATAAAGATCTTTTTCCTGTTCTGCCGGTTAGTATATATTTGAAATAACTCAATCTGAATATCGTTTGTTTTTAATTTTCCATTTGATATTATTTTCACTTGACTAATGGTAAGAAAGCTAATTACTAATGGTAGATTTATTGTGACTACCCCCTAATATTAGAAGAGAATCTTTTTTCATTGTTTGTTACCAAAGCATTTTTTTTCGCAGTAGGCAGAAGAGTAGCACAAATATAGTCAATGGGTAACGTCTACTTCGTTAAGTTTCTTGGACATGAATTAATGAATACCACCATGGATAAGAGAAACACAAACAAACAATAAAAGTTTCTTTTAGTTTTTACTCTTTTAGTCTCTAGTTCTTTTTGGAGTTGGAATGAAAAATTTAAAAGGGCAGTAAATTAGGCTATGTTTAGTACCACGAGAGAAATAACGGCCAGAAATTGTTCTTACAAGCATATAAAAAGAAGCAAGTATAACATCAGATCTTGTTATTGTTTATAAAAGGGGCACATAACTGTTGGTTACATTTCAAAAATTTTGCGTTTAATCAAACCATTTGACACCTTAAGGGGTATTCTTAGATTGAAAAATCTGATCATATCAGACTACTATAAAATAGCAAAGTAATAATACCAAAATCCAAAATTTGATTAACACAGAATAGATCTATAAACCAAGTATGATTATTCCCAAGGCTAGTTGTAAACAATTACAAATATTTCACTAAAATGACACCAAAATCAAACTTTTTTTTTTCAGCTCTTGGAGAAATAGTTTTACCTTTTTTTCGTTTTCTTTGTCCTTTTCTTTTTTAGCTTTTTTTTTTTTTTCAAAAGACAGTGTTTATGTCAAGATATGAACAATATATAGAAGAATAATTTCTTTATTAAATTATTCAGTCAAGTTATGAGGTTTAAATATTTTACTAGTTTTTTAGTACACTATTGAAGTTTGATCCCTACATATTTACCAGTTTATTATATTCTTCTTCTTTAGTTTTAGTTGATTCCAAATTTTCATTTTCCAAGTTATGGACAAAAGTAAAAATTTGATATTGCAAGATGACATGGATTCAGAAACATTTGAAAGATGCAAAAGCAGCTCAGAAGAATCAGACGATAATATTACACTAGATGTTCCTTCGGCATTATCTTTGCATCCAGTACATGGTGCATCTCAAGATTCGCTGCATATAAACCCTGCATTGGATTCACCTCAGCTCCTTTATGCACAACATGGTACCCTTGAAAATAATTTTACAGTGAGAACAGAGAGTGATTCACATCCAATATTATCTGGAAATAGAAACAAAAGTACTCATTATTTGTCGAGAAATAGGCAGCGGGAAAAGATATTGTTGAAAAAATTTGAAGATGAAGTTTTAAATAATGAAGTGGCATCCAAATCATTTAAAAGTTTAAGAAATGAAACCCAAGAAAAATATTTGTATCAAATAAGACGATATATATGTCATTGTGCAAATAAGGGGTTAGCTGATTTTTATGTTGATTATGACCTAGTAAAAGAATTGATTGAAAATGAAATAGAAAAACGAGGACAAATTACTGAGAACACAATCAAAAGTTTACGTTCTTCCTTGAACAAATTGTATCACATGAATACAATTGTATATCCTACAGCACAACCACATATAATTTTAGGTGATAACATAGTACAAGAAATTATGAGTAATTACAAAGAAACCACCAAAAAGAAAAATACTCAAGCTATTGTTGAAGGTAGCAGTTCTTCATCCTCAACACCCTTAACTTCTCGGTCCACAACACTGAAGGAACCAAGCGATGCTTCAATCATTTCTGGTAAATCAGGAATATCATCTTCAACATCCACATTCCCTTCTAGCATTGAAAGTAAGGAACAATATTATCCTGAAGGAGAAGATGGTGGTCAAGGACAAAATGAATTTCCTGGCTCGGGAGCTGATCGCCCTGAAGTTAAGTTTAGATTGAGTACAACTTCTAAAATCAAGTTGTTACCAGAAGAAGAATCGTTATTAAACAAGTTTAACCAGGAAGTTTTAGAAAGTGAAAGAACAGCTGATATTTTAAGCAGTTTAACTGAAAACACCTTTAAATCTTATGCAACTGATATGAAGCGGTTCCTTAGGTTTTGTGCTCGTCAAGGGAGAACTGATACTTTTATTGTTGAAAACATTTTAAAAAAATTTTTAACATCCGAAGTTGATAAAAGCAAGAAAAGCAACTCCAAAAAATTAAGAACTAGCTTGTTGAAGTTGCATCAGTTGAACTGTCAAGCATATAATCTTGATTATTCAGAAGGTGACATTGTCTTTTTAATCAATAAACACGTGGATGGAAGTGGCACTACCGGTTTAGCTAACGAATCACCATTTTCAGTCGAGCAATTTAACTCAACCAACTTGTTGGACAGATTAGATGAGATGTTGAACACTACCAATCAGTTAGGGGGCATAACAGAAGCAAATAAGATTTTGCATAAAAATGAATTTAAGCGCTATGCGTTGTTTTGTTCCAACAACAATTTTAATCACTTTCACGTCAATGGTGAGACAGTTGTTCAATATTTGGAAGAGTTGACTAGAAATGATTCAACCATCAATAGTAAGAATTTGAGAAGATGCTTAAAGAAGTTGAGTTTGTTGCATTCATTGAATGAGGAAAATTTCGATAATTATCCAACTTCAATCGAGAACATAGAATTAGTTGAAGAGTTTATTAAAAACTTCAAGGCTGCCACCAGTGGCATCACGCATCCAATTTCAAGTTCAACTGATCCTTCAAGTAGTGGCGATGGAACAAGTGCTGGAACATATTCCGGAGTTTCATCTTCAATTTCTTCACTTGGTGTAAATGTACCACCATTATTTTTGAGTGAACAAAGTGGAGAAGGAGGGTCTGCTAATAGAGAAGAAACAGTCAGTTCACTGTCATCAGAAAAGTTCAACAAAGATGCTGGTTCAAGGGAACCTATAAATGTCAGTGATACCCAGGGACAAGATGAAAATTTATTATCTGCTTCGCCACTAAGTGCTATTTTACAACCTGGTGCTACTCCAAATTGTGTAGAAGGTGAACTGAAAGAGATCGCAAACAAGGAAGACAATCATGGTGATGATAATGAAAATAGTGAAAACGAAGTGAACCAAGACGAATCAAATGACGGAAACAACTACCATAAAAATTATACCGAAATTGATGGTACTATTGATTCCGATGAGGAAGAATCTGGAAGTGTTAGTGATGACGAAGTTGATGATTCCGGTAATAAAGAGGAAGATAGTAGTGATTCGTCAATTTACACTTCCAAACGTCAAAAATTAGAGTCTTTACCGCCAACTACCGATTTCATTCCACCATTTGTTATGAATAGCGATATTAGAACTGTAATTCAATTGGTTGAAGAATGGACATTAATTGTCAAACGAACAAATAAATGGGGATTGGGATGGATAAAAACCCATGTTGACCATCAAATATACAATGACAGAAAGATACTCATTGAATTTATTGAAGATATTTTGCCTGAGTTAGATGAAAAAAATAAAGGAAAGACTATTACTGAAGTTGATGAAGATCAAGTATATGAAATTGCTAAAGTTTTTGATCAGTACATTACTAGAAGAGAGATCACGTTGAACGATTTGATTAGAAAAATTGTCAATAATCCAGTTTACTCAAAAAAAGAGTTTTTAAGAATCTTTACTAGAAGACAAGCAACTGAAACATGATCATGCGGGATACTAAATTAAACTCTTCTCTAATATATTCAATAACTACTATAGATTTCTAATATATTCTTTTTTTCATTTTATTTGATAATACAAATAATGCCCTAATTCATATCTTCAATTACTCCTCTCAACGTTTTCAAATTATAGAAATTAGCAACGTTATTAAAGATTTGAAACTTCTTTTCCATAGAACGTGAATCCATAGTTTCTATCCAGCTACCCGAACATTTGCAATGTAAATCCATATAATTCCCTCTAATTTGGTTACATTTATCACATTTCAAATCTTGACTATAAAATTTGACAAACAATTTATTAAGTTGTGAAATGATACCTTCTTCAATAGCTGATTTATCGTATGGCTTATGACAGTTAGAACAATTCCAAACAGATTCTTCGTTTTGACAGCAGAAATCAATATCTGTTATATGGTTACAGTAATCACAAATAACTTGTGGAAGTTTCAATGAAGAACTTGGGTTGTTAAAAACAGCTTCTTTACTAAATTCTCTGATATCAAAAATTTGTAACAATTCCTTTCGTAACAATCTAACTTCAATAGTTCTCTTTTGTGATAATGCAAAAATGGCACATAAAAACTTCACCAATTCCAAAACCGGATTCTTCAAATTCAAATGTGATCCAGCCAATTTTGGAAACTCATATTCCTTTTTAAATTCTGGATTTAAAATGGCTTCAAGTTGTCGACGATACAACTTTTCAATTCTTCTGGTAAGCGGTTTTCTGAAAATTTCAATGACACCATTGTTGATATCTTCTTCATCAATTTCCTTGGCTTCCAACTTCTTTTGTCCCCTCAAAATGTGAACAATTTGTGTTGCTCTTGGTGTATTTGGATTCTGGGTACCTCCTCCAAGTAGATGTTCTGACTTGTACTTTGACAATGCATCTAAGAAAATAACAATCCAATCTTCAAATTCATTTTGGAAAAGAATAGGCAAGAATTTCTGCAAATGCCAATGATTCTCAGGTATCAAGTTTTGAATCTCTTCATTGACAATTTCTGTGCAACATCTACCACCGTAGTTAAATTCATCCATCCAAACTAAAAGATCCCAATACTTCACAATTTTCAAATCTAAAAAGTTGAATAATGGCTTAGATCTAGCAGCTTTCAAAATATACTGACCATAAGCATAAGAATTCTCAACGGAAACCTTAGTAGTTTGAACCAACATTCTGTTTCTGTTAGCAAAAATAACTTGTGCTCCCATCTTTTTAAATTCGTTGATTAATTGTAAAAGGGCTTTTGAAGTTAAATTATGAACGTGGTAATGCAATGCTGGATCATACAACAATGATTCGTTTTTGTTAACCCATGTTACCAAGGCATTCATTATAGAGTCAGCATTCACATTATTTCTTAATGCATCATCCCACCAATCTTTAACCATTGATCTGAGAATAGCCAACGCTGGACTTGAAAATGAATCTTCTGCAAATGTTGATGCACCATTGTTCATGTCGAATTGAACACCATCTTCTGCCAAATCAGTACCTTCTGCTTCATTAATAAGTGAACTAGTAAGAATTGTGTTGATAGTTAAAGTACCAATTTCAACTTCCAAACAAGTGGTTTCATATATCTCAGGATTATTGATAGTAGGGAACTCCAAGTTCTCAAAATCGTGCACTCTATCTAATTCAAACCCACCAAGATCTGGAGTAGGATTAGACGACCACCATAAAACAATATTATTTTCACTCAATCTTCTCGCATACTCTATGTCAATTAAGAATCCCAAATTTTCAATTTGTAAATTACAAAGTGGCACTTTTGCGTATTTAGCAAAGGTAACCAAATTCTTAATCCAGGAGGCCAATACAAAAAAGTGATTGATAACTCGCTTGGATATCAAAGTTTGCCAACCAACTGCAGGTAATGACAACTCTCTAATATTCATTTTGACTGTAGGGAAATCATTTGACGTTGGAAGCAAGCTCAAGATTCGTTCTGTATATGGAGACTGAACAGCAAACAAAGCTTTTGTATTTCTCATTTCATGTATCTTACCAATGGATTGATTGAGTTTCTTGAATAATTTGGAAGCATCATGATAATAGTTAACTTCAAATGCCATATCTTCTGGATACTTGACAATATTTGAAACTTTTTCCAACTTGTCTTTCTTTGTTTCATATATTTCCCGATATATTCTGTGAATGTTGCTTGGTAATTCCTGTGCAGCAGCAGAAGGCTTCAACACAAACATTTGACAATCATTTTCCCATGTTTTAAAAACAGTGAAAAATTCATAACTATTAGTGACAATATGCAACAAGTACACCATGTCCATGTCAAATTTTCTCAAGTATGTATCAGATTCAACCTTTAAAAGTTCTTTCGTATTGAAACCATTCTTAAGACCTTTACCAAGGGCTCCGACTCTAGTATCATCAAATTTAACTGTGTTACCAAGATCAATAATTGCACGTGACACAGGATCAATATTGGATTCATAAAGTCCTAAAATGTTTGAATCTTGTAAAATTCCGTCAACATCTTTCAACTGATCTTGAAATACAGATTGTGGCATTGTAAGCTTGTACAAGTTTGTGGCATCATGACCATTAGGCAATATAGCGTTGGACTTTTCAACTTCACACCCAGGAATTATTTTCTTTGTTGATAACTCAGATTTGAATGTAGCATATACCTTTTTGGGGACGTGGAAATTGAAAGAATGGACCTTCTCGCCAGCCAGAATATAAACTTTTAAGTCACCTGGTTTTGATGGGTCCGGTTTATATTCCAAGATTTCCCAATTTGAGCCAGCAATATTCTCAGCACGTTTTCTAATCATACCACCAACAGTTGATCTTTGTGAACTTTCAGCATTAGAACCAAATAATTTTCTTCTTCGTTCTCTTCCAGTAGCTTGTACTTTCCACTTTGCCTTTTGGTATTGCAAGAAACCTTGATAATCGTCCAACATGGACGGACATGGACCATTCAAAATTGCTTGATTTCTCTCTTCTTCTTCAGCAAGATCCACCATATTGGCTCTTCCAGACTTTCTCTTTCTTGAAGTAACTTTACTGATTTTGGTTTTTTCCACTGATGCAGCAACTTCACCGAAGTCTTCAATATCCTTAAGCTTGGCTTCCTGTTTTGTTGTTTTCGTGAAAAATGAAGAAATTGAACTCTGATGTTTAGTGTCTTCTTTATTCTTTACTATTCTTTTCAACCATTCTGGGTGTTGTACTCGAGGAACGGGATTTTTAACATTTTGTAAAGCAGCAGGAATGGTGATGATTTTCTGAATAACCGAAGCCAATCTCTCAGCATAATAATCCCAATCAAGAATATCCCTTGGACTGAATTTATTCAATGAAGGATCCTTCAACCATTTCTTCAAAAACAATTCTTTCTTATCAGAGGAGAAAATAGAAACTGGAACCGCACGTTCGGTAACTGGAGCCCCAATGGGTTTAGCACTGATAATATACTTGGTCGCCAACCCAGCATCTTTAACCATTTCCTCTCCTAAGAATTCACCTAATCTTCTAGCAGTAGTAATTGAGGTGGATTTTTGAGCACCATATTCAGCTAAGGACTTGGACATACTTTTGTTCTCACAAATCAACTCGATTAAATCTTCATCCTCTAACATTCCACCTTTAGTATCTAAAACATCCAACCAATTGTTGGCTACAGTTGCAACAGCCTGGTAACACGTTTCTAAAGTATTTCCTTCCAAGAATAACTTGAAAATGTCAGATTGGAAATTTTTAATCAATTGTAATTCCCCTCTTCTCTTCAATTCAAAACCTTTCAATTCTGCCAATGACCCATCATCATTAAAAACAGCGTATCTCTTTTTCAAACCTTTACCCTCTTCTTTAGACGTTGGAAGAATCATGGCCTTATACGGACCGTCAAGTTCAAAGAAAATAGAATTATCAGATCTTGTTTCGTATTTAAAAGTCTCTGGATCAACCAAATCTTGATATTGGTGATTTGTATAAGTTTGGTGCACCAAATAATTTAACATCGAACAAGGATATTCCAAGTGGATCTTTTTGCCATCCTTACATTTCAAACTGTAACGGTCAGGGAAAGTGCTTGGAAGAATACACCAAATACCATCAGTATCCAACTCCAATGGTCTACCAATTCTTTCAACCAATGATCTTGCCATTTGAATAATTGTTGCACCAGTAAGACAAGTAACACCTGCCATCTCCATTGAATACCAACGAGAACCCTTTCTCATGACATAACCATAAAAGGAGTTCAAAATAACCTTATGCGCTAATTGCAAAGAATCATAAAGAACAACCATTTTCTTTGCTTCATCTCTTGCAATAGTATCACTGGCATCAATTTTGCCAACTTTACCTTTCCAAACTTTTGCTAACCCCTTAAATTCATATCTACGATCACGGAAGCTTCTAACAGTGTTCACATAAAATGGATTTTCCCTTTGACAAATGATTGCTTCTCTTGTAACCACTTTACTGGCCTTTACTCTATGATAAACTTTTCTAGAATAATCAGATATTCTCTTTTTGATCAATGAAGCTTGTTCAGCATAAGGCAATTCGTCAAATGTTCTTGGAGGTAACCACGGCTTTGCACCAGGAAATGTTTCATTCTGCAAAGTTCTTTTAATCATATTGTATTCATTCATTTCTGCAGGATAATATTCTCCTCTCCATGCCCAAGGCAATCTTCTGTCACAGTTTTTTCCTGGTCGGTTAAAATCACAAGCTGCACAATCTTCTTCTGTTTTCATTGAATCAGGTTGTAAACGATTTGTTGTCATAATGTTAGGGTACATGGATGCCACATCGACGTGGTAAATAAGTGGCTTTTCATGTCTAATAGGTGTATTCTTCAAATTTAATAGAGAACTTTCAATCTTGCTGTAGATCTCTTCAAAGTTTTCAACGTCTTCCAATTTCTTACCATTTTCTACCTCTATGCAGAATTGCATGGAATTGCGCAAGTTGCCCAACAACTCATCAATAGCTGTAGGGTCTACCTTGAAATCGGTGTCGATGTCACTTCTAAATACACCAGCTTCCAAAGATTCAACATGACCCCCAACATACGTTTCTGATTCTAATAAATGTCCATCATAGAATCTTTCAATTGGATCCGCATGCTTATTCGGCAATAGAATGTTTCCTTCATATGCTTGAACAGAAAGCAACATTTCACACAAGGTACCAGTACCTTTTCTTAACACTTCATCAGGATTCAACGGAATAATTGTACACAACGAAAAGATAAAAGGATGAACATATTTGTAGTACAAGTAATAGGTTGCAACGGCATCAGATACAGAATACTCAGATAACAATTGTGGCTTTTCATATGCATAAGGAGTCATTAATTCAGGATCCAATTCAGTGGGATTATAACCTAACTTGACAGTAGTGACGGCTTTCAAACCTTGAGAACCTTGAGGCAAATATGAGTCTCTCTTGACCCATCGGAAACAATCCATGTGCACACAGTATTTAGATTTATACTCATCTTCATTATCTTTCGCAAAACCAATTTCATCAAACATATCCATATCGTGGAATCTAGCCCTCTTTTCAACAAATGGCCAATCGAAAAAATCCCCGTTAAATGTTGCAATCACGGTAGGTTTAACTTCACGGACGTGTTCAAAAAACCTCATCAATAAATGCTTTTCATCTGGTTCATTAAAAATTGTAAACAAACCTGGATATTCTGGTTTAGGAGTGTACTCAAAATCTTCAATATCCTCAGAAATAATTTCTCTGTTTGTGATTAAGAAACCTTCACCATCGATCATATAGGAAATCATCATTATTTGATCAACCTTGGCATCAGGGAACTTTAAAGGAGCTTTTGTGGTTTCGATATCAAACGCAAGAACAACAGGGTCTGCAAATGCAATTTTTTCTTTGTCTTCAACAATCTCGATCTTTGAATGCTTAGCATATACATCATACCATTTACCAACTCTTAATTGTTTGTCTATGGAAACTCTCACGTGGTATGGAACATCATATTCTCTTATATCATCAATGTAGGTAGATGGATCTGAAGAAGAGTCAACGTCTTTAAAATTATAAAGATCTCTAGATTCTCGTTTTAGTTGATTGTCTTTAATGATTGGTGTCAATATCCTTTTAGCAGCCAACAAGTCTTGATTATTATGAAAACTAAGTTTGATTAAATTCTTCTTAAGCCCCAATAAATGGTTAGGCAACTCCAAAGCATCTTTGATAACACGACTGAATTTTTTGACATTACAAGATTCGAGATTCTTTCTCAACCATTCTTCAACCTCCAGCTCATGATCTCCTGGTAATACATCAATGAAAAAATATGGATCGTACTGTAGAGTAGCTTTAAAACTCCCTCCTTCTTCATCAAGAAAATAATAGTCAACACCAGAATATCCTGTCAAATATTCATCACTCGGTATAGTTGTAGCATGAAAATTAATCAACCACCCTTTACGTGGTTTATTTCCATCATTTTCCCCGTGATCAAATCTATCAAATCCCATAAGTGAATCAATATTGTCTATTCGTTGAACAAGCTCTTTTCTTTGGACTGACTCATTGAGCATAGGATTGTTGGCAACATATGGATCAACAACTTGGCTGTTTTGTTGCAGACGATATTCTTTTGTATTTCTATAATTTGTATTGATTTCATTCTTAACAAATCGGGCGGACGTTGACCCTTTAAATCTATTTGGACGCAGTGACATAGTCTATTAATGTTGATACTAATATCAGTAATAAATAATTCCAATTCTGTATAATATAATTGGCTAGAATGAAATGTCAAACAAAAAAAAAAAATGAACAGTAGAAACACCGCTGAGATATATACGTCTGTGTAAAGTGAATCTAAGTAACCATCGAGAATTTTTTTTTTCTTTCCTTCTTATTTCAAACCACACGCGTAATCCTGTATGAAAGTCAAATCAACATCTCCGCGTTCTGTACCATGTGTTGCAAAACCTACAACGAGGTTGTATTCAACAAGAACCCATTATCATGAGATGTATTTACACGTGAAGCAATCAATAACACTTGTTCTGAACTATTTCATAGATCATATCATATGTGTGAGTGAGAAAGCTTCCTTTATATACAATTTTAGCCATTGCAGTACACCACTATTGCCATATTAGTGAGATACCAAAGAAATAAAACAAACATACAAATAAACAAATAAACAAATAAACAAACCAATAGAGAACAACCAATGCTAATAGAAGCATTCCTGTTTTATATTTTGTTAAAATAGAAGCAGTATCTCAACCAGTTTATTTAAAGTATCTAACATGGTGTTAATATCGAGTACGTTACGAATATCCATCATCAAAACCAGAACGTTACGATTTGCAGAACTAATACTTTTGAATTTAACTGTAATACATCAAGAACGAACTCTTCCACTTCATTACTCTATGTTCTAAGCACACCAGCTATTTCTCATGGTGTAACTGTTGAATCTATCAACGTATGTCGTGCGACATCACGTTTACGACATTTGTTACTCTCAACTTTTTTTTTGTTATGTTCTCGATATAAAACCGAACACAGAAAAAAAAAAAAGAAAAAAGTTGGCATTTCAATAATAAACATTCTTTCATTTCGACTTGCTTAACTTCAAAGATATATCATATTTTTATCATAATAAACAAAGTACAGTAGAATAACATTGAATTTTAATAAATTATAATTTTAAGTTTATAAACATTTGATTTTTGGTACTGTTTATATATCTTCCGTTTAATCATTTCCATCAACATGAACAATCCCATGAATAATGGTATGCAAAACCAGAACAACAATGGTAATCGTCAACAACAACAGCAATTTAATTTGCAAAATATAGCTCCTCAACAATTAGCGCAGTTGGTAACTGCAATGAGAACTTCATATGATCAAGCTAAGAATTCCACAAATGAATCAGAAAGACAGCAGCTCTTTAACCGTGCTGAAAATATCAGAAGATTATTGGCAAGATATCAAGCACAAAAGAATAGGCTTCACCAACAGCAGCAGCAGCAACAACAACAACAGCAACAACAACAACAGCAACAACAACAACAGCCACAACCACAACAATCGCAGCAGCAACAACAACAACAATCTTTGTCGGAGCATCAACAACAAATTCAAGCAGTTCAAGCACAGGCACAAGCATTAGCCCAAATGAACAACCTCAACAATAATTTTAATCAAATGAATAATATGAATAATATGAATAATATGAATAATATGAATAATATGAATAATATGAATAATAACCAAGTTGGATCCCCTATGATGCAACTGCAATCACCAAACTCTTCGCTTCAGTCACCCATGATTCAACAAAAGCAAGTTAATATGGGTACACCAATGAGACAACAGTCGCCGCTAATGCAACAGCAATCGCCAAACACATCACAATTCTCATCTCAACAACTGCAAGGTACTCCACAACCTCAGTCTCAGCAGACACCACAACCAAACAACAATAATATGTTTGGAAATATGAATTCTTCTGGCTCTTCAAACATGAATTCTGGACATATGAACGGGAATCCACTTGTGAATAATATCACGATGGAAAGGTTTAGCCAAATTAGACAGAAGTTGGCAGAGGTTCAACAAAAGGTTCAATTGCTAGAACAAAGCAAGAAAACAAATAATATTACTCCGGAACAAATACAATTAATCGATAAAGAGATATTGGAACTTAAAACTAAATTTCAACAATACCATAAAGTTGGCTTGTACATAAAGAATCAATTAGCTCTTCAGGCAAAAGCACAACGTCAAAAACAACTTGAGCTACAACAACAGCAACAGCAGTTACAAAATAATACCAATGCTAACCAACTACAGCAACAACTGCAATTGCAAAATACTCAACAGAATTTACAACAACAAATGCAACAAAACCAGGCTCAAATGGCTCAGCAACGTAGTTTTTCTCCCCAGTTGCAAAATGCTCACCCACCACCATCACAGCAACAACAACAACAACAGTTTTTGAGCAATCAACACCGTACTCAAAGTAATAAAAACGTGATGCAAATGCAATCACAAGCTCCAACACCTATGCCAGCTAGACAAACTCCACAATTGCAAGCAAATCCACCTCCAGTGGCAATGAATTCACAAGCACCAACACCGTCGTTTCCTATTTCTCAACCTACACCTTCAATGAATAGACCACCACTGGTTGCTCCTTCAGTGTCAGCACCGATTCAACAACCACAGCAGCAGCAACGAGCACCAAGTAGACAAGCTTCCGCTACACCTCAGAATCGTTTCCAACAACAGCAAACACAACCACAGCCTCAACAACAACAACAACAACAACAACAAGTGCAACCACCACAAATTCCACCAAGCACAGCCCAAGATAAGGTACAGCTGCAACGCCAATCAACTTCTAGTGCTACTGGCACACCTGCTGCTAAAACCAATGGACCATCAACAAGTAAATCTCCTTCTGTTGCCAATGTAAATTCTGCTGGGGCATCGGGAACAGCTGGGGGTGCAGCCTCTAATGAAGGAAGCGGGCAAGCAACTGCGCGAGGAACCCCACAACAGAAATCGCGTTCATCTATGTCGTTGAATTTGGCTGGTATTACTAGGCAATCTGCTCCAACTATTCCAATTTCCAATTCCATTAATGTGAAACCACCAATTGTAACTACTTTCAATAGTGCGAATGATGCAAGACCGACATTAACAGGTGGTGCCGCAAACTCAATGAGTATTTTGTTGGATACTCCAGCAATTACAAAATTGCCAACTTTTGATATTGAAGGTGATACCAGTTCACTTGATGCAAATGCTACTGGAAGAGTATTTAATAAAAGAAAGTTGACCGATTTAATAAATACTATTGGTGTTGATGAAGGTGATGGGAAAACTACTATTGATGGAAATGTTGAAGAATTATTATTGGATTTGGCTGATGAGTTTATACATTCTGTTACTAGTTTTGCATGCAGATTGGCAAAACATAGAAAAGTTGATAGTGTTGAAGCAAGAGATATCCAATTACATTTAGATAAGAATTGGAACATTAAAATTCCTGGTTATGCTATGGATGAAATTAGAAGTAACAGAAAAGTTCAACCAAGCAATAGTTACAATCAAAAAGTTCAAGGGGTGGAAGTTTCCAAAGCTGTTAATGATGATATGAACAATGTATAGATGGCATGCTGTTGTTGTTTCAAACAAGAAATCAATTGAGACTGAAACTTTGTTGTAATTACAAGACAACGGACGACAAAAAATTACGTTGTATCCATATGTGTATACTTATGATAAACAAAGTCGCTATATACAATAATTATTATTATTATAATAATAAAAAAAAATAAAAAACTAATTGTACTATTATAAATTTTTAAGTTTTCTAATTTTCTTAGCCCAGTGTTTATGTTCTTTGTCATATATACCTTCTTCAACTCCTTTCAAGAACCCGTCTTTGTCATCCAATAACTGCCATGGAGTTTTTCTCAGAGCATCATCCTTGATTAAGCATGCATCAATAAACTCACATAATTTCTTATCATAAGGTTGTTTGGTAACATTATTGATCTTGTTTGTTAATGTTGGCGCATCTTCATTGACAATTCGTTGTAATAAATCCAAAATACCTTCAGGGCCATTATATGAATTCATATCGTTGATTCCATTGGATTGGCCATTACCCTCCTCCTCATCATCATCATCATCTGTCCATACTGGAAGGCCACTGGCCAATTCTATTAACATCAAGCCAGTAGACCAAACGTCTGACTTCACACCATAATCCATACCTTGAATTCTTTCTGGGGACATATACATTGAAGTACCAACAAAAGTATCTGCCATTGCAAGAGAATTCGTTAATTCACGAGAAACACCAAAATCACACAACTTGAAATCACCCCTATGTGTCATTAAAACATTATTTGGCTTAATATCACGATGAATAATCTTATGTGTAGTATACAAATATGTCAAACCAGATAATATAGCAAAAGAAAGTTTCTTTAAGACAAAAGTTGGAAATTGTTTATTGTCGCAAAGCGGCAAGATCTTATCCAAAGAACCACAATTACAGTACTCCATACAAATAACAATAGTGTTATTATTGTTTAAACATGCCCCGTAAAATTCAATAATATACGGTGAGTGGCATTCATGTAGTATTCTTAACTCACGAATAATTTGGGTTTGGATAACACTTTTCAGGTCAATATGAATAATTTTTTTAGCCATTGTTTTTTGAGTGGGTATATGCAAGATCTTGGACACCGAACCAGAGTTACCAGATCCCAATTGCTTTAAAGTCAACAAATCTTTACTATTCAATTTCAATGAACTGGTTGTTGCTATAGGAGATTGTGCATCTGTTACTAGTTGTGGTTTCGGCTCTAACGGGGATGATGAAGTGGATTTGGTTGGTGATATGGAAGATATAACAGTTTGTCTCTTACGACTCGGTAAATGGTGATGATTGTTCTGATGGAGACGTTGTTGGTGATGATTCATATTTGATAAATCCAAGTTTGATATCTGATTTAATATTAAATCGGTGGATGCCTCATTGTCCGGGTCAACATTTCTATTACTTCTATTGATATTAAAAGGTGAAGTGGAGGATGATCCAGGACCAGCTTTTCCACCAGCACTTGTAGGTCGACTCAAAGTTTGACTGACAATTGCACCTGATCCAGGTGATTGTTGAGAAAATGCCAATGATGATGTAGATGATGTGGGTATTTGTGCAGGGGTATTTGAAACTGATGAAGATGAATTGGATAAATTGAGAATTGGAGCTGGACGTTGCCTCTTTTGTCGTAATGATGTTGGTTCTCTGATATCCATTGTATCGTTGGAGATTAGATTCTCTTTGGATTTGACTGGGGAGGCGTCCAAAGAAAGTTTCTTAAAGTTCTTTCTTCTCAAACTTTTGGTTTCCATTAACGGTTGATCTAAAGTTTGACTGACAGAACTTGGAACAGGTGGTAATTCCTTTTCTCGAATATCGTCTGTAAGATCCAAACGATTTAATTTCGACATTATAATTGGTATTGTAGTTGTTAAACGTTGATATAAAACAATGAATCTTTCAAAGGAGCTTTTCCTTACTTGAAGTTTTTTTTTTTTTTTCTTCTTCTTCTTTGCTTTTTGTTGTTTTGGGTTTGTTGTGGTTTTGGATTTCTCGTTGTCCCAGAATAATATTTTTTTTTTCTGTACATGAAACTTTTATTGTTTTGTTTTGTTTTGTTGTCGTTGTTTCGTTCACTTCTCGGGCGAGCCATTGGCCTGGACTTGGTCCAAAACGTTTCGGTCTAATTCGTAACAATCCGAATTAGTTTCTGTTGCTTTCACTATAATCGACTTCTTCCTCTTACTATCAATTATATAACTTATCGCCAGATTTTGTAATAAAAAAACCTATCATAACAATCATCCCATATTCCAATTCTTGCTGATAATTGTCATCTCTTTTTCATTGTTTATTTATCTTTCTTTTATCTACGATTATGGGCTGCTACAGACGTGTTTTCATCTGCAGCTGGGCCAGAATTGCAATGTCAACCCTGAACCCTTTATTTGGCTCAAGCAAGAAAATCAAGATTCAGTAAAAAAAGAAAGATCTTAGAAAATGAATAAATTCTATTACATGAAAATAATGTAAAGCTACTATCAATAAACTACTCTGTAATATTTGTTCAACGTGTCAGTGTTTGATTGGTTGTGTTGAAGAGTGTTTCATTCTATTTTTTTTGTCTTCTCATTATTAACTGACAACGAAAGTAAATTATATCATACCATGATTCCAATTAAATTCCACCAGAATATTCAAACCAATAGGAATGTATTCTAAGATTGCAGTTGTAGAGTGGATACCACTACTTACCAGCTTGTACATCACGTAATTTTTGGAAATATTTTTGTAAATTTCTAACATGCAATCATCATATCATCATATCGTTAAGGAAGAAAATGATATCTCCGAGAATATGACTAAACGAAATTTTAAAACCATCACTATCTAATTTTCATTTCATCAAAAAAAGCAAATATGATTTCCATCAATTGCGCTTTCTAATTTATACTACTATAAATAGTCTTTATTCTCGGAACGTTTTTTTGGTTCTAATATGTCGATCCGATCTTACTTCTGCAAGTTATTATATATATTTATCTCCTAATTTTTGATGAATGTCTGATTTATATCTATTAAGCTATAACCGCTTGTCCCATCGTTGAAATATATTGCCAAGAATCATAATAGCCCAAGTCTTCGGTAGTATTCACCATTTGATTCCAAACACCATATGATTTACACAAATTTGTAATTTATTTTCAAGCCGATGTAGAATTTCATGGATATAAAAGAGTTGTGTGAAAGAACAGAAAAAAAAAAAGCAACAACATAACCATCAAGAAATCAATATGAGGGTATAAAGATGTCTGTAATTATTGTTAGTACCTAAATCAAAGCGGAAATCTATTTCCTTGTTGCAGATTTCCTGGGGATGGGTTTATCTATGTTATCAAGTGTTAGATAGAGAATGCCCCCTTTTTTTTTAGTCTTATTTTTATTTTTCATGTTTTGCTTCTCGCTACCAGATGTAGCGATATATTTTTGTCTTTTTTTTTTGTGTGTATTTTAAAATGATGCACATTGTGCGGAAAATCAGAAATTCTCCACAATACCATCGGCAAAGTATGATACACCATATTTGGAAATTGAAATGCAAGTTTCTTTAAATACCAAAATACCTTAAATCCACCGATTGAGCATAAGTAACGACACATTTGGATTTACAAATTTAAGTCTTTAGCTAAATATGTGGACAATAACTAAGAGGAAATAACAAATAAAAAGAAATTTCGTGTATCTTTATATTTATCTCATATTTTTTTGTAGTAGTAGACATTATCCGCTCTGCTACGAAACATGCATACGTTGAGATAAAAACTTCTAGAAAATGTTGAGTTTTCATTATTTGCTCTTCTAATTTGCTTTTGCTTTTGCTTTTGCGGTTGTCTAGGTTGTGAAAGTTTCCTATTTTGTTGGCATTACATTGGATTGAATTTGTTATGATATGTGCAAGTTTCCTTCATGTTTCTGATTTGTGATGGAAAAACATTATTGATTGACAAATTGTACATCTTATTTCCGTTACTTCCATTTGAACAAAAATAGAAAATAGCAAATAAACCTTGAAACATTGTCTTAACTATTTGGAAGCAAGTGATTTAAAAATCTACTTTCGCAATAAAAGAACCAACCACACCAACAACCGGAATTTGTCTAGATATCTTACTGTAGTTCATTCCATATCTAAAATTTCAGTTATGGTAATTTGAAACTATTTTTTATTTTTTATTTTTCGCTATATTACCTGGCGGTGGTACAAATACCCCACTGCGCCGAATCATACATTCAATCTCCGTTGTGCTCCTCCTCCCGCTTTTACTTTGACCTTATCGGGCCCTCGGCCCCACAACAATCATACCATGAAAACAAAGCTACTTTCTATTGTTTCAGACTAACATGTGCGCCACATATAATATGTCCTTGCAAACATGATGAAATATCTCGTAGTTGATCAATAGCTGTGTCAGTCACTGAATCTGACATTGATTCGACACTAGATGTCATTATACTCTTCGTGCTATCATCAATCAATTACAACCACTTCTTAACATCTACAAAGTAATCATCATTCACTATTAAAAAAAAAAATAGCCGTATATATAATTTATATAAAATAAAAAGTCTAAAATAATTTCTATCTATTTTGTCTAGTTCGTTTCAACTTTTTTCTTCTGTTTTCATAATCTCATATAATCATCATTTTCTTTTTTTTGGTTGCAAGAAAAGGAGAGAAAAAAAAATTAGATGCCAAACCGATTAAGAAAATACCAAACGATTGTCCCATACATTTATTCAACTCTAATTAACACCTGAGAAGTTACTTTGAAAATCTTGATGATTATTGTTTTGTAATTGGGAAGTTGGTGGTTGTTTTTGTTGTTGATGTGAAGGAGGTGGAGGAAGTAATTGAGACTGAGAATATTGTTGCAACCCTTGGTATTGATTCATCTGTTGTTGCTGTTGTTGTTGTTGTTGAGGAAAACCATGAAGTGGAGCTTGATTTGGATATTGTGACGACAATGGAACATATTGCTGACCATAATGAGGTTGATGTAAAGGAACTGAACCATACTGTTGTTGTTGAGTGTATTGTTGATCTAAACCAGTAGTAGAGTGTTGTTGATTATTGATTAACATATTAATCTGATCAGTTGGTTGATTCATTGGTTGGATCATATGATGTGGTGGTAATCCTTGATGTAATTGAGAATGTGGATGTTGCATTGGATTAGAACCATAAGGACCTTGAATAGGTGATGTTGGTTTCATTGTAGGAGTTGATTTCTTCTTCTTTGTACGACAGCTAAGACAAACTTTATTTCTACCATGATCACTTGGATCTAAAGCCTTAGCACACCGATTACAATTACCCATTTTTTCCAAATTTGTTCTTCTAATTTTATCATTTTCACGACATCTCTGACAAACTTTGTAATTATTTGTACCTCGACCATTTTTCTTCTCTTCAGACTCAGCATCTCCATTGGCATTAGGTTCAGTAACAATATTACCATTTTCATCTTTGACCAATATAGAAGTATCTAAAGGACCTGAACAATGGACACATTTACCTTGAGCAGCACGATTAGCTTTTCTTGTTCGTAAATTCTGTCGACAACTGGGACACAAGACAAATTTTCTTTCTTCTATTGGAATTTCAGATCCACATCTACGACAAACACCTTGTTTATCCTTTGTTTTCTTTTGCCATCTTCTAGATCTTTGTCTTTGCAAGTCTCGACAATGTTGACACAATTTGAAAATCTTAGGTTCTGCTAATAATTTCTGACCACCAGATGAATCATTAGCTTTGGGAATTATAACTGGTTGATCAAACTCTTTTTTACATCTAGTACAATTCGACCTAACCATTTGTTGATCCTCATTATTAAAAACCGCAGTGGGGTGTGAATGCGATGATACAGAAGATGCAGATGAAATACTATGTTGATGTGGTGGTTCTTGTTTCAATGAAGTAGGTGAAGTATTATACGAACCATCTTGTTTTGAAACCAACTGTTGTTGAACATGTAACGGTGGAATAGGAGCAACAAGATTTCTATCACCATTATTAATATTATTGTTGTTATTGTTATTATTATAGCTTAATGGATTTGGTTGTGGATCACCATAGGCAGAATCATACATTTGACGTGGTTGTTGATGTAAAGTATACTGACCAAATGGTTGATTTGGTATATAATTTGATGATGGCATTGGAATGTATGTTGGTGGTGGATGTAAAGGTTGTTGAGACGACCCACGAGGTTGTACTTGTTGATATTGTTGAAATCTATTATCTGTAGGATTAACATATACTCCTGGTTGTTGAGAAATTTGTGGTTGTATAGGTGAATGGTATTGCAGTTGCTGTGAATTTTGTTGCAGTTGTTGCACTTGTGGTTGTGATTGAGAATATTGAGGTTGTTGGTACGAATTTTGATTATTATCCTGAGATATGGGATTAGTGTTACTATTATTATTATTCACATTGGGGTCCAACTGATGCTCTAAATAGGGTTGATCCATGGTATTAGGTCTATAGTAATTAGCACCGTATGCTGTAGTTGCAGTCGACAATATGGTGGACACTTTTGATTTTTTGATTGCAAAATAATGGAGCAGGAAAACAGTAAAAATAATAATACTAACAATAGAATATCACCACTTAACCAACTAAAACAAAACAAAAACACACACACACAGTATTGTTATTTATTATACTTTAGCAATTTAATACTGAAATCTGAATAGTTAATACTTCTAAGGGTCCTTTTTTATTGAAACCAAAAGGAATTCTTCTTTCTACCGTCTAAAAATCTTCCTTAACTCGAAGGTTATAGTAATTCACACAAGAATATATACCTTTTACTTATCAATACTGAATTATGTTTTGTTAATTATAGTTAATTACAATTGTCCTGAAATTATACAGTTGAATTATTTTTGTTTGAGTTTATTTTTTTTTTTCCTTTCTAATTAAAACACACAGGTTGTTGATTTTGTGAGGGAAAAATTCTATTTTGGTGTCAGATGGAGAAAAATACAAAAAAAAAATTGTTCTAGATATTAGGGGTCTCTCTAACAAAACAGGAAAACAAAAAAAAATAAATAAACTGGAATGGTGGAGTTTTTGGAAACTAAATACTGGGATGAGTTTGTTGATGATTTTGGAAGTATTTATATGGAATGAGTTGATCTCGTTATATATCTAGTAGAAGAACAAATACGTTTAGGCTGAGTTGAATATGGAAATATGTCCCAATGTAACTTCGGAAAATCTAAAATACAACGAATCTAAGGTTTAAGCTTGTCTTTACGGGATCTAATAAAAGGTTAATCTTAATTTCGAGAAACTTTTGCAAAAGGGAAATGAAATAGAAAATTAAATGGATACCCTTGATAATATTTCAATCTATGATTGTTGTTGTTGTTGTGATATATGGAATATTTATAATGATGAGGTAGGAGCAACTGATGAAGGACAGTCTAACTCTAGGAGAATGATGATCTGTTGATGCAAAAATATAAGAATATATTTATAAATAAAAAAAATGGATCTCAAAACAAGACTTGGTATATTTTTATGTCAAAAAAATTTTTTTAATTTGGATTATTTTCAGATACTTTGTATACATTTATATATTTGAAAATTGTGTCCCATTAATAATGAGAAACTAATCAACGGGTAGACGATATTGTGTAATATGGTAAATCCTTCCTTAATCGACATGTAATTTTATGTGTTGAAATTTTAACCCATCCTACACTGGTTTTTTTTCACACCTACATTTGAATATTAAAATCTACATAGTCAGTAAGCAACCCAAAAAAACAAAAAGTTCAATTTTCTTTCATTTGATAATACATGAATGAATGTACTTATGCATAGCAACTTAAGGTTGTGGTTTTTCGTGGGTTTGTGAAATAATTCTTAATTCTTCAAATGCAGTATTCTTTGTGATGGATATAACCATATTTCCTGAATGGCAAAATGAAAAAAAAAAAGAACTACAAAAGTAAACTAAGAATTTATGCATATCCATAGTTTAGAAAGTTCTACTAAATATACAGCAAGAAAAAAAAAACTTCTGAATCGGTTGAGGAACGACAAAACAGTCACAACCAAGCTTCTTTGTGGCATTGGCAAAATGGACGCGAAGAGTACTAGAAAGACAGAGAGAAGTCATTGCTATTGCTATTGGACGTTGACATTTTTTTTCTTTCTATAATATTCAAGTTAGATTGGAACAATCAAATATTAGATACAATAGAAGAACAAATGTATCTATGGAAAAACCTTTGCTTTGTTCATTGCAACCATATAATATTCAAATGATCCGAAAAGAAAATACAACTAACCAGAACAATAACTTTGACTAGATGACTCTCGGAAAAACCAATAAATGCTCATCATCCAAGTTATTTTAGTAATAGGATACTCCTTGTTCATTCAATTATTTAATGTTAGTGGTTAGTTTCCGATATATAATAGCATGATGTGTATTTTGAAAAACTACTTTGTTTCCAATAAGAAATTAGTAGAAAACTTTATTTTCTATTCCATTAAAGATGATCACGATAATCGATATTGTCAATTATACATATCCATAAGAAACCAGATGTCCAAATTAGAAACACCAAGGTTAGTTTAAGAGAACTGATAGTTCTCATAACCATACAACTTAAAAATAAAATAGATTATACTTAAATACCCAAAAACAAAAAAAGCGTCCCCTCCCAATAATACACCTTACATACTTTACAAACCGCTTAAGTAGGCATTATTCGTGTATTTACAACTAAAATGAATTCTCAGAACCAATCACAGATACAAAAAGAAAATAACAACGAAATCAGTCTTTTCAAATCGTGTTCAATCATCATGGTGAACCTTTTGTTTTCTTTTCTCTTTTTGATTACTAAGATCAGATAATCCAACACCGAAAGTCGATAAACGCAAAAGGAAAATTTTACTTTGGACAAAGTTTCGGTTATCGATAAATCATTATGCATTTTCTTTAACACATAAATAAGTAGCTTTCGACTAATTGATATTTTGTTGTTCCTGTGAGAAACCAAGAAATCCAGTACATACTAAAAATTTGAAAGTTCATTAATAGTTTAATAGCAAGAATAGAAATGTTGATCTCGTAGATGAAGGTGGAAAATATTGGCCGTCGTTGTCTAGTATCTTCCCTTCGGTTTGACAGGAAGTAACTATTTTCTTTGTAACTTCTGAAATATAACAGAAGAAAAATGTAAAGAAATTCAATTGGTTATGAATCCCTTAACCAAGTCACGTCCCCACTTTATTTTGTTACAATATATTCAAAAATAAAAATTCTTTACAATACCATATTCTGTTGAACTCTAAATTTTCCACGTTGTTGTTGTTGTCCCTTTTGTACTTTTGATGCACCTGTCGTGACGCTGTGATAAGAAATGCCCATGCATTTTGAAAAGAAAAAGCATCGCCTGCATAGTTTGCTACATATTTTTACCATATATTAATTTGAAGCGCGGTGCGCTCCATTTCCGACGGAAATTATCCCACCTGCGGGTATCAATAGCCATACATGATGGTGATAATCCCCCACCAATCTTTAGTACAAAAAAAGGGATTATGTAAGACCGCATCAAAGTTGCACATGGCATCCTCAAAAAATAGAACTAAATCATAATAGAATAAAAAGCACTGCTCGTGTGTAGTTTAAAACAAGAAAACTAAATAAAATAGAATTGAAAAAAAAAACCAATTTTGCATCTCTTAAAGTGGGGGGCGGAAGAGTAGAAAAAGGGAATGAAGTTTAAATGTGAGTGTTGTTGATGAGTGTATATTACCTAAAAGAAAAAGAAATAGGAAAATCATAACATATGAAACAAGAGCAAGATGATTGTTCATTAGTTTCAATTTTATTTTTAGTTTCTGATAATGAAAACAAGGAGCAGCGAAATTGCCTCTTCCCTCGGAAATACCACCATCTGGAATTTATGAAACTACCGGAAATGCAAGAAAAGAGAAATACTAAAATATTAAATCGTGCGTGGAAAATCACTTTTATTTTTTTGCCTGAATGTTAAATTGTTCATATTCTCCTTTCCCAACGTTTGGTATGATTGATGTAATTGATATTTTTTTTAATATATATATATGGAATTAAGAATTGCATAATGAACAGTAGATAACCCAAATCACTTTGTCATCCATATTCCAGAAACATCTAACACTCGGCTTAGGCATAAATCGATTGAGCCCAGTTCCGACCAAGTTGCGCTCTATTAACCATTTATCAATCTTTAGAAAAAAAAACCAGAATTTCTAAATTGGTGATATCACATTACTACAAAACCGTTGATAAAAGAGAGAAGGGGGGGAAACATGAAGACTGAGGAATAACCGATCGTTTCTAACACTTACTCTGACCAATTATGACTAAACTAACCATTTTTGAATACGTTTTGAGCCAGCAGTATCACCAATCGCCGACTTATCAGGTCTAAAAACAAACGATAACAAATATATGAGACTAATAATAGTTTCTAATCAAACTATATTTCCTCTTCAAAGTCTAATAAACCATGTTAAAATCATGCTATTTTCTTTTTTTGATTTTTGATTGTTGCATGAATATTAGTCTGTTGATTAAAATCCTTCAAATTAAAGACAAAAATGCACCATGTATTTACGCGCCATGCACCAACAACAAAAACAAAAACAATTCAAGGGTTTCATAACCCATAATTATTATATTGTTTACATGGATTAGTTTTTTTTGTAATCCACATTTTTTTTTATGTTATTATGTTTTAATTTCTCTGGTCTTTTTCTCTTGACTTACCTGACTTACAATTTGATTTGTACTCAAGAAAACCACGTTGATTCCGCTTGAAATTTCCATCAAGTTCTTCTTTTGTATTTCTTTGTTATTAATACATTTTATCATATATGAAATGACCTACATCGATCAAATATTTTCAGCAACATGGAATATATACATTCACGTGCAATGCAATCCACACAGGGTTACTGATTTTATTATTTCATAAGAATATTTTAGAGGGGCAGAAGCTCTAATTTGAATCTGTATTTTTCGTATTTTCTAATACTTCCAAGCTAACAATCTTTGGTTATATAACCCTTTCAAAATATTATATTGAATGAAACAAAAAAAAAATTAATAATAAATTCAAAACACAATTATGAAGATGGGCATTTTCTTTTTTTGTTTTTATTCTTCTTCTTCTTTTGTAAGATCCTGATTTGTTGCCCTTTTGTTTAAACATCAGATTGATGCCTTCTATTATTATTATTATTATTTATTTTTGATGTCTTTGAATTTATTATTTGATTTCGGAACCGTTCCAGTTATACCCGAGAAATATTATTATTTCATCATAATTTCACAACTGGATGTAATGTGATTTAAACATATTTTTAGCTATGTGTTACTTTATTGAAGTGAGTATGTCTTGCTGCCAATCTTTTCGGAACGGTAAGATGAAATGTACATCTTTGTCAAACATGTGAAATTCTCTCCACTTTCTATCTTTAACCTTTATCACATGACAGATTGGGGATTCTGTGATTATTAATCATATCCGTTACAGATTTGTTACAAAAAACAAAAAACACCACCAAATTAAACCATCATCCATGTATTTTGACTTAGTAATATGATTAGTCAATCTATTGAACTATACAAGTAGATGGCATAACCATTGATAAACCTTATACTCAAAAAGATGGTTAGTATACCTATCATATTTTTTTTAGAGTAGCTATGATGCATACTAAAACATTTAAGTTGTTTTGCAGCAATTAAATTGTGCGTCAAATTTGGTTTTTGCGTCTTTTGCATTTTACCTTTTCTCAGTGTTCTGTCCAATCCTGTAAGTTTGTGTCAGGTCAAACTAAGACAGACATTAAGCAATAGAACAGAAGAAATTTATAACAACAAAATTCATTGGCCCATAATCCTTATTCATTTTTTCTTGAATGGATTACAAATCTTACTAAATGGACTAGATTTGCTTTCTTTTTTTTTTTTTTTGTATTGTAATGACATCCAATCAAGTTTTGATACCTGTCTACCTCGGGTCATGTGTTACACTAAAATTCTTAGTTAAGTCTCCACATGGAACCTTACTCAGTAATTCAATAGAATAGAATACAAATAAAAATATAATGAAAGAGACCCATAACCGCATGTAAATCAAAACATCTACTACACCACGTCCTGTTACATATACAGATAAAGCGCAAAATCAACAGTCGTACTTTTGAATGAAGAATCATTGTCGTTAAAGAATTGAGCTTCTAGGAAAAGTATTTATCCAATACTTCACTCTTTCTTTAATGAAATTACAGGAACAATTATAATAAATAACCTCATAATATTTGTGTGTCTTGTAGAGACTGTTTTTATAGCCCCCCTTACATTTATTAATATAAAGAGAAAAAAAAAATTTTTTCCAACATTCCACTGCTAATCGTATGAAATGTTTAAATTAAACAGAAAACCAAATAAAAATAATCAATTAGTACTAAATAACAACTAGTGGAACAAGTAGTGATTTTATCAAAAGGTTATGATACACAACCGCGTCTACTGTCTAATTTATTTTTAGTCGTTAATGTTCATAATGATTAGAAAAGTATCACGAACATCATCTTTAAAAAAAAAAATACAGGAATCACCCAACAAGTAAGCTGGTATTGACAAAATTAAAATATCAATGCTAGGTGTATTAAACTACTCGTTGTGGAATAGAGATGCTTCATGACAGAGTCGATCCATCAGCAGAAGCCGATTACATAAGCGGGCAGAGGAGACAATTCAGACAAGCCAAACACAAACTTAATGAGAAAAACAAAAAACAAAAAAAAACACGGATATACTATTGTTGACACGTGATGAGTTGTAATTTTGAAGGATATAACTGTCAATTTTCCACAATTTGTCTGCTTGTTTGGTTTATTTTGTTTGAAAGACCGTTTTCAAGAAAAGAGAATTTAATTTTATGTACAAAGATAAAGATACTGTTTTGTTGATGAAAATTTGTCTCCAAAAATAAAATAGAAAAAAAAATATACATATAGATAATGTAGGTATTATTGTATGTAAAATCACCAAAGATATAATTTGTGTTATTCATGTAAATCCACTAATATTGTTAGGCATATACACACACCAAAACACAAAATACAATTGAAATTCTACGCTTATTGTCTATGAAATACAAAAACCCTGTGCTCATAATTCGTAATTTGTTGATTGGGTGTTGTGTTGTGTTGTATATTGGTGGGAAGTTACATATGAATGACCCATCTAACATGGCGTAGAAATTGAACATTATGATTCTGAAGAAAAAGAAAGAAATCTGCAGTTTACACTGGATAACATTTCACTCAACGCTCAAAGTCGGTTAGATAATTCTTTTTGTTGTTAACAACGCCCCTAACACATTTTGGTAGCGGTTTTAATTCTTTTTTTTTTATTTTTTTGGCCCACAACTCGGCATTAAATGGAAGTAGAAGGAGAAGTATACAGGAAATAAAAAAAATTTTCATTGCAAAATTAATAATGCAAGTTTCTGTCTTCATTGAACTATATGTATGATCTACTATTGCTATTATTTCTATTGTTTAGTTTAGAAATATTTCAACAATGTCTTCTATGAGATTTCCTTTTTGTATTAACTATGGTTTGATGTGAATCGTTGAAATGAAATTACTCAGACTGAATGTATTTCTGTGTACTTACACCCACTGAATGAAAGATTGTTCAGTTTTATGTTTGTTTGTTTCTTTCTTTTTTGTTGTTATTGTTGTTGTTGCGTTATGTGAAGGAATCTTTTAACCTCAATCAAGCTCACACCTAAACCTATCGGACTTTAGTACAAGCCGTTTTGTTTAACCATGGGTTTCGTTAGAATTGACAGCCATCATATCAACACAATAACCATCACAAAAATCATTCCACTGGTTTTGTTAATGGTAGTTCTATAATTTCACTAAGTTTTCAGTATATTATGGTTAGTAATTAACACTACTGTCTTTCTCATCTGATATTTATGTCATTACTCACCCCCCTTTTTTTTATATATATCATTATCTAACCTTTAAATTTGGCATTATATTTTAGGAATTTATAACTAGATTTGGTCATTTATAATGACGATTACTAAGATGAAAAATAAAACCGAAAAACATATGATCACCACTATCTAACCAAGAAGTTTATGATGCTAACATTAAGAAAAATCTCATAATCCATTGTCTCCAATATTCCATCACCCTTTGGTTGATTCGCCAAATGGTATCCTTGGTTGAGAAACAACCGTTGAAATGAATCTTCTATTTAGACGGTTATAATAATTTCTAGTTATCTTAACGAAGATTTCTTGGTTTTTTTTTGGAGTGTAGTAGAAATCTTGTATAATCATTACATTTTCTTAGCCAATAGAAATCAATTTCTTTTTTCTGTATAGTCGATAGAGATAAGAAAGTCATGCTATCTATAAACTCTAGACAAATGCCTCATCCCCACTTTATCAACACTACGTTCTGATTTCTTACAATAATCATCAAATGTTTGAACTTGGGTACCTCCTCGTCCCCTCCTCTTGTTTTCTTTGCTCTCCCCACTTCCCGGTCAATAATTAATTCCTTTTCTCTCCTTAGTGATGAAGTGTTCCGTTTCACTTCAATTCTATTCTATTGTTATCATTGTATGCACTGTTTGTATGGATATGGTTATGAGAATTTGACTGCTTTATGTACATGTAAAGGTGGTGTAATACGTACATATGTACTTAAAGAAAGAATTTACCTTCTACGCATTTTTCCATTCTCTCATGTCTTTGATTATTCATAACATCATACGAATTGATCTTTATAACAAACTCGTCATTTTTTTATTTATTGGTTTTGGGTGCAAATTTTTTTTTTTTTTGTCTTTGTTACTCATAATGTGTCTCTTTGCATGAACTATACTGTTATCCAATCAAGACATCAATGAACAATCATAGAAAAACTTCGTGCCGTACAATGCAAAAGTTCTCAATCTGTCAAAGCCGTATAGAGGGCTATTGACTTAGTTTGATATATGAATAGAGATGTATTGTTAGTGTGTAATAAACACGCGAGTAAACGGTTTAAAGACAATTCATGAATTCATAGACACGAAGCTATGGCTAAGTAAACTCATAATGCAATAGTAACGAATCCAAGATTCTAGGATTCAACCTGAAAGTAACCAGGTTGTAATTTATTTTAGTTTGCATTTTTCGAATCCTCTCTTTTTTTTTTTGACATTTCCCCCTAAGAAGAATACAATACCAGGTACAAAAATAAAACTGATCTTTTTACTTTGTCAGATTTTAATTCTCGATTCATGGTTGTGTAACTCATTATTTCACTCATTAAATTATCAACGTTCCTATTTACATGATTAAATATAAAATATTTTAATATTTGGATATGATTTCCATTTAACCAATATCGATTTGCTCCGTTTTTATAGACTGGTTTAAATTTCTCCAAATTTCTTTTTATATAAAAGTTGAAAAACTTCACCTGCTCTATAAGCACCTAAACCAAATAATATAATTCCAGCGCCACGAACTGATCTTTGCCACCAAAGTGGATTTTTAACGAAATCTATTTTTCCTGTAGTTTTATCTTTAAATTGATTTGGTGAACTTAAATAAAATCCACATCCAAGAGCAACAAATGATTGAATTGCTGTACATGGTAAACATTGTTCTTCTGAATTTTCTTGTGATGGAGGATAAGGACCTGATTTAGGAGGATTAAATACCGAAAGAATATTTGATGACATTTTATGACTAATTAAACTATCCAATTATTGAAAATCAATTGATAAATGAAAAGAACCAAAAAAAAAACTAATAGAATGTGAAATAAAAAAAAACAAATATTTGTAGTATTCAATTGATCTGATGATGGTTACTTGATTTTCATTATCGTATAGAAAATTCTATGGGAGTCTTTTTTTTTTTGTTAAAGTGGGTTTTGATGTTTCTTGTGTGGATATACACGACCTTACCAATATTGTTTTTCACACGACTTTCTTGATATTTTTTCCCTTTTCTTGCTCTCATAATTAAGATCAGATTAAAAAAAGAAAAAAAGAGGATTACTGGCCAGTAGTCTCTCTTCCATTTTACTATACTCCACATAAGAATGAGTTTATTAAAAAGTAGGTTGGTCTTAAGATCAAGACAATCAAATTTATTATTTAGGAGAAGATTTTCTCAATATAATTATACCAATCCATATCCTTCTCCTAATGTCAATAAAACTTCATGGGTTAAAAAATTATTTTATGTCACGGCAGGATTGGGTGTTATTACAGGATATGCATATTATATGTGGTGGCCCAAGCATACTTTTCCAAGTTCAATAGCTAAAATTTTACGTAAAGGATTATGGGCAGAAAGTGATAAAGGAGAATTTGATTATCAACTAGCATTAAAACATTATCTTGAAGCATTGGAACATGCACAAGAAATAGGATTAGATCCATTAAGTGATGAATATACTGGAATACAATTGAAAATTGGAGAAATGTTTGAAAGATTAAATATGTTAACTGATGCTGCTTATATTTATAATGAAATCGCTACATTATATTTAACTGTATTAACAGCATCCCCACAATCTGAAGATGGTTTAAGAATTAAAGATCGTAAACATAGGCGTCATTTGATTCAAAAAGATTTAAGAATTGCACTTAAATTAGTTAGTTTAAACACTTCAAATCCTGCATTATCAAAAGCTATTTTAATAACTCATTTAATTATTGCTCAAGATGAAGTAAATAAATTAATGGGACAAACCCCTGGTAAACTTAATTTAATTAATAAAATTAAACCAGATGGTGGTAATAACAATAGTCAACAACCAGGAGAATCTTATACTGCAGTTTTAGAAAATGATGAAATTGTAATTACTAATAGTGCAACTGGAGAAGAATCAAGAATTAAAAAAACTCCTGAAGTTTGGGAACCTTTTACTGATGAATTTTTCAATGCAATGGATTTATTAAGTGCAATTTGTATAAGTGCAGGAGATTTAACTATGGCTACAAAAGTTAAAATTGCAATGAATGAATCTATGTTATTAGCAGATATTGAACCTTCTAAAATGTTATTATCTCAATGTAATCTTGGTTCTTTATTATATATGCAAGCGGAAGAATTAGAAGCTCAAGAAATTGGATTAAAAAGAAAAATTTCAGAATTATCAGGTATAAAATATGAAGAATTAAATGGAGATCAAGATTTTTCATCACAAAATCAATTAAAAGAAACAATTCCTATTCAAGATCAAGAAGCATTTAGAAATGTTGTCAAATCAAGAGAAATTTGTTTAAAATTAGCTGTTAAATCATATGAATCAGTATTACAATTTGCTAAATCTTTCCCACAAGATTTTATTAAACAACATAAAGAAATTAGTGAAACTGTTGCTATTGCAACTTATGGATTAGGAGTTATTAATCTTCATTTAAGTCAATATGATAAAGCAGAAAGATTCTTGCGTGAATCAAGAGTAAGAGCAAGAAATTGTAATTATGATACATTATTTCCAATGATTGAAAAAGAATTGGAAAAATTATTCAATGAAAAGAAACTTGTGAAAAACAATACAACTATTCGACGTGATATTCCAGAAATCGAAATGGACATAACTTTGAAATAGAAGAATATGTATATATATATAAAAACGTGTATAATAAATATAAATATAATAAAAACAAGGGAAATGTTCTATTTATACAATGGTGATCTATCCCAATAATCTACTCTCCTCATCGTTGGATGATGCTGATGTTGCCTTTTTCTTACCAAATAATGCTTGGAAAGAAGCAACCAACATATTTGGTTTTGCTTGTTCTTCTGCTTTGAATTTAAGGATTTGTTCTAATGTTGGAGGTTCAATCTCTTGAACAATACCACTACTAGAACCAGCATTACTTCCATCAAATGATGAAACATCTCCAACATCAGATTTAACTGGTCTTATTGGTGGTGGTGCAGCACCAGTGATAATTCCATCTAAATGTGGTTGAGCAGTGCCTGGATTTCTTGCCATCGAAGCAGCAGATTGGTGAATTGGTTCTGATGCTGGAATTGATTCATTAACTGATGGTCTTCTACCAAGATCAGTCGACCCATAAATACTTCCACTAGTTCCACTAACACTTCCAGAACCATGATATGAGAAAATTGAAGATTTATCATCAAATACCGACCCCATCTCTTCTAATGATAATCCCTTTGTTTCTGGAAACAAGTACCACACGGCGACAAATGAGATGATACATGAAGTTGCAGGAATCAAATATGTTTTCCACTTAATAAGATCCAATAAAATAGGAGATCCAAATCCAACCAAAAAGTTTGAGAGCCAGTTGGTAGCAGTGGCCAAGGCTGCTCCTTTTGAACGTACAGATAACGGTAAAACTTCTGAAGGTAAAAGCCAACCAATTCCTCCCCAGGAAAATCCAAAACCCGCATTCGTTATAATAATACATGCAACAACAACGGTAGGAGTGAATGTGTCATTTAAATAAAGTGAATACCCAGCAATGTATAATGGTATACCCATGACAATTGCACCTGTCATCAACAAAGGTTTTCTACCCCATGAATCAACCAAATACCATGGAGGAATGGTACTGATAAGATAAATTATAGCATTGATACCTGCCATAAAAATAGCTTCTCTTCCAACCCAACCAGCAGATTCGAAAATCATAGGAGCATAATAGGAAATAAGATTGATCCCATTCAATTGGGCAAATAACAATCCAAAACATGCAACAGACAATCTTTTGGCATAACGTTTAAACAAATATTGATAAGAACGTTCACCTCCTTCGATTCTGTCAACTAAAACACCTTCTTTGATGTTTCTATATTCATTCATAGCATGATCATCTTCAACATCACCATCGGAGTATAAATCAGCAATGACAATCATTCCTTCTAAATCATGGTCATGGTTTAATAACCATCTTGGAGTTTCAACAATTATGTAAGTACCAGCCCATAATAACACACCAAGAGAGAATTGAACAATCAAAGGACCTCTCCAACTATAATGATTATTGATAAATGAAAAGCCAAAATCAACCCAAATACTGGCTGCATATCCGACAATATTACCTGTAAACTCGACACAAGCATAAAATCCACGATCTTCAGCAGGGCTAATCTCAGACTGGTACATTGGGACAATTGTAGTTAAGAATCCAATACCCACCCCACTGATTAATCTTGCAATACTAAGCCACAAAATACTAGGTGAAATACATTGGATAAAACCACCAATAAAGAATATTGCGGCACCGTATCTAATTGCTTTTTTCCTTCCAAGAAGATCACCAGCTTGTGCAGCCAAAAATGATGAAAACAAAGCACCGAGTTCTAAAATAGCTACCATGATACCAATTTCTGCTGGTGTAGGTTCATTATAGTATTCTTTGAAATATTCATTTGTAATCAAGGATGCATATAACCCTTGTTCAAAGCCAAAACTAAGAACCCCAAGGGTCACGAAAAGGGACGTGAAGTTCAATAAAGCTTTCCCAACAAGCCAACTTTCTTTAATTTGAATATGATGTTGAATTGGAGATTGAGTTGTCGACATCTTGTTCTTTCTTTATTTCTTTTCTAATAACTTGACAATAATCGAATGAACTTGGTGTACTATGATAATTCAATTGGTTTTATTGAAGAATAACTGAGCAGGAAAAGACATATATTATAAAATCAGGAAGAAAAACAATATGTTTATAGATTGTTTTTTTTTTTTCCTTTTTTCCTTCTTCCCCTTTTCCATGTTGTGTATTGTTGATTTCTCATTTTGCAAAATCAACATTGTGTCGCTTATGTAATCTTAATCTTTTTTTTTTTCCAATGAACGATAACAAACTTTTTGTTAAAGAAAACAAGATTTTACAGATCTACACTACCTTGTGTGAATCATAGAGGGTTGCTTGCTAATAGAATAGACCATGATAGAAGCATAGAGATCAAAGTTGAGATTCTCTATATATGTCAGTTATAGCGTTAAGTGAAACATAGTTGATCTTACAAAGTTAAAGTTGTGACCAATGCAAATCGTTTTGTTGACAGGTACCGCTTATTACTCTAAAGTAATTGTGGGGAAGTAAAAAAATTTCAATTGACCTTACGACGATAATTGAAAGTCACAATACCCATAAGGCCAGTTTTACCAACATCCAGTGCCTGTTCTTCTCCACCTTATGTCGACAAGTGCTTTGTTGTTTGATATTGTTGTTGATCCCTATATACAGGAAATGATTACGTCATATGTTTAGATTTTTTTTTTACTTGAGTCACGTTCCACAAGTTTTGCTTGGAGGCAATATCCAATTGAATTCTAAATATAGTGTCCAGAATTGTTGTTAGTATAATTGGAATGGTAAACAAATGTCAAATCTTCTTTATCTAACTGGGATTATGTGAGTTTTCTAAAGGATACAATAGATGCAATTGTTTTTTTTTATTATTTCTGTTTTTGGTTCAAAATTGGAAGTAAAATTTTCAATCATTATTAAAATTCATTCAAGTTTAAAGTTAATATACGTTTACCATCAACATATTCCAAAACATACAAAGATCTACTTGATCTATAAACGGTTGAAACAGTTTTCAAATACCCGTCAACATTGAAAGCAATAAGTTAACCGAAATAGTAAAAAACAGACACAACGGTTGCACGAAAATAATAAAATTGCAGCCAGTTGCAAGTTCATGTGAGTTGGAAGACTGATATTTACATAATAAAACATATACATTTGAAAACAACGTGACTTGATACTTTATAATATTATTGTGATGTTACATACTTATTGAATGTGGCGAGTAAAAAGAAAACACAAGGGAATTATAAATGGGATATTATATGTTTACTCACGTTACTATTGATGATTACTACTAAACAGTATGCTTTTTATACATCGTTTCTTTTTTGTTGATTTACTACAAAGAAATAAGGAGGGGACGCGGGAAACTGAAGTAGAATAACTACATTTACGTGAATTGTATACTGGTAGATAATTATTATTCAACGGGTACGCGTCTTTTCTTTTGTTACCGTTTGACTACACCAAGGTCACGTTGTTCTTGTCCTTTTTCTCTTATACTTGATTATTTTACCACAGTATATAAATAACCTGTCAAATCCTTACTGGTAGGTATATTTTTTTTTGTTTGCTTACTATCATAACGACTTTAGTATATATAAAAAGAAAAAAGAGAGAAGCAAACGAATATTCTCGGCCGAAGCGACAATCCAAATTCCATCCCATCACCAAACTGAAAACTAAAACGAAAAACTAAAAAAAAAAAAAATTTCTAATGCAAAACATCTTCTGTTTTTAATCTCATCAGGTCAACCTGTTATTTAATAAGTAATACAATATTTGCATCTTGCTATTAAAAAAAAGCATTTTACTTCTAATCAAAAACGAAAGAAACTTAAAAGTTACACCCTTTACTATTGTTTATTTTATTTGATTTACCTTCCATTTCAGTGAATTTTTTTTTTTTTTGACTTTTGCATCTTTAGCATTATAGTCTAGTACCCCCAAACAAGTATAAAAATAAAATTCTCCTAACTTAAACGAACAATACCCATATTGCTGTACCATCCCACGCCCCCCCCCCCCACTTTACATAATATATAAAAAGAGAGAAAAAAAATTCCTTACCATGATTTCCACTTTTCCTTCCAAAGCAAACCATCAATTGGATAATCCAATAGATTCAGAAAGAAAAAGACACAAGAGTAATATGTATCATCATCAACCATCAAAATCACAGCAACAACAACAACGTCATCCACATTTTGATGAATCAACTACTAATCAAAAAGACCATCCAATGCATGAACAACAACAACAAAATAATTTTAATTCAAACACTACATCACATAATCCTACACATGGTACTTTTACACCAATTACTCAAACTCATTCTCATGAATTTCTTCTGAATCATGAAAGTAAATTTGATATTGAAATGATTACTGAAGATAGATTCATTGAAAAATCAAACCAGATGGAACATAATCAATATCAAGGTGAAGAAATGATTGAATGTCCATGTGGTCATATGCATGGTCCAGGTCAAGGATATGATCATGATATTCATGCTGTTGGTTTAGCTGACGTTCCATTATTAAGAGGTCCAGATTAATAAATCTGTCTATGTCTTTGTCTTTATCTTTTTATGTGTATGTGTATGTGTAATTTTTTTACTAGTGTCTTATATAGAAAATTAATTAAATGGTGTTTTATATTATTTGTTTGTATTTGTAGCATACATGTGTGGTTCGGAGTTTTTGTTATGTGTGTGTTTACAAACCGAGAGAACAAAAGAGGGGGGTAACGAGATGTGTGAGATACAAAGAGGGGAACACGGCACTAAAATAATAATAATACTTCAAATACGGACAGAATAACAACGTGTTTGGTTTTAAGCATTGCAATATTTTAACTTGAACTCTTCATACTCTTTGATGTTTTATAATTTTGCTTGGAGTTCACTCAAAAACAAGTTTTCTTGTTAACCAAAGATCAAAGTGACGAGAGTAAAATAAAATATAAAAAAAAAGTATCCTTACGAAGATTATTCTCTCACTGCCATAGTGTGTATCAAAATTGAGATATAACCATGACGGGGGTGTACTCCTCTAGAAACAAAAGCCTAAACAACAGTGTGGTCGATTCTCTTAATACACGTGGGTATCAATCATTGCTTGTTTGTCGTGATGTAATTTAATTGTTGATAGTTGCAAAAAAAAACCCACATCCAAAACACATGGTTCTTACGTAAGCACCTGCATATAGACACAACAGGTAATTTATCCCAATTAGGAAATCCAATGATTTGCACATTCTCTTGTGGTTGGTCGCGTCTTGAAACCAAAAAAGAAAAAAAAAAAATTTCACGAAATTCTTCGATTGATACACTTACCTCTTTTATTTGAATAGGTTGTAAAGTATTATCCTTTTTTTTTCATTTTAATTAATCAACTTAAAATAATCTTAATCAGTTATATTACATAATGTCAAGTCCACCGGGTTCATCCTCACGTAATATAAATAGAAGAAGAAAAAGACAGGCAATTGACGATGACGATGATGATGATAATTTAGAAAGATCTTCCCTTCATCAACCATCATCACCTCCTTTGAGGTCTTCACCACAATTATTACCTTCATCACCAGCAATTCCATTTGATACTGCTTTAGATGATGACGACGAAATAGATGAGATTGTCCATAATGATGTTCAAGATTTAAATCCATCGGAAGAAGAAGAAGATGGCGATGATTTATTGGAGAATTTAGAACAAGATTATCGAGCTAATCCAGAACAGGATCATTATGATTTGGGTGATGGTAATATTGATGATACTGGAGATTATGAAGAAATGGATGCTGCTACAAGAAGAAGAATTGATGAACAATTAAATAGACGTGATGCTATTTTAAATAATGCCAATCGTTCAAGAAGAGGAGCTTTCTTGGATGATGATGATGACGATGATGAAGAAGAAGATAGTATGGGACAATTTGGTTTACCAATTCAAAGAAGAAGAAGAAGACAACATCAAGATGAAGATCAAGATGATATGATGGATGATGTTGAAATTGATCCTTTTAATGAAGAATTATCATTGGAAAGTTTAAGTGATGTGAAAGCTCCAAGTATAACTGAATGGATTTTACAACCTGCTGTTAGTAGATCTATTGCCCGTGAATTGAAGCTGTTTTTCTTGGAATATACTGATGCCAATGGGGATTCTGTTTATGGTAATAAAATGAGAACTCTTGGGGAAGTCAATGCAGAATCGTTAGAAGTTAGTTATAAAGATTTAGCTGATTCTAAAGCAATTTTGGCATTGTTCTTAGCTACTAGTCCTGAAGAAATGCTTAAAATTTTTGATATTGTTGCCATGGAAGCTGTGGAATTGCATTATCCAAATTATTCTCAAATTCATCAAGAGGTTCATGTTAGAATTACTGATTTCCCAAATTATTTGAATTTGCGTGATTTACGTGAAAGTAATCTTAATCAATTGGTTAAGGTCTCTGGGGTTGTTACTAGAAGAACAGGTGTTTTCCCACAATTGAAATATATTAAATTTGATTGTTTGAAATGTGGGGTCGTATTGGGTCCTTATGTTCAAGATTCAAACACTGAAGTTAAGATTTCATTCTGTACCAATTGTCAAAGTAAAGGTCCATTTAAAATGAATTCTGAAAAAACTTTATACAGAAACTATCAAAGAATTACATTGCAGGAAGCTCCAGGAACAGTTCCAGCTGGTAGATTACCAAGACATCGTGAAGTTATCTTATTATCGGATTTGGTTGATGTTGCTAAACCTGGTGAAGATATTGAAGTTACTGGTGTTTATAAGAATAATTATGATGGTAACTTGAATGCCAAGAATGGGTTCCCGGTATTTGCCACTATTTTGGAAGCCAATTCCATTAGAAGAAAAGAGAGTAGAGCTTTTATGGGTAGTAACAATTTAACTGATATGTGGACAGAAGAAGAAATCCGTGAATTTAGAAAATTATCTCATGAAAGAGGTATTATCGATAAGATTATTTCATCTATTGCCCCATCTATTTATGGTCATAAAGATATTAAGACAGCAATTGCTTGTTCATTATTTGGTGGTGTTCCAAAAGATGTCAATGGTAAACTTTCGATTAGAGGTGATATTAATGTTTTATTACTAGGTGATCCAGGTACTGCTAAATCTCAGATTTTGAAATATGCTGAAAAAACCGCTAGTCGTGCCGTTTTCGCTACTGGTCAAGGTGCCTCTGCTGTTGGTCTTACGGCTTCTGTTAGAAAAGACCCAATTACACATGAATGGACTTTGGAAGGTGGTGCATTAGTTCTTGCTGATAAAGGTACATGTTTGATTGATGAATTTGATAAAATGAATGATCAAGATCGTACATCTATTCACGAAGCTATGGAACAACAAAGTATATCTGTTTCCAAAGCTGGTATTGTTACTACTTTACATGCTAGATGTGCTATTATTGCAGCAGCAAATCCAAATGGTGGTAGATATAATTCTACTTTGCCATTATCACAAAATGTTGATTTAACAGAACCAATTTTATCGAGATTTGATATCTTGTGTGTTGTTAGAGATTTAGTTAATCCAGAATCAGATGAAAGACTAGCTAGTTTTGTTATTGATTCTCATATGAGATCACATCCAGCTAATTCGGATGATGTTATTGACGATAATGAAAATGAAGAAATGGTAGATGTTGGAGGCGCTGCATCAAGAACCAGATCAGAAAGAATTGAACAATTGAATAAACAAAAAGAACTGGAAATTTCACCAATTGCACAAGATTTATTAATTAAATACATCCAATATGCTAGAGTTAAAGTTCAACCAAAACTTCATCAAATGGATATGGATAAAGTTGCTAGAGTTTATGCCGATTTAAGAAAAGAATCAATTGCCACAGGATCTTTCCCAATTACTGTTCGTCATTTAGAAAGTATAATTAGAATTGCTGAAGCTTTTGCTAAGATGAGATTAAGTGAATTTGTATCTCAAAATGATTTGAATCGTGCTATTAAAGTAAGTATTGATAGTTTTGTTGGTGCTCAAAAAGTTACTGTCAAAAAACAATTACAAGCCAAATTCCAAAAGTATACATTACCAACACGTTCAAGATAGTTTCCGGGTGGTTTTTATTGTTTTCATTTCTTTTTTTTTTTTAATTTTCTTGTAGTTTGTATTTTAATCTAATATTTGTTATTGTATTATTATTTTAATGGGATTGTCACTTGTAAGGAATGAAATGATTTTGATGGTTACTATTATTAGTGTAGCTGCTATGTGGGGTCACGTTTTTTGATTCGGATACACGACCAGTGATATTTCAACATACTATTAGATTCCACATTAATCAAATAAAACAGTAGTTAACTGTCTGGTATTGTATTTCTTAACTATATATTAGTAAGATAAAAATATAGCGATCTATCATTGGTTTCACGAATAACATTCTAAATTTTAAAAGTCAGTTAAGATATAGATTGATAAAACACGTCTGATTGCTACCGCGCAGTCGACCAAAAAAAAATTAAAGCAACTAAAAAAAATAGGAACGGGAAATTAATGGAAACACGTTAATTCCTGATCACCAAAACACACATATATATATATATATACACATATACACACACAGCCACCTATAAAACGATGTTAAATCTAGATGAGTAAGTACTATTTTCATTGAATTAAATTTTTATCAGAATATTAATTTACTAACAAGTTATTAACATAATAAAGTACTATTGAGAATATTAAACAATGTAAACATATACCTGAACAAGATGTTGAAGAATTGTGTGAAAAAGTAATTGAATTATTAGTACAAGAAGCAAATATTCAACATATAGATACACCAGTTACAATATGTGGAGATATTCATGGACAACTTCATGATTTAATCACATTATTTAAAACAGGAGGAGAATTACCATTTACACAATATTTATTTTTAGGAGATTTTGTTGATCGAGGATTTTATTCATTAGAAAGTTTTTTATTATTAATTAGTTTAAAATTAAGATATCCTGATAGAATAACATTAATTAGAGGAAATCATGAAAGTAGACAAATAACAACAGTTTATGGATTTTATGATGAATGTATAAGAAAATATGGTAGTATAAATGTATGGAGATATTGTTGTGAAGTATTTGATTATTTATCATTAGGTGCAATAATTGGAGGATCAAATGGAGTATTTTGTATACATGGAGGATTAAGTCCAGAAATTGATACTATTGATCAAATTAGAATATTGGATAGGAAAAAAGAAGTTCCTCATGAAGGTGGAATGTGTGATTTATTATGGTCAGATCCTGAAATGGTTAATGGTTGGAGTATAAGTCCAAGGGGTGCTGGTTATTTATTTGGTGAAAATGAAGTTAAAAAATTTTTAAATGATAATAATATATCTTTGATTGCAAGAGCTCATCAATTAGTAATGGAAGGTTATAAAGAAATGTTTAATCAAGGTTTAGTAACCGTTTGGAGTGCTCCCAATTATTGTTATAGATGTGGTAATGTTGCTAGTGTTTTAACTATTGGTGATGATTTCTCACGTGATTATAAAGTATTTGAAGCTTCAACACAGGATGTTGGATCTATACCTTCAAAAAAACCAGCTATTGATTATTTCATCTAAATTGTAACATTGGAGGGATGTGCTGACTTGAATTTTCGTTCTTGCTTTTGTATATATATATATATATATATATAAGAAAAACTATGTATTATTAATTATTATTTTATATTATTCATATTCAGACGTGTTTCATGTAGTTCTAGATCTAGACGTATGTTCTTATCTTTTGAATTTGATTGACTACTTCCCGTAAATGGGTAATTTTTTGAAAAGTTTTATGAGCTGCGTAAAAATTTCACCTACGAGACAAATATAAGTAACAAAAATGTATGCATGAAGAATCCTGCTCAAAACAAAACATAATTGAACTGTCAAGGCTAAATTATTTGGTTCGTGTCATTTGAAACACGAGTAGATTGGTATTATTACTGATTGAATGTAAACATTGAAATAAATTTTGCATTATTGATAAACAAATGAAAAAAAAATTTTCACAGCATGCTCTCCCACTCACGTGCAAATGGTGTGGGTTTTATTTTTATCTTTTTCTTGCTTCTATTATTAAAGTTAGGAATCATTACATTTATAACCAAATAAAGAATAGGGGATAATTGTTGTTGTTGTTGTTGTTCTTATTGGGGGAAAGCCAAGAAAGTATTCATTGCATTATGTGAATAATTTAATTCAACTAGTCTCTTATTATTCACCTTGTGTGAAGAAATTGAATTTTGGTAGAAATAACCTGTGTAATGTACATTTCAAGCCCACAAAAACACGCACGTTTGATGGATTTTACACCAATTAAATTTGCAAGCTCAATATTGAATTAAAGAATTCAAAGACCGGCTTCCTAAATCCTGGTTGTTCCGATTTAAAGGGTTCAAAATGGAAGGAAATGGAAAGTAATTTTGTGTACTGCAAAAGAAAATGAAATTTCCACATTGTCTTGTCTTGTCTTTATTGCGCGTTCATCGTACAAATTTAAATTCAGACCATAAACAAGAACTAAGAAAGTAATGCACGGTTTTATATTTGTTTATGTCTCTTACTGGCAATGCAATGATTTCCTAAAGAAAACATTCATGATAATGCATAAACATCAACTGTATGAACAAGGACAAGATGGAAAATGAAATATCAAAAAACAAAAAGATTTACATCTGCTACCTACTAGCCTCATTTATATAATTAAGGACAAGACGCGTATCCTTAAAAACGCGGTAGTATTTCTCCCCCCTCCCCCTCCTGCCTCTTCTTCTTATAACTTATAATATTGTGCTATGATTGCAAAAGATTACTTCAAATCGGATCGGAACACGCCAAAGTAATCACCACGGAGTTAAACGACTAAAATGATTCCTCTAGAAAGAAAAGCAAAAACGAAAAAAAAAAAATCCTTCTTTGTGTTATTCACCATTCGTCTTCTTTGGCATTACCCAAAATCAATTGTCGTATTAGCCTTGGTAATGTGATGATATCATAGCTACAATGAGAAAGTCCACCTATAATATCACGAAGTCCAGTAAATTTAAAGCCTTGGTATATGGAAAGCCTTGATGCTTTTGTTCTAACCATAATTTCTACCAATTGTTTGTTATTTATATCATTTGTTTACTAGGTGACATCATACACTAAATTGTAGAATCTCAAGTACTTCTAAGCCCAATAAAAAAAAGCACACACACACACACACACACACACACACACACACCAGTGATCGTGATCTGTTTTTCTTTACTAATCCTGTATTGCACAATTTCAATTTAGCCGACATGTACTACAATGTAACCACAAGTATGTATGAAATCTGGGTTGAACCGCACCTCTCCGCGGATTATCAACCAATAAATCAATCAATCTCCAACACTCCCCTGATTTTGTTAAAATGAAATATTTTATAGTTTTCTGTTGTGTCACCAACACATAAACTTCTACTTACACCTACACCAATAACTCATTTATATTCAAACCATTACATACATGTCATGTAGTATTCAAACTCTTCCTTGTTCCTCCTCTTCTTCTTCTTCTCCTTCTCCTTCTCCTTCCCCCTGCCGATTTCATGATTCATTCCACCACCAGCACCACGTAAGCCAAGCACTAAAAAAAAAAATTTTTTTTTGTATTTTTTGGTGAGTGCACACACATACGGACAATGATTTCCTCACCCTTGAACTTCCTATCTACACATCTGAAATTAGTATAAGACAAAGGGGTGCTATCCAACATGAAAGAATTAAACAAAGGGTAGTCAAGTGACGATCATAATTGTTAGATTGACCATTTTACGGGTTATACGATTCCAGGTTGTGGTGCTTTTTTTGTTTGAAAATACATTGAAATTGAATGGTAAAATTTCCTACTGTAACAAGCCAAGTTACAATATTGTATCACCCAGTACTATCCAGATATGAAATTACTACGTAGTGTACAAAACACAAAAATGAACCTAGAAGAAAAAAAAAGAAATTTCATTATTTTGCAGTTACACAAATGAGTAAATAACCCTTTTGTTTATATATGCTACTTGACTAAAACCCACACAAGAAGAAGAAGAAGAAGAAGAAGATGTAAATGAAGTAGTAGAAGAAAAAATTTATACTACTTAGATCCTGAAACTGATGATTATATAAACTCAAGAAGAATTCCTGTTTTATCTTTCTCTAGTGTTGTTGTTTTTTTATACACTCTTGTTGTCATTCATTTCATATTTTACACGTTTCATTCAGATTTCTTTTTCTTTAATTCCCTGTTCATTCATAGATATATATATATATTTCAAACATCTCCTCCTCCCCTTAATTTTGCATTCATTATAGATTTTTTTATTTAACACTCCCACCTTTAGCATAGTATTCAATTATATCCACATCTTTTGATTTTTCCCACATTATTAGCATTTATAGACACACACACATATACACACATACACAATGAGATTACTTATAACATATATTTTCTTCCTTTTCTGTTCATTAGTTAGTGCAGCAGATGAAACCACATCATCATCTTCATCGTCAAGTTCAGATAATGTTAAAACCACGACATCGATTTCAACTACATTAGTTTGGGTAACAGGTACTGATGCAAGTGGTAATTTAGCAACTACACAATCACCATATTATCAAAGTTTTATTAGTTTTTGGACTGAAGTTGCATCACCATCTTCTGCATCAATTGGTTTAGGATCAATTAGTGGAACTGTTGGTAAAATTAGAAGTTATTCTCAAACTACAATTTCTCAAGGAAGTGGATCATCTTTAATTAATAATAGAAGTATTTTAAGTTCAAATGATTTTACATTAACTAAATTACTTGGAGCTTCTACCATTGCAATGATTTCTATTATATTATTGATCTAAACCAAAGTTGATGACATTAAAGAGGGGAATGATAGATAATGATACCTATTGAGAATGTATAAACATAGCTATCGTTATTACCCTTCACCCATTTACGGAATTGAAAAATGAAAAAAAAAAAAAATAAAGAACGTTATTGATTGCTTTTCTATTTTCTTTTTATTTTTTTACTTTGTATATTATTTGCATTTTGATATTATTTTTAGGTTGAATTTTTATTTTAGCTTATTGGGTTATTTTATCTTTTTTTTTTTTTAATTTTCTTCTTCATTAAATTAGTAATAGAATATAAATAATTTTCTTGAATAATAGAAACGGTAGTAGTATTCAGGTATCAATTGTAGGTTCAAGAGACACACACATGTGTGTGTGTGGACATGGCATCTCTTGCCGTACATTCATTCATTCATTCATTCAAACACACACCAAACAATGAATTGTACTATGATTTTCTGTCATTGTGTAAATTGGTTGCGCCCCGAAACATAAAAGGGCTTTTGCGGCTAACAACCAAAACAATAAACAAAAATTATTCAAACCTCATACAGTGCACTCGGCACACTAAAAATAGAACATCGAGTTCATTGTGGGCCTATGGTTATTCTCAAGAGTATATGGGCAATACATTTTAAGTTACTAACCTTAATGGCTAAGATTATGTCATCTTGTTTGCCCTGAATGACTACCATTTCATATGGTTACATAATATTAATAGTAAGATTTCTTTTTGCTATTCCTTTTAATACATTTTTAGTAACAATTCCCCAAGAAAAAATAATAAAAAAAAAATTTGTTATTGTATGAACACACAAATAATTAAATTACGTACAGTCAGATAAAAGAACAATCAACTACTACAATCCTTGCTACTTCTTCTCATCATCCTTGTTGTCTACTTGCTCTCTATCAATCTCCATCCCTTTGAAATAAGAGAAATGTTTTTCATTGGACGGCTTGTTCTTTGAAACAGTATGGTTATATCGATTTATCATCAAACACATTTGAAACAAGAAGATAACTCAATCTACAACTCAGTAGCAATAAACACCTCTTAACCAAAGCAAAACCTATTATGATTTATTTTTTCTTAGCAAGATATCTACTTTTAGTATAAAGAATTAATTCAATTACTTTACTTAATTAAAACATAATGACAAAGGAGATGATTGAAAAAAAAACCCCTTACGATTACATAAGCAGACATGTGATTACCTTATCATGCAGAGTTCCATATATGCCGTTGTTCGGATAAACACACTCACATTTTAATAATTACCTCGAGTGTCGTTTACATGGTCAAATACCGGTAAATCCTAAATTATTCACACACATATATATATAGTTTCTTCAAATCGTTAGAGTATGATATAAAACTGTGGCTCACATTAATTTATTTATTTATTTGATAATTTAAAGTTTTTTTGTTTTTTTTCTCACTCACAATTTCTCGCTATGTCATCGATATAAACAACAACAATAATGTAACTTGTTTAATTGAAAACCTCAATCAACTTTGAGTTCTTTCTTTTCAATCTTTACAATCTTTCTTCTTTCCAGTGTTGTTGTCTTTATTTTATTCTTTTCATTTGCAATTCAATCCAATTCAATTCAAGGCATCTATTCTTTATGACTTCAACTGCCGATAAATCAAAACCAGAAACTTCCCCACAGACTTTTTCTTATGGTTCAATTCTGCATGAAATAGACCCTATTCAATTATACAGTCCATCAGCAAGAACACCTTTAACATCAAGATTACAATCACCTTCTGAAGTCACTCCCCTGTTATCACTAGATATTAATCAAGATGATGACGATAATGAAGACAAGAGTTTATCAATTGCAAAAGCATATCATATTGATTTGTTAAATTATAGATCAGTTACATTAGAAAATAAAGGATCAGTAGCAAGAGATCATATGGCTAATGAACGTACATTTTTAGCATGGTTAAGAACTTCATTAGCTTTTATAACTTTAGGTATTGGAATAACTCAATTATTTAGATTAGAGAAACCAAATTCAAAAATTAAAACAACAAATTCATTAATATCTTTAGAAAATTCAAATAATGATATTATTTTAAAAGCTGGTAAACCTTTAGGTTCAATATTTATAATATTAGGTATAATTACTTTGATTTTTGGTATGAATAGATATTTCCAAGTTCAATTCTTTTTAACTAAAGATTATTATCCTGCTACTAGATTAAGTATTTTCTTATTAATAACTGTCATTTTAACAATTGTCATTACAACATTCGCCATAGTTTTAAAAACTTCCTTATAGAAATAAATCACAGATCATATTTTTCGTATTTCAATATCCGTTTTCTCTCTTTTTTTTTTTTAAGATAAAGAATAAACATCAATCTATCAATTGGGATTTTTCTAAAGTTGATTTTGTGTGGGTTCACCACTAATTTGTTTAAACTTACTGATTCTGAACAGGGTTTCAACCCTAACGCACGTGATAATTTTTCACAGTGCAAAAAAATTCTCCATTTAGCACGCACAAAAAAGTCATCAAATTTTCTCTTGCCT